TTAAAAGGCCTTTATTTAACTAATTAACGCTTAATATTTAGACCTCTAGTTATAAGTATATATTTAAAATAACTAAAGTTAGTAGTTTTACTATAGGCTTTATACCTTATACTTTATTAATTTTAATAGATATTAAGGACTTACTATTAATTAAGGTATTATACTTATTTAGTAGTTCTTTAATATCTTTTTACTATTAAGCTGTTTCTTTAAGATTAATTAAGGACTTTAAGGCCTTAATCTAAACATCTTTAGTGTTAATATACCCTTAATTATATAAGGTAGCGCTTATAGCTATATTAAACTCTAGCTATATCTTTTAAAGAAGTCTAATAAGAAGTAAGACTAAAGTGTCTAGCTTTTTATTAGCTAACTTCCTTACCTCTTAATATAAATTAAGGCCTTAAGTTTACTTAGAGGCTATAACTTCTTTTAATTTATTAGGCTTCTTTTTACTTATATATAGTTTATAGTCTTTAAGAGTAGTTATAAGTTCTATAGGCTTTAGTTATAGTAAAATAGTTATATTTATTTTAGCTAGTAAGGACACCTAATTTAGATTATAATTATAGTTACTATTATTATTAACCTTTATAATCTCCTTATTCTTTAAGGTAAATAAAATAGTTTTTTTCTTAATTAGCTAAGGCCTAACTAACTTTTTTATATTATATACCTCTTATAATTTATCTTAAGTATATTTATTTTAGCTAGTATAGTTCTTAAGAGGCCTACCTTATTATACTATAAAGACGTTAGTATATTCTTACTTCTTATCCTCTAGTTATACTATATATAGGCACCTAATATTACTTATTAGTACTATAAATAGTAAATTTAAGGTGCTTTACTAAAGGTATCTAACTTATTAATTTAAGATATACTTTACTAAGAACTTATAGTCTTTATTAGTAGATATATTTATAATATAAAAAAGTAAAGTAACTTAATTAGTAACTTTACTTTATTAGCTATTTTTAATTACTAAGAATAGTATATTATTTATTAGACTTTACTTATTTTACTTCTTATAATACTAGGCTTTTTAAACTAAGATTATAAGATATACATCCTTATTAAAGGTGTATTACTAATAATCTTAAATAAATTAATACTTATTAAACTAGTAGTACTAATATTTATTTTTTAGTCCTAATACTTTTACTTAATCTAGTTATACTATACTAACCTTAAACACTTAAGTAGACCTTTTTAGCTAAATAGAATTTTAATATATCTTAAGTTTACTTATACTATTAGTAAGGTCTTAATTAGTATTACTTAGGACTAGTTAGTTAACCTAAATATTAATAGTTAATTATCTTAGTTACTAGTAATCTTAATACTAATAAGTAAAGTTTTTTTAGGACTATTACTAAGCTAGTTAAGTTATAGAAGTACTATTAGCCTTACTATTAGTAAATAAAGGCTTATACTTCTTCTTATAAGTAATTATATTAAGGAGCTTACTCTTAAATATTATATACTTTATTAATTAAATAAAGGCTAAAAGGCTAATCTTTATTTTATTTACTACTTTTTTTATAGTCTTAGTGTTAAATTACTTATATATAGCCTTAATTAGGCTTTTATTAGAAATTATATAAAGGCCTTATTACTTTACTTTAGTAATTATATTATTAACACTAGTAAAAGGTGCCTTAGCTAAGTGTAGGTCTAAGCTAGAGATTAGTAATCCCCTTATAACCTTCTTAATATATTTTTCCTTATTAAGGAATTAATTAGCGTCTTATTTTTTATACTCCTTTAAAAAATAGGCCCTAGCCTAAACCTAAGGTAAGTCCTTAATTATATTTTTTACTAAAGTTTAATAATCTCTTTCTATATAGTAGGCTACTAGTATACCCCTTAATTAGTTTAGTACTTATATAAGCTTATATTAATCCTTATATTTTTTTAAGAAGTTAATAATATTATCTTTAGAAAAAACTATAGCACTACTCTAGCCTAGAAGGGGTATCTTAAAAAAGTTTAAGTTCTCTCCTTAATTAAGGACTATATCTACTATTACCTATAGGACCTTAGGCTAAATCTAGGCAGTAAGAGCAGTAAGGAGGGCATCTATAGAAGGGTTAAGTTCCTAAGAGACAGAGAGAGGTTTTTATTTCTAATTAAGTACTATAAGTAGAGGATTAGAAGTGTTATTACTTTTTTTATCCTTAGAAGGATTAATCCCCTTTAGCTCTTAATACTTAGTAAAGGCTAGTCCTCTTACTAAAGTAGTGTTTAGGGTTAAGCCTAAGGTATACTTAAAAGTAGCCTCTTAAGAAAAAGTAGTATAGTTATTACTTATTATATTAGTTAGTAGTTATTTAGTATATAACTTATTAATTAAGTTAAAGATTTTAATAATTATATACTAATTTAAACTTTTTAAGATCTTTTTTAAAAGTACTAAAGTAACTTATCTTATTATCTAAACTATAGCTATACCCCTAATTAGTAGAATTTATATAATTATCTTTAGCCTTAGCTAAACTTATTAACTAACTTTTAATAAAAAAGGTTTTTTAATTTATTATAATTTCTTTATAAGGTTATAATAGTTATTTAAATTAGTATACTTATAAAAAGTCTTAAGGCTAATAGCTTTATATCTCTAGATTAGGTAATTCTTAAGGTACTATCTTATATTAATTAACTATAAGTAACTAATTATAATAGACTACCTTACTTATAAGGACCTTTAAGAGCTCTGTCTAGCTCTTTTAGTATTTCTATAGTCTATCTTAGTTATTATTATAAATTAGTAACCTTTAAGGTTCTAACTTATTATCTTAGTCTTATAATTAGGTAATTTTTATTATCTAAGTTACTAATTTATTACTTTATTATCTTATTATTTTTTTAGGGTTTTCCTTATTCCCTTAATTAGTTACTTCTTATAATCCTATTATCTTGTTATTATTACTTTTATAATAACTTACTTAGTGTGCTTAACTAGATATCTTTTTAATTAGTTTAAACCTATAGTTAATTTTCTAGAAGAGGAGACTATTAGAAGCATATAGGGTATAAGGGACTTTTGTAGTGTAGTGACTATATAGAATATTATAACTACTAAAAGTAACATAAGATTCCTTACTAATTAGTGTATAAATTATCTTAATCTATTTAGAATTAATATTAATTATAAGTATTAAACTATAAGATTAAGTATAATTATACCCTAATTAGGTAGGTAATTACTCCTAATTATCTTATATTATTATAATTAAAGGTAAATTATAGAGAGGCTTTAGTTTAATTAAAAGGTAGGTATAAGTATAAAGGATAAATTCTATATGTCTATCTCTAAACCTATTAACGCTAACTTATATCTTTATACTTAATTAGGATTAGGATCTTCTAATTAAGTACATATACTACCTTACTTTAGGCTAATTACCTTACCTTACTCTAATACCTTACTTAAAGGTAAATAATAAGTAGTCTTCTTAAATTAATTAGGATAGTAAAGTTAAGTAAAAGTTATATTAGTTACTAATAACTATACCTTACTTAAAGAATAAAAGAAAATAAAAAGGATAGTATAGTTATTAATAAGTATTTTAAAGAATAAAAAAAAGTAAGTAAATTAAAGTAATATAAGTAACTTTTACCTTTTTTACTTTACTTAAAGAATAAAAAAAGGCGTACTTACTAAGGGTAACACTTAGCTACTAATTATCTAGTTAAGAGAAGGAGTTATAATTACTATAAGCTACACCTAGCTAATAATATAATATTAGAAGTATATAGAGGTAAGATTAGTAAAAGCTATTTACTTATAAATACTATATTAAAAGTAGATTACTTAAGTAGTTCTTACTTAACTACTTTATAGCTAGTCCTACTAGTAAGATCTTATTTAGATAAGAACTTATAAAAGTCTATTTACTTATAATCTTATATAGGCTATTACTACTATAGTAAAATAAAAACTTAGTAAGATAAAAATCTTAATAATTAGAGAAAAAAAAAGTTAAAAAATAAAAAAGAAAAAGAACTTAAAGAAACTTAGGTATAAAAAGAAAATAATTATACTAAATACTATAAAGGTTATTAGTAAGTAAGTAATATATAAAAAAAAAACTTCTCTAAAAGTAATAAAGTTAATAGTAGTAATAGTAGTTATTATATAGTAGATATAAGGCTTAAAGGGTTATTTACTAGGTATTATAAAATCCTAGGTACTAATAATCTTTAGGCTAGTTAGCACTTTAATACTTTAATCTAAGCTACTATAGTAAGTAAAGTATTATAGCCTCTTCTAATAATCCTTACTAATTTATAGTAGTAGTAACTATAAAGTTAATTACTAATTAGTGTTAGTATTATAAGGATTATAATTATAAAGTAGTAATAGTTTAATTAACTACTAGTTACTTATTAAGATAGATAATAGGAAAAAGAAGAAGAAGTTATTACTATAGATATTTATAGTAGTGTAAGTAAGCTGCTAAGGTAAGTCACATGATAGTAAATCACGTGACCATGGATTGGCTCCACCATTAAACAGTTGAATATCCCGACAATAAATCTCTTGAGGGGGCGGGTGGAGTTGCCGTGGCCGGGGTTGAAGCGCGGCCGGCCGCTCAATCCTACGGTAGGCACCAGCCATCGCTTTTGTGTTGGCCTCACGGTTTTGTCTCGGCCTTGCAGGCGCTCGCACTTGGGTTCCACCGTCAGAATCCGAGCTGGATGGCCATTCGCCTGCCTTGCGCGGCCGCTACATGTACTGATGCTGCGGAAGTCTGCACTTTTGCCACTGGAGATCATCGGTCTAGGAGTCTTACCATAGAGACTGGTGTATGATGCCAAGACAACGAGAGAGGCTGTAAGAGGATGCTTATCAAAATATGGAGTAAGACTCTATTATACAATCCTGCGATACCCACTCTCGTCGAGCGCCTTATGACTGCCCCCTAAGCCGGACCGATGGCCGTGGATGGGCAGCGTGTGTAAGTGCCCCCCCCCCCCCCCCCCCCCCAGTTCCCTTAGAACCAACCGCCCTCGGTCAGGTTGATCTTCTTCTTCTCCGGGCTCCTGGCCGGTCTCGGAGGCGGGCTCTTAGCCTCCCCAGGCCCCATCGATGGTCGTCCGTCGTACAACGGCGGGGCGGACACCCTCGCGCCCGACCGGTACGGGGCCACGATTATGTCATCCGGCCCAATCGCTGGACTCACGGGTTCCGGCTCGGCGGCGTCTCGCTTCTTCTTCTCCTTTCTGGACCGCATCCAGATGAACAAGACGATACCCAGAAGCATGCCCATCAATGCCAGTGCCCCGATGACGCTCCCCACAATGGCACCAACAGAGATTCCTCCTCCGCCGCCGCCTTCTGGTGTCCGAGATGTGGGCCCCGTTGCGGCGGTATCAGCTTTCGTGGCGGCGGAGGCGCCGGTTGCCGTTGTGTAGGTGCCAGCCGAGGAAGCAGTCGCGGTGGTGTCCGTGTTTGTCCCAGGCAGGTCGGTCGTGCTCGAAGGATCCGTCCCGGAACTAGGTGTCGCCATAGTCGAGTCCGGCAGAAGAATGCCTACCCCGAAAACGGTGCTGCATATGAAGAGACTGAATGTGCGGGTGTCTTCCAGCGAAAACCAGGTCCAGCACGCCGTGTTAGACCCCGTCCCACTGTTTTTTTGTTTTGCGGCCCGTCAGTATGCGAAGGGGCGCTCGAACTCCCGGGAGCCCTGCATGTCGTCTCAAACTCACCAACACAGCTCGTCAGGCTCGCATGGCCTCGACAGCGTGGAGGTCTCGTAGCACGTCGTAGGGATCGTCGAGAAACACCCTTTGTAGGACCCGGAGGTGCTGCATGTCATGAGGGGATCCGAGCACCGCAGCGGGAGAGCCCCGTCTACAGGGAAGCTTGGGAGGGACGGTCAGCCCTAACTGTTGGAGTAGCAAGGGGGGGAGGGGCTCGTACCCGAGTGATGTTACTGGAAATGGATCGAAGCCACAGGTATCATCAGCCTCCCTGGGCGGCGGGACGGTGGGGGAAAACGATGTTGTCGCCATCGTACCGGGGCATCATCAAAGGAAAAAGGGCCAAGTATCATGAGAAGGAGGGAGAATACGAAGCCGCATTGGAGTGATTTCATTCTTGTGGGGAAGCTGGCGTTGTAGCATCGATATAATGCGTCACCAACGTGCATCACAACGCTATCACGATGGGCTCTTCCAGTGAACATGCCGTGGCTGAGACAAACAATTAGGCCGTGGCTGAGACAAAATACTAGGCCGTAATGTGAAGAGTCACCAGGGGAACACAGTGATTCGATCAAGCTCGGCGCCGCGATGGAGGGATACAAAAGCTATTTGCCTGTTTCACTGCCTATGTTTATCGACTGCCGTCTCCTTGCCGAGTCAGCGGTCCTCAGCATCCATTCCCACGGGTATACCATATCCATCTATTGACCGACCATATCCATATCCATAGCAAAACAAACAAAGTAAGGAAGAAAAGAAAAAAAGAAAAGAAAAAGGGGGCCACAGACCCGTTGCTGTCTCCCAGGCCAGTCGACCCTCCTCTCCCGCGGCAACGTCGCCACGCTCAGTTGTGCGGAGCGGGCATGGTCATGCCCTCCTTCTGCGGCTGGTAGCCCTGGCTGATGGGGCCCGTCGACATGCGCGCCTGGACTTCCTTGTCCTGCTGGATGATGGCGCAGCAGGCGCACCAGTAGGCGACGCAGCAGTCCGAGGCGCCGGAGCCCTTGATGCCGAAGCGCTCGCGGATCTCGGTGCGCTTCATCATGGCGTAGACCCAGCCGCAGCCGGTGAGACAGCTGATGCCGAACATGAGGAGGCAGTCGGTGTTGATGGCCTCGTACGTCTGCATCGTCGGGTCGCGCAGGCGCTCAGAGGTCTTGCCGACGACTGGAGGGGAGGGGGGTCCCAAGTGTTAGTTGAACCCAGGTTTGACTGACCATTGGATCACGTCCGGAAAAGGGGAGAGAATGGTAGAGAGGAGGTAGGGGACGTACGTAGGCAGGGGAGACACGTTCCCACGACGCAGGTGTCGCACGGCCCGCAGTTCATGAGGCCGGACTGCCATTCTTGGGTTTGGATGTTGCCTCCCTGGACATACTCCTGCTGCGGCTCCTGGTGCTGGTGCTGGTGCTGGTGCTGCTCAGGCTGCTTCTGCTCCGGCTGCGGCTGCAGCTGCGGCTGCGATTGCATGGGTGCTTGCTGTTGGTAATCCATCGTGAAGAGGTGGCGAGGGTGATGATACGTTTCTCAACGGGTGAGTCGTCTGGCGACTGGGACGATTGTTCTAGATGCAGGAGGGAGATTCCAGAAGCTCTTGAAAAGCATAAGCAAGCGGACACGGAGACGGAGACGCAGACGAAGGAAGACGTTGGATAGCTAGGGTAGGAGAGCCTCGGAGGGACACGACGTTCTGATATACGAAGTACGCGAAGGGGGTATAAGACGGTACAGGGGGGGCATCCTTGGTAGCACCAGCGATATGGGCAAGCAGCTGAAAAAACCTGGGGAGACAAGACGAATGCAGTTCGCGTGCTCGAGGCTTGATCGCTACCGGATGAGGCATGATGCGTGTGAGAGAGTCACACACTGAGCCGGCCGATTAATTCCTCCTGAGCTGAGGAACAAGCTCCAGTCGTTCACGAGCCTAATGTCGACCCCCGGTCTCAGCGCTAGGCTGTTAGGATGCGCCACTGGGCGTTCTTGTTTATTTTATTAGATATTTTATTTTATTTCTTCTCTTCAGTTCCTTCCTCGATGGAAATGACAGGGTCGAAACGAAACCCCTTCCCTCGTCGTCGTCGATGACTGGATGGATCCCCGTCTCGTCCCACCTCATCCCCGTCGCGTGTACAGTCTGTTGCGTTAGCAGCGTCCAAAACCTATTTTTTAGTCCGTGCACCTGCGCCACATAAATATAACCCTATATAAATTTACGTTTTTTAGCTAACAGGATCTAAAATTAATATTACCTAATATTAGATAGTTATAATAACTTAAAGTTATATATACTAGTAATAATAATAATAATAAGGGGATTTAGACCTATATAAAGCTACTTATTAGCTATATATCTAATTATCTTTTTAACACTTACCTTATAGATAGGTTTATCTCTTATTATAATAGTCTATAAGAGCATGCCTTTTAAATAGGAGGCTAAGTTAATAAAGTTATAAAAGTAATATATATATAAAGAAAGTAAAGTCTATAATAACCTTACTACTATTACTTACTACTACTATTCCTTACTAAATAAATACTATATTAAATAAATATAATAGCGCTAAGGTTAAATAAGGATAAGTAAAGAAAAATAGTATAGATCCTTAAGTTATTTAAGAAAATAAATAAAGAGATTACTAAGTAGCTAGGCTATACTACTTATATAGTCTAGTAATAGTGTTATAATTATAAAATAACTAGCTAAGTAGTAATTTATCTTACTAGTTAGTAAAGCTAAATAAAGTTAGAAGTATAGTAACTATATAAGTTATTAAAGCTTTTTACTTACTATAATAACCTTAGCCTTAAAGAAATATAGGATTTTTTTTATAAGTAATTTAATATAAAGGTTTATAAGTTAATAATTAGTTAGTAGCTTTATATAGCTAGGTAGATATTAAAGTCTATTTATATTATTACTACCTAAAGAGATAAAGTACTATAGTATAACTAAATATATACTATTTATAAATACTACTTAAAATAATTAGTATTTATTAATAAGTTAGGTATTAATAAATATATAAGTGTATAAAAGATAAGTTAGGCGCTAAAAGGACTATTACTATATTAAAAGGATAAGCTTAAATATAAGTAGTAATACTAAATTCTTTCTACTTTTACTATAAATAGTATATTTAATATATTAATATACTTAGGTATAATAAATAGTAATAGGTTTATAATATAGATTTAAGATAAGGTTTTACCTAAGTGTAGTGCTTTTCTTACTATAAAGTTAGTTATTATTATAAATAATACTAGCTTTTACTACTAATAAGATATTTAAGAGGTATATAATTTAGCTAGCGTATAACTATTATATCTACTACTATACTTACTTAACTTTAACCCTATTAAGGAGGTATTTAGTAACCTTAAGAAGCTCCTTTATAAGTAGTACTTAAGATAAAATAGAGATAAAAAGGATTTATATAACTTTAATAAGCTACTTTATAATTATATAGTAAAGGTTAGTTATAGTATAAAATAAATAAAAGGCTATTTTTATTACTTATTTATTAACTTTAATAGTATATAAAGATTATTTAATAATATATTAATTAATAAAGATAGTAGTAATATTAAAGGTGTCTTTATAACTAGTAAAGAAAGTGCTATTATTAAAGTAGTAATAAAAGAAAAAAATAACTATTAATAGATAGTAAAGAAATCTAACTATAGTAACTACTTATTTACTTTTACTGCCTTACTTTTTATTAGCCTTATTATATTACTTTTTATTTTTATTACTTTTATATAAATCTATTAATAACTTATTATTAGCTATATATATTAGGTTATTAGCTTTACTACTATATAACTTATTAAGGCTAAAGTTATTTAGCTTATTATATATTATAAAGTTAGGAAGGCGTTAACTTATATAAATAATTAGTAAAAATAAATTACCTAGTTATATAGGGGAGAAAATAAAAAGACTATCTACTACCTAAAGGTTAGTATAGTTATAACTACTAGATTTAATTTAACTAACTAAATCTACTCTTCTTAAGGTTACTTATCTTATTAGTTATAGTATTTATAACAGGCTGCTTATTAACCTTATTAACTTTATTAACTTTATTAGTAACGTATAGTAATTTATACTATTAGTTAAAGCTAGTAGAGTTATATTTACTCTACTTATAGTACTACTATATAAGTAAGAAAGTCTTTATTAACTTTTATATAGTACTAATAAGGGATTTAGGTATACCTTTTTTTTTATACTACTCTTTTAGTATACGCTAAATAACTACTAGGCTTAATAAAGAGCTTTATAGTTATTAAAGGGCTACGTTAGTACTGCCTTTACAGCCCTATTATTACCTTTTAACTTTAAGAAACTAGCCTATAAAATCTTATACCTCTAGTAACTACGCTATAAGTAACTACTCTTTAGGTTATAAGGGTAATAATAATAGCACTTTAGTCTTTTTTACTAAATACGCTAGTAATAAGTTAATTAATAAAGTAATAGGTATATAATAATACTATTAGATTAAAGATAGCTACTATTATAAAGGTAATTAATACTACTACTATATAAAAAGGCTAACTTTTTTACTACTAAAAGATAAATTAACTACTATATTACTAGTAAAGTTATTTATAGTTAGTAAAGAAGGCCTACTAGTAGGATTTTTACCTTCTTTAAATCCTACTATAAAAGGTAAATTACTTATAACTTTACCTTATATAGGCGTATTATCTTTTTTTACTAGCCGCTAGGTAACTATAACTATAAGGCCTAGTAGTAGATCTTTTAAAGTTATATTTACTTTATAATAAAGTATTATATCTTATTAGGCTTTAAGATTATAAGTAAGTAACTTATAGTAAACTTTAGTAATAACTAAATACTAGTTAGTACTATTACCTACCCTTATATTATTATAGTAACTTATATAATCTATATACTTATAATACTTTATTAGATTATACTATAAATCCTTTTTTATATCTCTCTTTTAGTTAATCTTATCCCTTATTAAATTTATTACTATTTTTCTTAAATTAATATATAATAGTTAGCTACTATAATCTAGTTACTTACTATAGTTAATTAGCTTACTATAGTTAATTAGCTTACTATAGTTAATTAGCTTACTATAGTTAATTAGCTTACTATAGTTAGGTTACTTACTATAGTTAGGTTACTTACTTTTTAACTTTATAGTAGATTATAATATACTAAATACTAATATAACTAAACTAGTAAAGTATATAAGATTTATACTAAAGAAGATCTCTTAAGTCTTATAGCTAAGGTTACTTAGTTATTAGCTAAATTTAAACTATAGTAAGGTTAGCTATTTCCTATCTACTTTACTAAAGTTATTACTATAGTAAATATTATTAACTTCTTATATAGTATAACGCTTTTTATTAAACTTTATTATTATTTATAACTTTAAAAGCTAGTATTACTTAGTAAGTTACTTTTAAAGGTAATCCTTTATATTTTTTAAGATTTACTTTTTTTATTTTAACCTAATTATTATACTTACTATTAACTAACTTATTAATTACTATACTATTTAAAAAGGCTAAACTTATAGTATAAATTTAATACTATTAAATTAGAGGTTAAGGGTAAAGTATATTATTACTTTAGTTAGTAGTAAAGTAGCTACTACTATAGCTACTTACTATTACTATAGTAATAGTACTAAAGTTTATAATAAAATATTAAATAGATTTAGTATAAATAGTACTTATTATATAGGCTTTTTATTATTATAAGTAGGCTTATTACTATTATTATTAATACTATTACTAACTTTTTTTTTTATTAATAGTTACTTAGGCTACTATTAACTTTTATAGCGTCTTAATAGTTATTATTAACTTTTTTACTACTACTATAACTACTACTAACTTCTTTACTACTACTATAGCTACTACTAATTTTTTTAGTATCTTAATAATTATTATTAATTTTATTAACTTTACTACTAGTACTAGTGCTATTACTATAAGGCGCTTAATTACTATATATAATAATCTTTTATAAGCAGCCTTATAGGCTTAAGTACTATTAGCTAGTAGTGCTAGTAATACCTCTTTACTACTAAAGGTAGTAACCCTCTTCTTTAGTGCTATTATTTAATAACAGTAGTAATAATAACAGTAATAAGCTTATTAATTAAGGCTATTTACACTATAGTATCTATATAAAAATCTATAAATCTACAGGTAAGTGGCCACCTAGTAGGGTAACCCCCCTACGTGACCCTAACTAGGGTGGTTGTGATGGTGTTTCTAACGCACGGACTGAAAAATAGGTTTTGGACGCTGCCAACGCAACAGACTGTAACCTCAACGCCCCACAGGCTGACTTATATTGATAGTGTAAATTTACCCGTACATAGTAGGCGTAGAGCAACGACCTCTGTTGGACTTTGGACGGGGGGCCTCATCTCATCCCCATGGCTTTGGTGGTCAACGAGATGACTGACTGGGGGCTCCCTCCCTGCGTGCGCTACACTTGTGGCAGCCGCGCTAGACCTGACGATGGCGTCCTAGGGCTGATTTAACTGAGCTTGGGCTGAAGGAAGCCACTAAGCAGGTTTGGACGTCTCGTAGCGGCGTGTTGCCCTCATGCAAGGGGTGAGTACCTACCGCTGGCACTCATTGGGGATGAGACGGGGGTGCGGAGAGATTCTGTCTTGAGTGAAGCCCCCCCCCCAAACCCCAAAGACATTGACGTTGGGAGGGATAGGAATATCCGTACACATAGACAGACAGATATATGTAGACCTCTACGAATACCTACCTATCGGCTCTTCCGTATCCAGCCCTCGTCCGTCTGGTTAGCTTTGCCGTCCTTCGTTGCAGATCCGCTAGGCCGCCGCGCGACGATCTGACGCCCGGCCTCCAAGGCAGACGCGAGACTTGGCATGATGACCCTGGCATCGAGATGAAGGCGAGCGTTGTGGCATGACGCTGAGAGGTAAGCGAGCGGTCCGGCGCCTCGAGTTCAGCCATCGAACGAGCATCTATGTTACACTGCAGTGAGAAAAGTGGTGGGAGAGTCCCTGCAGCGTTTCTTTTAGGTTTTTGTCGTCCGTCCATCCACCCGCCCGTCGTCTCATCTCACCCTCACCGACGCCAAGCCCAAAAAGCCCGACGGGATGTGGTCCTGCATGAGCCTAATATACCTAGGTAGTAGCATGCACCTCAGCCTCACCAGGTGTTTTCTTGTTTTCGGCTTTGTTTGACCAAAGTCCCTCTAGCTTATCCAGTCGGACGAACCGCCAATGAGAGCAGGGTTTCGAACGCCCCTGGGGATCGGCTGACTGCAGTGATGCCGCATCTCATGTCTCTAGAGTCATCACCGACCGACCCACGAGATCCTTTGCTTCGTTGTGCAGAGGGATAAAATAATAATAATAATGCCGCTCTCAATGCCCGTCTACAGGGGTATATGACCGTGAACCCCCATCATGCCGCATCACGCTTTCCCATCGTCTCCGTCCTCGCAGGCCCGCGCACCACCCTCCTGCTCATGATGAGATAGTCCGGCACGAAGACGGTGCCGGACCGCAGCGTCCGCTCCGGCGGCGATATGGCGTCCCTCTCGAACCCGAGCCGCTCGTAGAAGGCGCGCGCGCCGGCGTTGGCGACGAAGCACGTCAGCATCACCTTTTCGACGCCGGGGATGCTCTCCGCCACCCGGACGAGGTGGTCCATGAGCCCGCGTCCCATGCCGGTCCTGGAGCCCGGGGGAGGGTTTCGCCCGTCAGTTCCGAACAAGGACCAGTTGCCGAGTAGAGTAGTTGGCTTATGAGGGGAAGGGAAGGGCAGTTTCCGGGGACTCACCCTCTCAGCTCTTCCACGAGGTGGATCTCGTAGCAGTAGACCACGGCCTCGCCCTCCTCAAAGGTCGGCATCAGGCTCGTGAAGCCGCATATCCTGCCTTCTTCCACGTTCGCCTTCTCGCCATCATCATCATCATCATCATCATCACCGCCGTCCGGCGCCGGGGCTTCCTTGACGACAATGTAGCGCAGCTCGGGGCTCCTCATCTCCTTCAGCTTGGCCAGCGGCCTCCACCCGTCCCTGGAGGCCCGGTAGTCGGCCCCGCTGGTGCGCTCGACGAGGTCGAAGCAGGCCTGCAGCTCGTGCTGGGCGAGCGCCGGCGCCGACTTGAGCGAGAGGGCGTAGGGCTTGCCGCTCGCGGGGTGCGTCCATAATGTCCAGTCCGGGCTGTGCCGTCGGTGAGTCTTTTTCTTTCTTTCTGTTTTTACGAGGAGAGCAACTCTGGGCTTCCGCTTCCGCTTCCGCGTCAAGTCATGCTAGTGCGGGAGAAAAAGGAGACCAAACGAACCTTGGGCGCAGATGGTCCTTGATGAACTGGTCGTCTGGCTTGCGGTTCGCCGCCTCGATGGGGTTCGTAGGCGCCCTGCGGCGTTTGCGAAGCGGTGCCATTTTCCCGATTCGAAACGGAACAAGAACAAGATAGATCGAAGTGAAATTCCAATTCGAAACAAGACGCAATGATCTATATCATGTCATGTCATGTAACATGCATGAATGGAGGTTCAGGTCAAGGAAACTGTTTGCATCTTGCGCATGTAAATCACGGCCATGTAACTCCAGGGGACGCGTCCACTAAAACTGGCCTCTGCGACCGCTAAAAGCGAAAGCAAGAGCACTGCACTGCACTGCACTGTACGCAACGGTCCCTTACCCTTACCCGGCCGAAGCGGGGCGGGTCCGCCCGGACCCGAGGTTTCCCCGTCCTGACCTCATCCACAGTCCCCCAAAAAGTCACTTGAAGCTTCTCTCTCGTCGAGCTTCCATTGAGCTTCCGCAACAGACACACAGATGTAGTAGATGTAGTCGACCTCACCACTTTCCCCATAATCCCGGCCTGATGCCCTTCAAAACCCTCCTGTGGTCCCTCGTCCGCAGCTACTCCAATGGCCCGGCCAAGTCGCGCCTCGGCAAGAAGGCCTTGAGTCTGGACCATGTAAGAAAGAGAAAACACATATCTGCCATTCCCGTATAATCAGCGTGAATGGAAGACACGGAACTTCGTATACTGACAGTTGCCCCTCCCTGCCCCCCAATCACAGTTCCTCCAGAGATCCCGCGCCATCTCGCTCTATCGCGAAATCATCCGCGGCACCCGCCGCATCGCCGACCCAAACACCCGCGCCGAGTCGCGCCGCTTCGCCCGCGAAGAGTTCGAGCGCCACCGGGGCGTAACCGATCTCGTGAGCGCCCCCCCCCCCTTCTCCCCTTTCCTGCTCACTCCCACCCTCGCTTTTCCGCCTCTCGTTTCCCTGACAGTTGACTCTTAGGGACACATCCGCTACCTCATCTCGACCGGCAAGACCGAGTGGCAGGGCATGGAGCGCTACGTTGACGGCATGTAACGTGGCGGAATGTAGAGTTTCTTGTGTAGATGTGTCTAATTGTATAATACAGGGGGCATGAGCCTTTTGCTGCCCTGTTCGATGCCGCAAAAAGTGCATGCCCCGTGACCAGCGGGAGTTGTTTTCTTCTGCTATCTGGACCACGAGATCCATCGCCACCACCCCCTTGGACCTGGGTCTATCCCACATGATGGGACGCTGTCTGTGTTGCCCGAACTCCTCGCACCCCAACCCTGCCTTCTCTCGCGCCTCCTCTCGGTGGTTGTACAGACTCATACACAGGCCACCCCGGTTCCGCCTCCTCGACCTTCCGAGCCGGGAGGCTGGTCAACCTCTCAAGACTGGCGTTGCTTGTGTCTGGGGTTCGCCTTGCAGATGATGTACAGGTACCCGTTGTGCCTCTTGCCTGCCTTGCGACGGACGACCTGTGCATTAGTACGTTAGCAAGGGTTCAACATCCCACTCCGGACCTCATCTCCCTGTTTCCGAGTCTCTCCCTCTTTCTTAGCATCGCATATCCAAGTCCAATTCGACCCCATCATCCGTCTAAAACTTGCCACCCCCCCCCCCCCCCATCGAACCAGCACTTGGAGAAAGGGAATGGCTCACCTTGCAGTGCTCACACCTCTTCTTGACGGAGCTGTGCACCTTCATCCCCCTCGTCTGCTGCACCACCGCATTGCCCACGACCGCGGCCTTCTGTCCAAACACCGCGAGCACCGACTCGCTCCTCTGCGCCGGCTTCTTGGTCAGGATCGCCGTTGACAAGGCGCGTGTGGCCGTCGCAGGAGCCCCGACACGGGGAATAGTCGCGCGCACGGTCGTGAGGGTCAATGACCGGAGAGAGGCGGCGAGGGAGGCCATTTTTGTAGTTCTTTTTTTCTATCTGCTTTTCCTTCTACTCGTTATCGAAAAGTCGAGGCTCGGGCGGTTGGATTGTGTCCGAAGCGAAGGGGGGTGGAATTCGGCAGCCCAGTTCGTCGAGGACGTCTGAGGGATTGTGCGTTTCGTCTCGACGGCTGCTGGTCCGGAGCTGGCGGGGTGGGAGAGTGTGTCGAAAGACGTGGAGGAGCTTCGCGATGCCGACGGCGCTGGCGTCGAAGGGGTCCCCCGGTGGGAACATTTTCCATCTTCTTGGCGCCGTCACGTGGTGTTGACGTCCGTGCGCTTATCGAAGCAAACGGTGCTTATCGCGATCCTGCGGTATCGGACGACAATGACATGAACTTTAGGACAGCGGATTGCAGCACCGTGAAATGTAGTCGCATCTAAACGCATAGTCTTTTATTTTTATTTTTATTTTTTAGAGACGTCCGGTTGCATGCAGTAGTGGTCTATGTATGAGAGAGGCCATTTTGCGTTCTTGGAAGCCCAAAGTTCTCTATATTCCCTGAACCGTCGTACCTTTTGTTCTCCCAAATAAATCGTCTGAAATCTTCCATAATCAAAAACTCCCGACGCCGAACTGTAATTAACCGCGCGCGCGCGCAAGTCCCTCGACGACACGTCGCCCATCAACTGCGCAGGAAGGTCTTGAAGACGGCGGATTCGCTGCAGTCCTCCCACGGATAGCCGATGGCGGTAAGGAACTGTTCCAGCTCCTGGACCTCGTCGTCGGGACACAGGATGCCCGCCAGGATCTTGCCCGTGTCGCCGCCATAGTTACGGTAGTTGAACAGGCTGATGTTGAACTTGGGGCGGAGGGTCATGAGGAACTTCTCCAGCGCGCCGGGGCGCTCGGGGAAGTTGAACATGTACAGGCGCTCGTTAGGCACATTGGAACGACCGCCAACGAGGTACCGGATGTGGCTCTTGGCGAGCTCGTCGGCCGAGAGATCCATCACCGACATGTCGTGCGATCGAATGCGCTCCAGCAGCATTTGCAGCTCCTGCGTCCTCTGGAATGCCGGAGCCGTCAAGGAGATACCGATGAGGACGTTGGCGACCTCGTCGGTGGCGTAACGGTAGGAGAACTCGGTGACAGAGTGAGGCATGATGCTGGTAATCAGGTTGGCGAACGCGCCGGGCTTCTCGGGGATGCTGACCGACAGCAGCGCCTCCTTGCCCTCGCCGAGGGTGGCGCGCTCGGCAACGAAACGCAGACGGTCAAAGTTCATGTTGGCGCCAGAGGTGACGGCTATCATGGTTCTCCGGCGGTCGGTCGGGTTCTGGGCGACGTACTTCTTGAGGCCGGCAATGGACAGCGCGCCGGCGGGCTCGAGACCGGCGCGGGTGTCGTCATACATGTCCTTCATGGCTGCGCAGACCTCGTCCGTGGTGACCTGGATGACCTCGTCGACGACGTCTTTGCAGAGGCGGAACGTCTCCTCGCCCACCGTCTTGACGGCGGCGCCGTCGGCAAACAGGCCGACGTTGTCCAAAACCACGCGCTCTCCCTTGGCCAAAGACTGCACCATGGCATTGGCGTCGTAGGTTTCGACACCGATGATCTTGACGTGGGGCGCCATGCGCTTGACGTAGACGCCGATGCCGGAGATGAGACCACCGCCGCCGACGCAGCAGAAGATGGCGTCCAACTTGGCCATGTTGATCTGGCCGAACAGCTCCATGCCGATGGTTCCCTGGCCCGCGATGACGTACGGGTCGTCAAAGGGGGGGATGTTGATCAGCCCGTCCCGCACCTCCCTTCGGGCGCACTCCTCCTTGGCCGCGTCGAAGTCGGCGCCGTGCAGGACAACGTGACCGCCCAAGCGCGCAACGTTGAGATGCTTGATGCTGGGGGTGGCCTCGGGCATGATGATGGTGGCGGGGATCTTGAGCTTGCGGGCCGAGTAGGCGACGCCCTGGGCGTGGTTGCCCGCAGAGCAGCAGACGACGCCCTTCCAGCTCTTGGCGGGGTCGAGGTGGGCCATCTTGTTGTAAGCGCCGCGCAACTTGAAGCTGAAGACGGGCTGCTGGTCCTCGCGCTTCAACAGCACATTGCACTCGAGTCTATTACTGAGGTTCACGGCGGGCTGGAGCGGTGTGATCTTGCAGGCCTCGTAGACGCGCGAGGTTGCAGCGGCTATGAGTCGGAGGTACTAGACATGGCCGGATGTCAGCATTTCTCGTGTGTGCCACAGAGCTACTGGGCTCCAACGGACGGGCTTCTCACGTCGGGGTGGCCATCGGGCAAGAGGAAATCGTCAGGCACGACACCCTTGATGCGATTACGCCTCTCCTCTGGGGGCGTGGACGGGTTGGCGCTGTACTCGGTCAAGGACATGCCTTGAGGCTGAGGTGTCCTTGGGCGCGGCGGGTGATCGCCATTGACGCCATTGAGGGTGCCATTGGTCATGACGGCGAGGGCGGAAGGTTCTGCGTTTTCCGACATGACGGCGTGTGGTTTTTTTTACTTCCCTCTTTTTTTACAGGGGAATGTGAGGAAGAGTGAAAGTAAAAGAAGTGGAGTCACGTTGCCTGACAGAGAGCAGCAGCAAAGTTCAAAAGAGTCGAGAGTCACGACCGGGACAGGGACGGGGACCAACACACCACCAGGCCGACCTATCTACCGGTACGCAGTAAGGTGGAATTTTTGTTTATAGTGGGGGTTTGGCATCGGAGCTGAAGTCGGCTTGCGGGGTAAACTTTGATGGTTTTCTTGTACTTTAGTGGTGAGCTTGGCAGCAATTGTGCGCTAGGGATTGGTTGTAGCACCCATGCCCTGGGGTTTGTTATCGGACGAAGTGGCCCATGCACTAAAGGTCGATAGGAGATAACGATAAGACATTGGCAGGCGGTCACTGATATGGGGTTGGTTGAACGGCTGAATTACCTATGGTACAACAACACAAAAAGGCCCCTGGCTATAAACACAGTAAAATGTTTCTAGGAACTCAATGTTTGTAGGAACTCGATGTTAGCTATAGAGGTTAACATTACCTTTCGAGATGTCTCAGATATCAGATTTGGTGCTATAAAATTGAGGTTGACAGCTTGTCACTGACTCAACTGTCATCTAATGGCGATTGATTACCTAATGCAAGGTCTCCGAGCTGTGGAAATAGCCGGGATTTGCCGCAAATCTGCTCATGGGTAGGGGCTCTACGTACACTAGGCGCATTCAGTCCCCGAAATTCAGAAAGTCCATTTCATCATCGAAGTTGCTGACCGGTGGAAAACGCATGATTTCCTCCTTCACCACCTGCACAGCTCCAACCACCACCACAAAGTCAATTGGAAATCGCCAGAATGTCCGGCCCCGACGGAAAACCTACGCTTCTCGACCGGCCAATGCCATCGTCTTTTGACGAGAATAAGTGAGTCGACGGCCCGAGCTGTGCAACGAGCAAGCTGTAACATTTGAAGAGGGGGGGAAGAAAAAATGCAAAAAGAAAAGGGTGCTAACCAGCTCACGCGACCTGCAGCGAATTCTACGATGAGCGCGTCCTACACAAAGTCTTCCGGAAGCTCAGGGAGGAGCCCCTGGTCCCTCTTGGTGCGTATAATCTATAACACCCGGTGGCCGACTCTCGCTGACCCTGCGCCAGGCTGCGGCCTCACTGTCTTCGCCTTCGTCAGCGCGTGGCGCGCCATCCGCCGCGGCGACTCGGTCCAGGCCAACAAGATGTTCCGCGCCCGTGTCGCCGCCCAGGGCTTCACCGTCCTCGCCATGCTCGCCGGCAGCATGTACTACAACAAGGACCGCGAACGCACCGCCGAGCTGCGCAAGATCAAGGAGGCCAAGGACGCCGAGGAGAAGCGCCAGAGGTGGATCCGCGAGCTCGAGGCCCGCGACGACGAGGAGAAGGCCCTCAAGGCCATGCTGCAGAACAAGAGGGCCAAGTTCGAGGCCGCGAAATCGGGTGCTGCCGGAGGCGACACGCCGGCCGACGGGGAGAAGTCCAAGTCCGGTGGCGTGCTTGGTGCGTTGGGGCTCTCTGGGTGGGGCAAGCCGGAGGCGGAGAGCGCCGCCTCCCCGGTGCCGTCGGCGGACCAGACTCACAAGAAGGAGAACCCCAAGAGCTCCCTCAGCACGATTGGAGAGATCTACGGCCGGAAGCCTTCGTCGTCGGGCGAGTCATCAGATGAGCCCAAGAAATAGGGGCCGCGGGTTGGTTGACTGTGGACTTGTACCGCCGAGGAACGGCATGACTGCTTTGTATAGTATGGGCATTAGCACCGGTCGGCATCGGCATCGAGGACGGGCACACTGTCTCATTGAAGATTTCGCTCCGTTGTATGTAAAAACATGGGCAAAAGGCGGCGCATCCGGTCGAATTGAAGAAAAACATTTGATTTCTGGACGCACCGAGGCGCGGCCTGGCCATTAGCGCGTTTCTTGGACTGCCGGCAGCTGACAGACAGACATGCTCTGGTTAATTCGATCTCGAGTGAAGTAAGCCCAATTCGGAAGAACAGCCGTAGGACCGAGGTGCAGGAGCATGGATGGCCCAAGGCATTATCACGATGCTTGGTAGGCCGAGATATTCATGATTTCCGGTGGAGCGTCTATCACATGTACAGTCAGTGTACTCCGTACCTAAGGTTAGTGTACGTAGGTAGCGAGTCCCTAGAGGGGCATAGGGGAGCTCGGGCCAGTGGCAGTGACGTTGCGGGGCGTGCTCCGTTCTCCCGCCTTGGATACGTACCTCACTCAGTACGGAGGGCGGCTGATGTGACACTTGCCAGATTCTGTGTCTCTGGGCTCGACTCATTATGCAACCGCCTTGTTCCGTCATCGAGCCTCCCTCTAGTTAATCCCCTCCAACATGGCCGTGCCTGTTGGTTGTCACCTCAAGGTCTCTTGCAAACCTCCAACTCCGTTCGTCCATGCCTCCTGAGTTCCTACAGAAACCTCAACATGGGACAAGTACTGTCCGACGAGAGCTCCCGGCACCTATCGCACGAGGAGCTCACCCATGAACTCGTAAGTCGCCGTCATGCCATGACCGCACCACCTTACATGCTATCCCTCTGACCAACGACCTTTTTTCGCAACAGGCCAGTCGCTTCGCCGATAAGTGCTTCACTTCGCTGGAGATCTACTCATTCAAAGACGTCTTCAAGAGCCTGGCAGACAACCAGGGGGGCATCCGCTACCTAAAGGAAGACACCCTCGCCCGCTTCCTCGAGATACCCGACATCCTCCATGTCTCCCCCGTTGTGTTCCAGATGGTCTCCTACATCGGCGCCTTCCCTTTCCTCCAAAACGCACCCGCCGTCCTCGGACTCGATCAGATGGTCATGGTCGTCGTCATCATGACCCAGAGGCACAAGCGGGTGTTGGCCAAGGGCGCGACCGACCGCGCCAAGCTTCTCTTCAAGAGTCTCGCAGTCCACGATCGTACAGCGTCCGAAGCTGCTGTAGCCGCCGAAAAATCCTCGAAAGAGGAGCAGGCGACCCAGTCTCAGCCCAGGAGCCATGTCGCAGGCTTCGCGGTCGACGAGCCGGTGGAGGAGCCAGAGGACGACGACGACGATCTTGAGATTGCCGCATTTGAGCTGCTCGATATCAACGACGCCGTCTGGCAAGGCGACGCGCCCAAGGTGCAAGGAGCCATGATTCCAGCCGATAACTTTCGCAAGTTGCTCATGTTGCTCATATTGATAGCGCCGCTCAATGCCCAGGAGCGGCTGTCCATGTATTCCACCCGTGTTACGGGCGACGAGCTCGACAGCCTGCGCGCTACTGCCGAGCATATCCTGGCGGCTTTCCTGAATGTTGAAAAGGCACCGGGCATCAAATTCAGTCAGTACAACCGAGTGCTGCCCGTCTGCTTCCCCAACCTCTTCAGTGGGTTTAGCCCTCTGTTCGAGCACTTCCTCTTTTCCAAAAACTTGGATTTCACAAAACATAAAGGCGAAGAACCCGTAGCCGAAAAGCAACCAGAGGAAATCGTCCAGCCCTTGCTACCAGAACCCGGCGAAATCCTCAACTTGAATGTCCTTTCCCAGCTGTCCTTCTTCCTGCCAGGGTCGGATCTGTTTAGGCGACTGAGGCCCCTTTATTCCGGCAATAAGGACGGCTTTTCCACGGGGAGCTTCGAGGGCAAAGTGTTCAATTGGCGAGCACCCACGATCCTTCTCGTGCGTGGCACCCGCATCGATGACGACCCACGGGGCAGCCAGCAATCAACCTTTGCAGCGTCAATTCCCCCACGCCGGTTTCCGAGCGGCAGCAAGGGGGAGCGCCTTACGTTTGGCGTCTACGTAAGTACCCCTTGGAAGCATACCGCCAAGGAAACCTTTGGCGAAGGGGACACGGTGCTTTTCCAGCTGGAGCCGGTCCACGATGTGTTCCCTGCGTCACGATACAACTCAGAGTTCATCTCATTTACCAAGGCGCCCACCAACCGGCCTATGCTGGGTGTGGGTTGTCCGCACCCCCGACCGTCGCAGGCTCACCGACGGAACGAGATGCTGTCCCTGGGCTCCGTGTCGTTGCTGCTGGACGACTCGTTCGAGTACGGCGTCTTCAATCATGACTGGACCGCCGGCGGCGGCGCGTTTGCAACAAGCGTATCGCGCAAGTTCGACTTCCAGGATCGATTCGAGATCGAGAGCCTCGAGGTCTGGGGCTGCGGCGGTGACGAAGAGGCGAAATCGCAGGCCGATCGTTGGGCCTGGGAGCATCGGGAGGCAGAAGCCCGGCGTAAGGTCAACCTAGGGACCGGCGACAACGACGCCGACCGCGCGCTGTTGGAGATGGCGGGCCTCGTGGGCAGCGGCCGGAGCGGTGGCTCGATGGCGTGAACCACGTGCGGGATTCCCGAGTCCAGCAACCAGGCCTGGCAGGTGATGCTGCGTGACTGTTGATAGCTGGAGGCAATTTCCCTATGCGTTTGTGGCGTTTTGGTCCTGGGCGTGCATCGGACTCGTATTATGGCATTAGAATACGCAAATACATCTTTCAACAGCCGCCAAGGCGACTAGATACGATGCATCGAACCAGTGTTATTTCTCACAGAGGTACACGGAGCTCGGCACGAACCATGACTTTCACGTTCCAAGATTTACGACGTTGGTTGTAATACACTATCATTGTTCAACGTTTTTGACATAGACAGAAACACATTTCAATCGACGGCTTCTGGACGCTTATTCCCCCTGAATCGAAAGCCAACTCGACTTATGTCCTCGTCTCACACCACCGTATTTTTTGACCAATGACACTCGCTTCCGCTGTTAGTTACGATAAGATTTGGGGAGGCCTTCCACGGCATGGGAGGGCGGAGTGTGTCCATGTCTAAAGCGGGGCCACCAGTTTCCAATCGTAGGCTTCCTTGGCCAGGCGGAGGGCCTGCTCGATGCCCTGGCCCTTTTGAGTATCGTAGACTATATAGTCCCTCATTCTCGGGTCTTGCATCGTCTCCTGGAGGAGTTTGGCGACGTTCTGGTTTACCCCCCCCCCCACTTTGTTAGTCCTCCTTGAAAGGTACGTTACGCTCGAGGAAGATGGCAGAACTGTGAAAAGAGGTGGGGAGGAGGAGGACACTTACCATGAGGGAGATTTCGAGGCTGACCAGGACCTTGTGGATGCGGCGGGTGGCGTACGACTGGTACCTGGACACGGGCGCCTTGACCGTGATGACGCGGAGGAGCTTCTTGAGCGAGGGACGGGGGGTGGACCAGGGCTTGGGGTGGAAAGGGCCGGGGAGGGGCTCTTTGTTCACGGAGGGTTGCGACAACTGGACCGGCTTGCGGCTGGGGGAGGGCTCATTGGTGTAGTTGACGGGGCGGATCCTCTGCCACTCGATGCCGGAGAACTGTGATGGGTGTCAAAACCGATGTGAAAAGGGGGAGAAAGGAAGGGGCGAAGGGAAGGCGTGGCGGCAGGAAACTCACCTGGTACCAGCAGCGCACGATGGCTTGCTCCTCTTCGGGGGTGAAGAGGGTGGTGTACTGCAGACCGCGGTTGATCTTCCACAGGATCCATTCCATGTGACGGAGGCCGTCGAGGACGTACTACACGAGAAGGCGTCAGCTCCGCATCAGTCCAAAAGGGCGTTTGATACAAGCCCCTCACGACCGTCAAGATAGGGGGAAGGGGGAAGGGGCATACGACGTAAGGGCCCTTGTTGTCAACCAGCCAGGGCACGTATTCGGGCTGCCACTGGTACACGGGCGTCATCAGCTCGCTCGCCTTCCACGTGAGGCCGCCAAAGGCCGAGCACAGCTGGTCCTTTGTCAGCCCGCGGTGGTAGTCGGCCGGGAGAGTGGCGTTGGCGGCGGCGCCGGCGGGCCCCTTGGCGATCTCCTCGAGGTCCCGGGAGCGCGTCTCGACGGACCTCCTGCCGAGGACCTCGTCGTCCGGGAAGGCGTAACCATCGTCCAGCACCATGTCGGTGATGAGCCTGACGTCCTCCTCGCTGGGGATCACGGCGTCGTCGTCGATATCATTAGGGCCGCGGGCGGCGGCGGCGGCGGCGGCGAGGGCCTGAAGCTCGAGGGACGCCCAGACCATGGCGCCGTTGGACAGCGCCGAGGTGCCCTTGACCCCGTCGTCGACTCTCGCATCCTCGCGGTAGGGCTTGAAGGGGTTGGCGGAGGGCGGGGACGGGTCGTCCGGGTACCAGGGCAGTCCGTAAACGGGGCCGTTGACGAAGTTCACTAGGGGCTCCTTGATGGCGGCGTCGAGGTCCTCGTCGGAGACGGCGAGGTGGGCGGGCTGGGTGGGATTGGGGATCGCGGCGGCCCGGGAGAGGGCCAGCAGGGCTGGCATGAGTGTTAAAGACCTCATGTTGAAGGGTAAAGGGGGGACGTGAACGAGTGCGTGTGTGTGTTGTGAGTGAAGAGCGGAATGGAGGTCAAAAGAATGGCTTGGTGACAGGTTAGAGCGGGTGGTTATATAGGTCTTGGAGGCCCGTCGGCTTCTCGTATCCTTTCCCCATGTGAGAGAGCCACGATGTCGGGAAAGCGGACGTCACCAACACGGCCTTGATGGTATTCGGGAAATGACGCAGAGTGTTGAAGGCCTCACAGGGACAGAAGAGAGACCACCCAGAGAGAACCCAAAGAGTCTTCCCTGAGGCGGCACCTTGGCAGACAAGAAAACGCACCAAAGGGTCAAAAACTCTTTTTGCGCCCCGTTCAGCACTGGCTTGCTGCGTCATGTCCCGCCGAGCCGGGCGTCGAGTTGGCATCGGCATGTTTGTATTGCTTTTTCTTTTCTTTCCCCCATCGGTCCGACACGGGGGGTTTTTGAGATGCGCTCGCGGACATGCCTCCCCGCCCCGCGTATTCGGACGTCAAGTCACGTTTCCCCCCCATGCGATATGCCTTCTCAAGGTCCTTCGTGTAAGAGAACGCCACGGTCTAGCCGGGTTACCCCTTATCGTCTCGCCGGCGCCGCCCCCCCCCCCCCCCCCTTTCCGATCGAAACTCTCCCTCCGGGTGGAAACCACACACGTCGTCGTCGGCGGACTTGCCCCGCTCCCCGGGTCTAAAAAGACCCCTCGATGCTAAATTACATGTGCAAGTCGTATGTGTGTGCGCCTCAGATAGGAATATTTAAGCCGTTGCGGTATACGCGCTTTTCGCATCATGTCCTTGCTGCTTCAGGCCCCTCTCCCCCCGAGACTTGATTGTGGCTGGAGCGTCCGCCTATGCGTAAATGATAAGTTGTTGAGGGGGGGCATCTCACATTAGGGCGATGCGCAAAGTCTTGGTGTCAAACTGATGGTTAGCAGCCAGATGTATTGGGACTGAATGATGATGTTGAAGAAGGAAGGGGGGCCGGCATCACGCACGACTACCCGGGGGCAAACCGAAAAAGCAGACCAGCACATCACGAGTTTCCACGCCCTCTTCAGTGTGTGTCATGCTTCTTTTCCAGATTCCGGTTATATAGCAGCCATCGTTGGGCATGCTGCCTCTGCACACACACACACACACACACACACACACACACACACACACACACACAAACACACACGTACATACACACGAGTTATCTGTAAACTATCTTTGTTTCCAAACGGGGGGGTAATATAAAAGAGCCGAGCCGCATCCACACCAGACAGAACCTTGCGCCCGAGGTTTTTCTCCGCACACTCTGAACACCTAGGTTTGAATAGGGTAAGACATGAGAAGATGGGAAATGAAAAAGAAAAAAAAAAAGAAAAAAAGGAGAGAGTCAGTCCCCTTGACACACACCACTCCGGTTTCCCTTTTCCAAAATAAAATCCCCTTTGAGCCCTGAAACGGCTTGAATAGTAGAAAAAAAACAACAACACCAACACCAATAACGTGTGGCCCCGATCAACGGCTCAGACTCAATGCTGGCAACAGATACACACATACACGCCCGCTCTGCCTTCCTGACCCCCCCCACACCAACCCCTTCTTGGCAGTTCTACGTCTAGGTAATACAAGTGCGGCCCCAGGTGAACTGCGGTGTCCATCTGGCCATGAAGGGGAATGCCCTGCTCAAGATGATGATTCGGCATCCTTGGCTGCCAAAAGTTCAATCATCTTCTCGTACTCTATGTCCTTGTCCAGAGGGTCGCGACCGACGGCCTCGCAGGACTCCCGGAAGATGTCGTGGGCTTTCTTGTCGCCGGCTTTCTCGCTCTTCTTCCACTCTTCAAACCACTGCTTGTTGAATTTTTGGACGAACCTGGACGTCATCGGGCCCCACAACACGGGCTGCTGCTTTGGGCCTGGGTGTCCAGGCGCAGAAGACTCCGGCTTCCCGACTTGGTTGCCTCCGCCGGCGGCTTCTTTGCCATTCTGCTCGCTGTCGGGTTCTCGCTCGCCTCGGGGAAGGCGCATGGCGAGAAGCACGTACTCGGCCCTGGTCATGTTGTCCATCACGTCGTCCATGTACCTCCTGACCTCATCAGGGGGTGCCACAACCCGCTGGAGGTACTCGAGATGGCGACCAGACTGAGCGTATATCCGTACCGTGACTGGCTGGTAATAGTCGAGCTTCGCATCGCCACCGTATTCCAGCTGACTGCCCTTGCGAACGATGAGGAACGACGCGATAACTTGTTGCCCGCCAGGAAGATACTCCAGGATGCTGTACTTCGGGAACAGGTATCGGTCACCATTTCCACCTGTAAAGTCGAGACAGACGCCCGAAATGTCTGGCCTGGCAGCCGGAGGAGGACCTTTTGACCGCAAAGCTTGCTGAGGGGGATGCTGCAGGTGCGTCCCGGGTGCCGGCGCAGGAGACGGAGCCGGGGAAGCAGCAGGCGCGGACGGTGTTGGTTTGACGACGTGGCCGTTTGGCCCGCCGTTGACAGGAGTCTGCAGCGTCGGGGTCTGAGGCTGAGGGGTGGTTTGGGTGCCCTTTAGGTCCTTGTGCAACTTGTCCAAGGTTGCCTTGAGGTCCGTCGCGTCTGTGAATCCTGGCTGGCCTTCGGCAATCCTCCGGATCATGGCCCGCACCTTGCCGTCATCCAGCGCCGCCCTCACTAGTGCAACAACAAGAGGGTCGCTACCGCGAGGTGGAAGCAGCTCGCTCGACTTCTGCCGGGGATTTGTGGCGAGCACAATGTCCAGGATCGTACGCACCTCATCGGCAAAGTACTTGACCGTGCGCCCGTCGACCAACAATCTGTCCGCCGAAGGGCCTTGCTGTCCGCCTTTCCTCTTGTACTCTGCTGTGATTTGATCAATGATTTTCTGAAAGTTGCTCAACTCGTCAGGCTTGGCTTCACCGGCTGCCACACGTTTCATCAAGTCTCGCAGATGAGGGTCCTCGGAGGCCTTCTCTGCCAAAGTCATGATGATTGGGTCGGTACCCTGGGGCTTTGCAGCCGGCGGGGGTTTGGCAGCTCCTGGCCCTGGTTGGGGTGTCGAGCTCGATGGCCGTGAATTGGGGGCTGAAGGTGCTGCTGCGGACGGGAACACAGAGTTGGAGGGCGTCCCTGGGGCAGTGACGGGAGCGGGCGCAGGCGCAGCCGCCGGCAATGAGGAGGTGACTGATCTCGGCGGAGGTGGTGTTGCGGCGACAGGCTGCACGGGATCCAGACTTCGTGGAGAGGGCACCACCTTTGGCGGCTCATTCGCTGTCGACGAGGGAGGCCTCGACTGGATCTGGTGAGGGGCCGGAGACGGCGGGGCCGAGGTTGTAGCTGGGGGCGTCGGCCTCGACTCGTTCTGGGCGAGAGAAGGGGGCGTCGGCGGAGGAGGCATGGTTCCATTGGGAGGACCATATTGCATGATGGGCCGGAAGGAAGCCTGGGTGGTGGGAGCGGGAGGTTTGGGGTCCTTGATGGCCCACATGGTGGCCTCGAAAACATGAGGCTCAATCGTGATTGTAACCTGGCCAATCTTGGACATGGTGTCTTTGGCCGGGTTCTTGGGGTCTTCGGTTGCGTTCTTCTTCCGTGCCGGCTTCGTCCAGTACTTCTCGAAGAGCCCCTCGGCCATCCATTTGTGTCGAGACCGACTCAGCGACTCAGCAAGAACACCGCTGTGGTACGAGTTAGTCATTGAGAATGCGACGAGCATGACGGGACAGTCACGGGCAGTGGAGTGGCATTACCTCTCTTGGTACGACTGGTACTCCTTCGCAGGGAGGTCATCCGGCTGAGGGTCCTCGACGGTCGGTAGCGGTTTGCCAGCCTGAATTGATTTCGGCAGCGATGGCGGCGGCGGCGGCTCCTCGACGGGAGCCGGGACTGGCGTAACGGACCGAGGCTCGGGAGGGGTGACGGTGCGCTTCTTTGCGACGTGTTCGACACGCGCCGAGGCCCTCGCGGGCAACTTCCTCTTCCTCTCCATGCCGATGTTCCGTCTCCCCGTCGCAGAGTTCACGGTATCACGAGTGCGTTTGCGAGAGTGTCGGGATGGTCATGATAAGCGGAAGAAGCCACAGGCCTCGACTGCGCGCTGCGGCGTCGTCTCGTTGTGGGTGTGTTCGTCGGTGGTACCAGGAGCGAGTGTCGTGCGAGCCGGGTCGCGGGGGGGTGGGCGGCTGAGAAGTTGGGAACCGGACTAGAGCTTTTCGGAGATGTCTTCAGGGTGTTGCCGTCGCAGCCGTGCTGTAAGAAGGTGGCAATGCGTAAGAGTGGGTGGGTGGGTGTTGTCAGATGCGCAGCAGCGGGCAGCAGATGAGAGGTGTCGAGATTATGATGGAAGTGATTTGGAGACTTGGGGATGGGTTCGTATGGGTTGAATTGGGGGTAGACGGGAGAACATGGGAGCTTTGTATGGGATGTCCCGCGACTGCTGTACGTAATTGTAGTAAAAGTACGGAGTGCCCGGTAGGTATCTATGATGGTCCTCTCGGTAGGTATAGGGAGGTAGGTAAGGTAGCACAGCAGCAAGAGAGTGAAGCGGCTAGGTACAAGGATGAAAGTACCTGAGGCTCCCACCCGCGTCGTCTAGCGGGCGTGCAGCAGCCCGCTTTTGCTTGTTTGCCTGCTTCACGTCCAGCTTCTGGGCGGAGGAAGTGCTTCGTGCCCCTTCCTCCTCCTCCTCCTCCTCCTCCTCCTCCTCCTCCTCATCCTCATCCTTCTCCTTCTACCAATTTAAACAGAGCCGCTTGGGTACAAGTGCCATTCGTTAACCGGTGCTGTGCCATCCAGTCGCAGCAGAACGAGACAACCAAGGTGGGCTGTGAGCTCGACTCGACAGGGGGAGAGGATGAATATGATTGGCTCGGGGTCGGAAGAATAGCGGAAAAATTAGACTTTTGCCGCGACGTGAGTGGACGGCATGTACCGCAGGGTTCCGCCCGCCAGTCATATCGCGCTAAGCAGGTGGCACGTAGTTGCTGGAATCGGTTCCGCGGCATCGCGCTGTACGGAGTACTGTACGGAAATATCCGTACCATGTACCCATTCATTCGCCTTCTATTCACGCGCCGTTGTCTCTGCTCCCTCCCTCCCTTCTCTTCCTCCTTCGTTCTCTGTTCCTCATCTCCGTCTTGCGTCGTCTGTTGCTCATCGCTTGTAGACAGATATAGATGCAGTATGGCTAGCCATCATGTGGTACTGGTTGAAGACGTGGCTGAATGACGCGGGGAGACACACTCACACATATACTCTCTCACACACCCACACACAGAGAGACAGAGAGACTGAGGGAGGGAGGGAGAGAGGGAAAGAGAGAAACTCTTACACAAATGTGGGTGGGCAAGGGTGTGTGTGGCTGTGAAGCGTGGGAGAAGATGACCAGATTTCTCTCATACTTGGCTTCGGCTTCTGAGCCAAACCATGCCTCCAATTTAAACCCGACCACACACGCGCTGCTAAATAAAATAAAATAAAAAGTCTCGTCTAACCCCCCCCAGCCAATGTCAATGAACGCAAGCGAAAGCGCGAATACCGGCTCGACCATTTTTCCGGTTACAAAATCCAGACCCCAAGACATGCTCATGGCCGGGAAAAGCACATTTTATATCGATTCGGTATCGACGGCATGATGCGTCGTCGGCGTGCGGCTGACACCAGAAATGTGGGAGGTCGCCGCAATCTGGGGACCGACTTCCTCTATTGATAGGTACTTTCTTTGAAGCACGATATGGTAGAGGAGACAGGTACCGCCAGATATCTCCGGCCATGACACCATCCCTGCTGGCTTGCAGGCAATTCCAACCACGAGCCAGGAACCAGTTCCAATCAGGCGTCATCCACAGCGACCAGAACACCGCCACCAGCCATGCCTAGATAACTCGGGAGCTTCGCATCCCATATCCTACGGCTTCTGTTGTTTTGTCAGGCTCCTTCACAAAATCTACAACCGCCATTATGACTGTCCCGCTGTCGCCCATGCTTCGGACCGCCGTCTGGGTCGTTGTGGCCCCTCTGGGTCTCTACTTCACCTTTCTCGCCCTTGGCGCATCGCCTTTCTTCCAACGACAGTGAGATGGACCCTGCTGCGCGGACTCCCTGCTCGCTCAAGTTGAGTTGCTGACTCCTTCTCACAGCTTCCTGTATGCCCACAAGATCAACACCCTCTGGTGGCGCGACGTCAATGAGCCTGAGAGATGGGGCTTTGCAAGTGAGTCCGCGCGTGCTCCCGTGTAAGACGCGCGGTCGCTAACCCTGATTCGCTGCAGAGGGCCAAGTCACGCCTTTCTCTCTCGAGACCCCTGACGGTGTCAGCCTGTACGCATGGCATGTCATGCCCTTGCCCGAGTACCTCAAGCAGGAAGAGAGGTTCTCGGCGCAGAGGTCCGGCTTCTGCCATGACTTTACCCAGACCGAGTCCTTCAAGGCTTTGAAAGAAAACCCCGATGCTCGGGTTGTGTTATACTGTGAGTGCTGCCTCGCATCCAGGGTTTTTTTTTTCTTATAAAAAACACACTAGACACTAACCATTGATAGTCCACGGTGTAAGATATATATGCTTGGGCCTGATGCCATGGCTGCGTTACTGATTGTTCCCAGAACGCAGGAGATATCGCTCAGAACCACCGACCAGGCAGCTACCACGTCATCACCGACACCTCGTCGTACCACGTCTTGGCCATCGACTACCGCGGCTTCGGCCACTCCACCGGCACTCCATCCGAGCACGGCCTCATCCAGGATGCCGCAACACTCATCGATTGGGTCATCAACACGGCCGGCGTGCCATCCGAACGCATCGTGCTCCTGGGCCAGAGCCTTGGCACGGCCGTGACGAGCGGCGTCGCCGAGCTGTACGCGTCCCAGGGCATCGATTTCGGCGGTATCGTCCTCGTCGCGGGGTTCAGCAACCTGCCCAAAATGCTGCGCGGCTATCGCATCGGCGGCATCTTCCCCGTCCTCGGGCCCCTGAAGGTCTGGCCTGGCTTCCTCGAGTACATGGAGTCCTTCATCTACGAAAAGTGGCCGTCGGTCGACCGACTAGAGAGCCTAGTCAAGCTGAGCAAGAGGCGGCTTCGCCTGACGTTGATCTCGGCTTTGGACGACGCCGACATCCCCTGGACCGAGAGTAGTAAGCTCTTCCGTTCCGCTGCGAATGCGACTGTTCCGGGCGGGCTTGACGACCACTCGTTCGAGGCGTGGAAGGAGGTGCGGACGATCCGCAAAGGCAAGGATGCCTTTGTTACGACATGGACGGCGGAGCCCAACATGATTATTCGCCAGGAACTCTTCCCCCACGGCGGTAAGTGCTCAGTGTTGGCATCTATCTTAGCCCTCTCTGACTGGAACAGGACACAACGACATTATGGGATACGCCCCGGTGATTTTAGCCATCATGCGCTCCTTTGATTTCGGAGGAACTGCTTATGATACAGCTAGTTCCGACACTGGCAGAACGTCGTAGGCGCCTTCTCTCATCTCGGCATTGGCGTTGTTTTCACTATAGACTCGAGAGCGCCAGCATTAGAGCGGAGTCGAGGTAGAATTGGAGTAGGTGGAATCGAAGCAGCCCCCGGATTTACGATATGCAATGTGCAAGGCTTCGAAGCTTCTACGGCAGCGACCCAGTGCTATTAGATATAATTGTTGTTTTTTATGCCGCTCGCTGCCTATCCTGTCTGTCCAAGTTGGTTGGTTTTGAAGATTGAAGCGTCTCATGGAACTCATTTCGAGAGTTATCTGCCATACTATAACATCATTTCGATAAACACCTTTTATTCAACAATATCAGAGTAGGACCCGGTCACGCTCTCTCTTCAAATCTGATGAATGCCCCCCGTTCATCCGGCTGGGTGATGTTGTCGTCGGGGCATTGAAAAAGGCTACACGTGCAGGGATCGCATAACAGTTCCGTCCAAAATGTATGATTTTCTGCCGGCCTGTTTGAGAATCCTCAGGGATTCAAAAGTGGCTTCTGTCTCAAGGTTATCGAATTCGATTCTATATTTGGACAGTAGGCATGAATTGACTTCTTGTGTGTTGACGAATATTGACGGCGGTCAATCACAAAGTTTCCGTCATTAGTTTCAAGCAAGACATTCTCGCCGACCGGCAAAGTCTTCTAGAGGCAAATAATAAGAAACAAGGTCGAAAAACGCTCCTTGTTGTCTTTCGACCTTGGCTGGTGCAACTCATCTACCTACATGGTCGGAAAGGAATTAAACAGTATTCTGGCCAGCGTACTTACTCCCTTACAACGTGCAATGCAGGGATTGCTAACCCCTATGGATTGACCACTAATTAGCGTCCAGTGCCCCGCAGACACCGAGGTCCCTGGTCAGTGACCCCGCCATGATGCAGTCACATAGCTGGAATCTGCCCGGCCACATGAAACTGTCCTCTGCGCCAAAACTTCTTCCCCGCCATTCCCGCCTCCAGGCTTGATCAGAGCTCCCAAAGCTCCGCCCCCATCACGACAAACACAATCCGCCTCTCCGGACACCGATCGCGGTGAAACACCCGTCCAACCTACGAAATAAAATGCCCGCCGAAGAGTCCAAGCCCCTCGACCCGGCCGTCAAGGACGCCAACGACGCCCTGGCCGAGGCCACCGACAAGGGCAAGGGCAAGGAGAAGGAGCCCGAGGCCGAGTCGGAAGACGAAGACGGGGAGGAGGATGTGCCCGAGGAGACGGCCCCCGGCGCATCCGCCGGCGCGGCCAAGAAGAAGAAGAAGAAGTCCAAGAGAAAGAAGCTCAAGGAGGCCCTCACCGGCAAGCCCAGCGACCCCGAGCAGGCCGTCAAGGATGCCATCAGTGGCCTGACACCCCAGCAGCTGACCGAGCTCCTCGCCCTGAACCCGGCCCTCGCCAACGAGCTCGGCAGCAGCACCGGCGGCTCCGGCGCCAAGTCGTCCGCCGAGATCGCCGCGGCCATGCAGAAGCTCGACCTGCAGGACATCATGACGGGCCTCGCGTCGGCCGGCAAGAACGCCAAGGACATGGCCAGCTACAAGTTCTGGGCGACGCAGCCCGTGCCCAAGTTCGGCGAGGCGGAGAAGAAGATCGAGGACGGCCCGATCCGCATCCAGACGGTCGACGAGGTGCCCAAGGAGGCGGCGCCCATGGTGACCGGCTTCGAGTGGGTCACCATGAACCTCGAGGACGACGGCGAGATGAAGGAGGTCTACGAGCTGCTGAACGGGCACTACGTCGAGGACGACGAGGCCATGTTCCGCTTCAACTACTCTCCGGCAATGCTCCGATGGTGAGGAACTTTTCTTTTTTTCTTCTTCTTACTTCTTTCTTTAGGAAACCCGTTGTGCGACGTGGCCAAACCTTCCCGTGCTAACTCAATTCCTCACACACAGGGCGCTCATGGCCCCCGGCTGGCGCAAGGAGTGGCACGTCGGCGTGCGCGCGTCACAGTCCAGGAAGCTCGTCGCCTTCATCTCGGCCATCCCCGTCAACCTGCGCGTGCGCAAGAACGTCATCACCTGCTCCGAGGTCAACTTCATGGTCGTCCACAAGAAGCTGCGTGGCAAGCGCCTCGCGCCCGTCCTCATCAAGGAGATCACGCGCCGCAGCAACCTGCGCGAGATCTGGCAGGGCCTCTACACGGGCGGCGTCGTCCTGCCCAAGCCCGTCAGCACGTGCCGCTACTTTCACCGCGCTCTCAACTGGCAGAAGCTGTACGAGGTCGGCTTCAGCCCGCTGCCGCCCAACAGCAAGCCGCAGTACCAGATCCGCAAGTACCAGCTCCCGGACGCCGCGTCGACCAAGGGCCTGCGCGAGCTCCAGGAGAAGGACATTGACGCCGCGTCGGAGCTGCTGACAAAGTACCTCAAGCGCTTCGACATGGCTCCCGAGTTCACGAAGGACGAGTTCAGGCACTGGTTCCTGCATGACAAGAATGCGCCTGGCGAGCAGGTCATTTGGACCTACGTCGTCGAGGTTGGTCTTACTTGATTACCCCCCCTCTCCCCCCACAGGTTTTATCTCGCGCAGACACTGACAGCATGACCAGACCAACGGCAAAATCACCGACATGTTCTCCTTCTACTGCCTTGAGTCTACCGTCATAAACAGCTCGAAGCACCAGGTGGTCCGCGCCGCCTACCTCTGGTACTACGCCACCGACGTCGCCTTCGCCACACCCTTCGACAGGGAGGCGCTCAAGACGCGGCTGAACTCGCTGATCGGCGACGCCCTCATCATGGGCAAGAAGTACAAGTTCGACGTCTTCAACGGCCTGTCCCTGCTCGACAACGGCCTGTTCCTGGAGCAGCAGAAGTTCGGCCCGGGCGACGGCCAGCTGCACTACTACCTGTTCAACTACCGCGCGGCCCCTATCGCGGGCGGCGTGGACAGGAGAAACAAGCTCGACGAGGAGAACCTGAGCGGTATTGGCTTGGTAATGTTGTAAGGCGCGGCGGAGACGGACGACGGGGGAGGGAGGGAGGACCAGCAGCAGAAGAATAAGTAAAGCTCCGAAAGACCAGCAGGGCCAATTGAGGAAGCGCACCATGTATCCTTTATGCATTACCGGCATTGAGGGAGGGGAATGAATGTGAGAGGTATCACTGAATAAATCAAAAATCATGACGACGTACAAAAAACTAGGGAGCACTTTGTCGTGCCCAGATCGCATCGTGCCCCCTCCCCCTTCCCTTTGCCCTTTCCCGGCTTCTTCTGCCCCAACCAAGCCGGAAACCCCCGGCTTCCTTTATGTTACTGGCTCCAACTTTTCCACCACGGCGATTCGGTCCTCCAGCCACCCGTGGAGCCACGGCACCCTGTCCATGATGGGCGCGTGGCCCATGCCCTCGATGATCTCGACGACGGCGGGCTCGAGGTGCTTCGCCAGCAGCCTGCCGTGGTGGACGTCGATCATGTCGTCGCCGGTGCCGTGGATGACGGCGATGCGGACGCGGCCGACGGCGTCGGCGAGCTGGCGCAGCTGGGCGGGCGACTTGTGGTGCCAGCCCGGCGGGGTGAGCTGCTGCAGAAGCTTGGCCGACGGGAGCTTCGTCCTGAAGGGATACATATAGGCTAAGTAATATGCGACCCGCGGCCAGCCGGCACAACTTAATAGTCGGTTAAACGTTATTCAAATAACGTTGTTTACGGGGGCCCCTTGGTACTTCCACATTGTCACGATAAATCGGCTCATCTCGTCACCAGCCGAGCTGATGATGAATACGGTTCCTATAGTAGAATATTTTTTTGAGCCCGCCAAGGCTTTTTGTATAATTTCTAAGAGTACAGCTGTCTTATGGGATAAGATAATCGAATCAATCCGTATACCGGCTCAACTTGCGATGAGCGGACCGTGGCGTGCAGTAATGACCTAACCTAACCGGACTGTCGTCACTCTCAAAAGGCACCGCGCATCCCTTTGCCGCCCGATGGTCATGTTAAGTGCGCGAGCTTTAGACAGTACTGCTCGACCCAAGCTAAGCGAGGGGCTATCTTCGTTAGAAGTCCAATCGGTCAAGCCCATAAACGATTAATAGAGGCACACGGGGCACATTGGTCGTGTTCGCAGCACGGCGTCGAAAGCCTATTTGTACCCTATCGCTTGTAGACGGGGACTCATGCCGCCCCCGCGGTTTGGAGGTCATTCTGGCTTACTTGATTCGGAATATAACTCTTAGCGTCGTAGTTGGACACGACGTCAGGTAAGGGTTTATTATATCGGGTAAATCAGACCCGCGGGTTTTATCCCAGGCCGAGAAAGCTTTGTGGGGTTACGCAGTGATCGGTGCTAGCATATCTGGCGCAGCGCGGGGTGGCGTCGCCGGGCAGCTCGGCGGCCTCGTCGGGCATGGCGAGCCAGTCGGCGGGGAAGAGCCTGAGGGCGGTGTCGGCGATGCTGCGCTCGACGCCCTTGGGGATGAGCATGGAGGCGCGGTCGCGCAGGTTCTCGAGCATCGGCTTGGTGCTCTCGAACCAGGGCGCCGTGCAGAGCAGGTTGACGGAGGCGAAGAGGGCGGGCGCGGCGAAGGCGATCTCCTGGGAGATCATGCCGCCCATGGAGATGCCGACGAGGTGGACGCCGCGCGGGGCCGCGTCCCAGCCGACGTGGGCGAGGACCTCGAGGGCGTCGCGGGCCATGGCCGACGTCGTGTACCGGCAGTAGGGCACGTCGGACTCGCCCATGCCTCGGTTGTCGTAGACGAGGACGGAGTAGCGGGAGGCGTGGTCGTGGCCAAAGTACTTTGTCTGGCGCTGCCACGAGGTCTTGAGACCGGCGAGACCCATGACGAACTTTTAGGAACAGGGGGAGAGGTGTTAGTTACGTAGAGAAGGAGGAACATGCCATTGCCATTATACTCGAGTGACGTGGGACAGGAGGGGGGGGGGGGGGGGGGGGGGGGGATTCACAATGATCTTTACGGGGCCGTGGCCATGGATCTCCCAGGCAATGTTGAAGGGCCCGCCGCGACCTTGGGCGACGGGGAGCTTTCCCTTGCGGTCGGGCTCGAGGTTCCATATCACTGAGGGATAGGAAGGGTGCTTCATGGTCTCTTCCACCGTCGGGAAGCCTCGTTTTCTGCGCGCGCGCTGTTAGTCGGGAACGGGGGGCCGAGTGACGGAGAGCGGGGGGGCGGGGCGAGGGTACTCTGCGGCCATGGCTGCGTGCGTCTTGTGTCACTGACGATTCCGCTGCCAAGAGTTGTTTGTTCGCGCGTGTCGAGGTAATTGGCGGGGGGGGGGGTTGAGTGGTGGTTGAAGCGTCGTTTGCTGCTCTCAGCTGGCGAACCAGGTGGTTCGACGGTGGAAACGATTCCGTGGCTTTGCTTTGATAACTCTGACCACGTGTGGCGACGAAGCAGATGTCACAGACCGGGGGGGGGTTTTGAGGCTGCGAGCTGAGTGGAGGATGCGACGCTGAACACAGGAACCCGGAAGGAGATGAAGCGTTTTTTTTTTCTTTTTCCTTTTTCGACTACAGGTTTAGTGCCGTTTACGTTGCGAATTGGACAATCGGATCGGGCCGTTCGTATGGAGAGAAACGTACGCGGTAAGTAGGGAAGTATAGATAGTTCACGAGGGAATGATTGACCGATTGGGGCCGTGAAAAAGCTATAATAGGGGTGGTGACGTCGACCGTTGACGGCCTGGTCGGTTATTGGGATACGGACTCGAATACGACAAGCTGGTATTGATACAAAGTATCTGCGTAGCTCACTCTCCCGCGCGGTCTCTGGGTTCCCATCTCGAAATGTAATGCCGAGGTATCAGGAAGTATGTATGTACTGTATGTAGTATAGTGTGCGCCTCCGCATTGACAGTCCGTCTACTTTAGGAGAGCTTCTCCGGTGTTCAGGTGATGGCAACCGTCTTCGAAGTCCTCTATTGCCGAATTCATTTGGGGCGCGGAACCCCTTGCACGGTACGTACCTCGCGGAAGAGCTCTAATCCCTGCTGACTGATCAGGCGTGACCCACCCATACAGGTACCTACATACCTAGGTATCTATGTACATCCGTTAGCCCCTTTGACCGCTTGCCTTTCAAAGTGATTCATGCTGGCAGAATTCCAACCTGGCGCATATGCTGTTCTGTTTGTTGCCAAGTAATTCATCATCGCCAACTCCTCGAACCAAGCTCCTCTACGCCCGCGTTATTGAAGAATCCTCCAAACGCCCTCAACAGCCGAGATCCCGAATCGCATCCAATTTTGCTGATGCGGAGTGGCTTATTACCCTCAACATGCTTCATGTATAGCTACATCTAGGCTCCATTATGTGGCTCCCGCTGCCATCAACCGACAGCCTGACACGGCCTCGCCTCGCCGTCGCCGTCTTCTCTGCTGTCGCAGCGGCATCCCTTGGCTACTACACCTACCAAGCCAGCAGAGACCCCTATCGCGATGTGTCTGGCCCCGGTCTGCACCGAAGCAATGCCGTCCGCCGCCTCCACAGACGATCCCGCCGCAATTCCGTCTCCTCCCAAGGCTCCCGTGGAGGGGAAGAGAACCTCGACCTCGATGCCATGCGCCCCATGAACGATGGCGACACCGTAGTCGACGGCGGCACCGTCGATGAGTGGTGGAACGACCCCAACAGCATGCAGCCGCAGGCCCGGGCCGGCCACAACATCGTCAGCCTCTTGTTCAGGGTCTCGGAGGACAACGCGAGGCGGAACGCTTGCGTCCATAGGGGCTGCGCCTGTAACGCCTGCGGCATGGTGCCCATACGCGGCGTTCGCTACCGCTGTGCCAACTGCGCCGACTTCGACCTCTGCGAGACGTGCGAATCCCAAGGCGTGCACATCAAGACGCACATCTTTTACAAGATCAAGGTCCCCGCCCCGCCCTTCGGCCCCCGCCAGATGCAGCCAGTCTGGTACACTGGCGACCCCGACACTTGCTATAGAAACTTGAATCGTAGCCTGATGGCGAGACTCAGCAAGGAGACGGGCTTTGAGAGACCCGAGATCGAGGCCTTCTGGGAGCAGTTTACCTTCATGGCCAACACGGAATGGCGCGAGGACTCGGACGAATTGCACTTGGCCATGGACAAGAAGACATTCGAGCGCTGCCTCGTCCCCTCTGGTGGCTCGCGACACGCAACGCCGAACCTCATCCACGACCGCATGTTCTCCTTTTATGACACCAACAACGACGACCTGATTGGCTTCACCGAGTTCCTGCACGGGCTGGCTTACCGCAAGCGCAAGGACAAGCTGCGCAAGATCTTTGAAGGCTACGACATTGACGGCGATGGCTTCGTCAACCGCCGCGACTTCTTGCGCATGTTCCGTGCATACTACGTCCTCTACAAGCAGATGCACCGCGATATTCTCGACGGGCTCGACGACCAGCTGATGGGAAGCACAGAAGCTCAGCAGCTCGTGGCAAGCAGACAACCCCTGAGCAGTCTCTTTGGCCGTGAGGGCAGGGTCCCCCGCGCCCATGCTAATCACCGCAGCGAGGGCAAGATCTTCCATCCCAACGGTGACGTGGAACTGGAGCCGGGCAGGAATAGCATCGTTAGTGACGACAGGGGGGACACGTCCGGGCGGGAGGACGTGCTGACGAGGCTGTTTGCACCATACATTGGCAGCCCGTGGTCTGGCCAGATGCGCTCTCCGGATAGCGAGCCGGACACTCCGTACTGGGATGCTTTGCTCAACCCGCCCACGAGCATTGACGACCTGCCCGACTTGCTTACCGGACAGCGTCGCGAGCGCAACGAGATTGATTTCGACTTTGATCTGGAGCTCCCCAGCTCCGATGGCGAGGATGGAGCAAACAACAACTCAGATGCGGAAAACAGAAGCCAGACTGGCGACGCTGCAGCACAGCCCGACGGCTCCGAAAGCCAGAATCAAAGGGTCGACCCTGACCGGTTCACAAACACAGTTCCTACCGAGAGTCAACTCAGGGCCCAGGTGATCAACCATAAGAGGCAGATGGCTCCCGATATCGAGCGGAGACGGCGGCAAGCCGCCAGAAAACAACTGCACGACAGGTGGAAGAGACGACAGTTTTACCTCGACGAGGAGGAAGGCGGTCTTGCCCCTGATGGCTGGCATTCCGATGAGGATGTCCTGCTCAACCTCAATGGTGTTGCGGAGAGCTCCAAAGCAGCACAGGGGCAGGTCTTGTCTTCGCGGTCCAGGTCGTCGTCAAAGGTCCGCTTCGCGGAAGACATGGACGAATACGAAACCAGATCGAACCCTTCGACGTCATCTAGAAGCGTGCCCGAGCGCTGGGGTGGCTTGGAGATTCCCGACGAGGAGCGTGACGCCGGCAAAGAGATCCTTTATCAGGTCACGCAGCAGGCCTTCAACGAGCTTCTCGATGCCATCTTCAAAGACAAGGAAGACTTGGCCGTAAAAGCAGCTGCGACAAAGGCCAATCGGAACAAGCACAGAGCCTTGTTTGAGCACCTGACTGTCGATCAGCCCGAACCCAAGACGGTAGAGCCGCGACAGCCTAGGAAGGCCATCGACGAGGACAAGCCGATTGCCGAGAGATCTCTGGAAGAACTCTTGTTGACTAGTGGTTACAGAGTCGACGAGTTCGGTCACGAGGTTGATGAACCTGGGCAGAGGACCAATGGATCCGCTGCAGAAAACAGACGGAGGGTCGAAGAGGTCCTTGATGATGACGATGAGCAGGAGAAGGCGGATGACGATGACGAGGGCGAGGTGATTGGGGAAGACACAGAAGACGCGGAAGAAGAGGATGCCGTCGAGGTTGAATTCCAGGACCCGACGATGCCTCAGTTCCGACCCAACAGCGAGGCCACGATCGCGTCTGTCTCATCAGACAGCTCGCCGGCCCCCTCGGAATCCTCGGCATCGAACCAAGGATCCAAGTCGGCGACGAAGAAGAAGAAGAAGTCTAAGTCTACCCGGTTTGCAGCAGGCTCATCCGAGGCTATCACGCACTTCACACTCCTGGAATGGAAGCGCCTCGACCTGGCGGAGAAGGAGGCAGTCGACCGCGGCGGCTGGGGCAAACTGAGCTTCGAGGAGTTTGAGGAGATTTACAAGAGCCAGGAGAACGCCGGGAACCGTCTCGATTACCTGGGCAGCTGGGTCGACTTCTGCATCCCCTAGTTCGGGGGCAGCGACGGGAGGCCGAAGCAGACGCTGCGCAACGGGGATATTTCCGAGCATCCTTGGTCGGAGAGATGGTCCACGCCCGAAGGGTTTCGGGAAGGACCATGAGGAAGACGGACGGGGAGCTCATGCGAGCAGTGGAGGGGAGGGATGGCATTTTCTTTGTAACTGACACCGGCTGACTTCTCCCCACCTTGGCTGGCTTCAACAGTTTTGTGGACAACGACACCTCAATTGTTACATCGGGCAAGTCTAGTCTTCATCATTGCGGAGAATAGAGATTAAAAGGGCGGGGTTGGGATCGGTGTTTAACATCGTAGGCGACAGTGAGTCAGGGGCGAGCAACACACAGCTTGGAGTTCCGGCGTCATGAAAATGTACGTAGCTAGGCAATCATGGACAGGCCGCCAGGAACCAGAGACATACATATACATCAATCATGTTCATCCGGTCTGCACCCCCAACGTGGTGAGGATGCACGGTCATTCTACCGCAACTACAACAAGCCGCTCGCTCCCCTTCCGAAGCCAGGATCCATTCCTCCCTCGATGAAGGACATCGTCCAGTAACGAATAGGTTCCCTTCTCAGACACGTCTTGTTCAACGTGCACCGGTGGTGCCGTATCCTCCGGCAACACTATTTAGCTACACTCTACATATATAAAGTTGAATCTATGTGTTACTATCAGCGGACAAAAAGGACACCCTCCTCCGCCCAATCTTCGTGGCGGTTACAGAGGCTGATAACCACCAGACGAAAACCAATTAAACCTTGTGCCGAATGACTTCGATAGGGGGTTAAGTCGCGAAGCCGACTCACCCCAACTCATTACCATTCATTCTCTCTCGTCTCAACATGACAAGCTTACATTGCATCTTCTCGCCATCCGGGTCGTTCACAGGTGACTTGGGAAAATATTCTATTCTATTTCAATGTATTCCATGTTTATATCATAATCTAGCATTTCACATCGTGGGTATCATGACAAATCGGGACGGAGTCGTCTTTCACTCGTGGTCCCTCATCCAGTCCATCAGCTGCCGCCAGTCGACGCACTGGTGTTCCGTGCCGAACCCCGTCACGCCGCCGATCGCGGGGTCTCCGACCTCGATCGTCAGGTCGGGCTTGCACAGGATCGACTGGCGGACGAGGTCGAAGCAGTGGCCGACGTGGTACATGTTGTGGGCGTGGTTGAGGTCGTGCTCGGTGTTGTGGTGCTCCACCGCCGCCGTCGCCGCCGCCGCCGCGCGAGAACCCCTTACGCCCGTCTTGTTATGGGACCGCGCCACGAAATCGGGCCGCGCCTCGTAGAGGGTCTGTCGGATCATGTCGAGGCAGTGGAGCTGGTGGAAAACGGCCACGCAGCTCTTCTGGGGCGCCAGCTTGGGGTGTTTGAAGAAGCCGCCTTCTTTGGGCAGGAGAGACGCCCAGGCTTCGTCGACCTCCGGGGACGGGGGCATGGCGTACTTCAGGTCTAGTTCGAATGTCTTGCGTACGGTCGATACTGGTGTTGTATGTCAGAAGCGTTTAGTTTATTCGACGTCGGAACGGCAAAAAGCCATGGGAATGGTGGGGGGCTTTTGACGTACGTTGAAGCTCCGACCTGACCGGTTCGTCGCCGTAGTATCTCGGCTGCGTTTGACTCGAAGAAGAATGCCTGCTCGCGGAGGCTACGAGGATGAGGAGAATCGCATAGAACAGATGTATTCTCCCGTGCTTCCAGTACTGTCTCAGCCGCGACTGTCTCGCCGGCACGTCGTCGCCGCTTTCATCCCCATATCCGAGTTGGACATACTGGTGTGTTTTGATAGTCGGCGCCAACATTATGGGGGTTCGTTGGGGGTGGTCAAATGGAGGGAAAAGCCAAGAAGCGAGTATATTATCAGCCGATGCCGCACATTTAGGAGCTCAAAATGAATACGTGTGGTGGGTTCGACATTCGCAAATGCACAGTTCGGAATTCAAATACATGCGCTGATGAGAAAAGGAGCCCCCCCCCCCCGGTGTCTTACGCAACGTCATCCAAGGCCGAGGGCAGAGTTGAAGAAGCAAGCAAACTGGTGATCGCCAACCTCTGACCGGATCAACCTTCACGAATGCGTCCCGACATCACAACCTGCGCCGCATAGCCGTTCGGGACACCGGATGACGTTTCCTTCTTCCCAGGTATGGATTTGCAATCCAAACCCCCCCTACTGTCGAGGAGACGATACATCAAAAGTCGCCGTTGTGATTAGCCTGGTTTTCAATCTGTGCCACGGCCTTGTTCGTCTGGTCACTCCAGTTCATGGATAATAGCCTTAGCAAAGGCAAGCTCGTAGGAAAGAGAGCATAGCCACCAACATCCATGTCTCAACATGCGGTGATGCGCGTTTCCGGGTTTCGGCCTAGCCTGTCAATCTTGCGCTTGGCTTTGGGGATGGGAGGGGCGGGATTGATCGGCGACTACAGCGTTGCGCGGGCCAACATCCAAAACGCAGAGGTTACAAGCTTTGGGCCGGTTTGCCGTCTCCAGTGTATAGAATTGTACGGTTCCCCGGATTTCGGCACCGTCGTACATGGGGGGGAGCGGAGTTTGGCCCCGGTGAAATAGCGACAACATGACTCAAACGGTCGGTGCTCGGAGTGCTTTTGGCTTCTGTCCCTTTTATACATGGGCGGTGGTTCGCACTGAACGGCTAAATACATCCGATGCCATCTGAACCATTCAGTAGGTCCCTTAACTAGGCGTATGAAGGACACGGGGCCATTCCAGACGAACCTGACAGAGACACTCGCACCAATATTCTGTCCTCTGTGAGTCACTGCAGCTGATAGTGAGGATTACTGTGCAGAGGCGATGCCTGAGTCATTGACAAAAAAGAAGGCCCCAAGGCCGTTGGCAGCAATGCGCCGCTTGAGAGTCTTGGAACAACAGGGACTTGTACGAGTGTGCAGCAGTGGACTTCGTGCAACGATTCGATGTATTTTTTTACTGTCATTGACCGTTTGAGGGGAATCTTGATGTCATGGCTTCTCGCAATAAGAGTCGGATCTCTTCTGTTGAATGGGTTGCAGGACCTTATGTTTGTTAAACTCGCCCTCTCTTGAATCCTAGTTACAATAGTATCTTCGCAATTTGGCCGTCCTCTGTATGAGATCAAATTTAGATCCCTGCCGACTTGCTCACGGAAACGGCTTTCTTGCCGGGCATAAAGTACATGATGGACTTTAGCATCATCGTCGACCACGGACACCGGCGCAAAAGTTACGGCATGGAGACAATCGGTGCGTTAGTGAAACACGCTAGAATTTGGGCTCGGCTGCGAACTCTTTAGAGCTGGAACAGGCAACGACAACAAACCGCGGCGAGCAATATTGTGGGCGTTTTGCCTCGCCGAACTTGAAGGGAGGCAAAAGTTACAATGTCGGCCAAGATGTTTGGGTGAAGGAGTCTGATGCTGGACACTGAGACCAAGCCAAGGAAAGAGTTACAACTGGCATGGTCTTCGACAATGGAAAACTGGCTCGGGGGCCATTCCACGCAAGGCAAAGACCAGAGTGAAGTTGAGATGACCGGACTGACGGTTGTTTTGAATGTGACAACAACATCGGGCCTGATTTCGGTGCCGTTGTTGGGATCGAAGTTGGGCATGTCGAAGAAGCTGACGTGCCGTGAAGAGATGAGTAGATACTCAGAGTCGGGCTATATCAAGTCAGTGACCATTTCTAGTGGCATTACGGTCTTCATCTCGTCTGGGAGACTTACCGAAAGGTGAACTTCGGCAGCATCAGCGCCGGCTGGAACAACGTTACCCGGCACGTGGGTCCCAACCGAGAACACTTCTTCGAAGCTCAACGTTGGTTGCAGTTGGATTGACCTCGTAAGCGGCGACGATGTTACAGAGCTCGGCCAAGACAAGAAAGAAGGGGCGTACTATGAAGCCAGAGCAAGACATCTGCCATTTTTACGGTCCAAAACTGAGCTCACGGCTCGGTTGATAATTGAGCGGCTGTTTAGAGGTATAAAGGACCCCTTGTTGTTGTCTCGGAAAGAATAAATGGTGGTGGTGAGATTAGTGAGGTCTCTATCTGCGCAGCAAAGGAGGGATCTTGCCTGGTACAAAGTGAGCCACGAAGGATTTGGCGCGCACGCGGTGGTTGAATCAAATGCTTCCAGCGTCGTTCCAGCCTCCTGGGCCTGAAGATCCAGACTCGTGACAGCTCCAGCGTACGAGGCAGCATAGAGCAGCGTTGATGCCACCGGCTTGGAGGACATCATTGCCATTACACACGATGTAGGAGGGACGTCGAGCCTTCACACCTCGAATAATAAGGTCATCTTGATTGAATCCGGAATTTACAGAACATGCCACAATGCTGACTACATATCTTTGATACCTACTCCGCGAACAGTGTCGAAAGTGCAACCTTCGTTACCCGCTTAGGAAATCGATTAATTTTTTCCGCGCGGGATTGAAGTTATAGCACTGTGGAATCACCACATGTTCATCAGTGAAAGACTCCCGGTCAAACAGTTTCACAACGAAGCCGAGATCGTACTAGCCAGCGTCAAACTTTGAGTGCTAAAGTACCTGAATATATTTGTGGGTAAGGTTCCAAAAGACAAAGCCCTGACAACTTGATATGAACGGGAACAAGGGATGAACTGAAACTTGGGGTCAGCAAGGCGATGAGGGGGAATTCAGAAAACGAACAAATGGTTTACCTTGCCAGCTTTTTCAGACTTCCACACACTGAAATCGATCCAGAACATGCGTGGGGTTTGTCCCCTTTTCTAATTATATAGTCGGGTCCTGATGTATTCTGTCTATTCCTGTTCATGATACTTTCCAGCGACATTATAGACTTCGTGTTTCGTTTGCAAATATATTGACGTCGGCAGGGATATAAAAGGAGAAAAGCAAAAGAAAAAGAAAACCCCAAAAGAGGCCACTGCATAGCGTGCCTGTAGTATGGCAGCGCCCTATGATATCGTACCTGGATAAGGGAAGATGTACAGAGTGAATGATAACGACTCACTCATGTTCTATATGGCATTCTATCATACTCTAGTGGCGGTATATATACGGTGCAACGCAGTGAGTGCCTCGACGTACTTTTCATCATGGGCAAGTAACAAATATGCAAGGGGATTTGGGCTAACGGGCTGCAAATCGCCTACACGTATGCAGAGGGCATATGTATTGTTCAATATGGGTAGGTAACTGGGGTATTTTGACAAGCGTGACCGGTTGATATTGGCAGTCATGTTCAATCCCTTGCACGGATGAGCCAGCTTTCATAAAAGATGTCACTGGCGCGATCTGTTTTCAGACTTGAAACCAAGTCCATCAGCCAAGTGCATGATAACACCACGCGGCTAGCCTCGAACATCTTCGACGACGACGTGTCGAGACCTATATGCAATGTTGATTCTGAACAGCGCTATGGGAATGACTGGGTTTCCGACTGGGGACGTAGTAAAATATGTGATCTTGGGGCTCACGGGACGAGGAAACAGTAATATTTGGAAAACATTGCAGCCCAGTAAGCTTCTTGTACGTAACACATATAGATTCGATATCTGGTCCTTGCTTATGTTATATCTTCCGCCTGGCATATAGCTATTGGAAATTTCTTGTAGGGAGCAGTCAGTGACGTTTACTTATATCGCTGCGAGGGAAGGCTATGTCGACTAGACTGAATCACCAACATCATATATGCAACCTGCCAGGAGTCAAGTTTATGCCTTATTTCGATATCTCTGAGAAGGTGTAACTAAACAAGACGCATTGACGTCTGGCTATGTGCATTAGAAAATAAAGGAGAAGAAGTCCCAGGATTTATTCGGTGTCTTCCCTTTATCTCTCCTTCCCTCATTCAGGACGACTTTCGGAAACTACCATCTGTTTGCCTCCCACTTTCGAACCACCCACGAACGCGGACCGTACACATCTCTTAGAGGCCGAGATAAAGTGCGAAGAAATCGTGAACCGTCTGGTATTCTAGCAATGGCTTACGAGGTTTACATAATTATTAACGAACAGAAGTGGGAACAGAAGTGGTCATCTCTGAGGATAGCGGAAAGTACAGCCAACCAAGTTTCCCCACCAACACGTATGGCTTGCTATCCACTCAATCCGCGAAGGAATATTCCGCTGCCTTCTGCTTACTGGGCCTATGAACGGACATCCGAGCCAGATGAACAAGGTTTCTCGAGCATTTTGACTAGCTGCAATGCAAGTCGTCACCTCAACGTAAAGGGGGTGACCTACCCCTCATGCTGGCAGCGGAATCCAGTCCTATTGCAGGTGGTTGAAACAAGTTTGACGGGACGAACGAATCGGAAGGGTTGGAGATGAACTCTGTTCCCTCGGCCATGTTATCACGAGCCACTTGACTTTGCTACTCGATTTTGAGCGTATTAAAGACCAAGATACCCCTCTTTCCTCATTTCTGACAGACGTCTCGCTTCTCTGAAATATTGCTTTACGTCCATCATCTCGCAACATTAAAGCTGAGAACCAGTGCTCCGAGGACCTTGTATCATTGACCAAACGTATCAATCATGGCTCCAACAGCTAGTGAAAGGGCCCAGGCCAAGTTCTTTGCCGTGATCGAGGATCCTCGAAGATACGACTCGTCGAGTTCGTTCATGCCCCAGAAATTGACCCGACAGATAATCAGACGCTGACAGTAATGGTCCAGACTTCAAGAACAGAGTCATGATCACGCGAACACCCTCTGGGGGTTCCGAGCTAACCAACATTGTTAGTCGGCCGCCGCCGCGTCGGGGTAGCTCCAGCAGCCAGGGCTCTGTCGTCGAGCAACAGACTATACGGAGCAGAATCAAGACTTGGATGTATCCTCGAGCTGTTTAGTCTCTATATCGTGTCAAGTCGATTCGGATTATCAATTGTATTAAATCCTTCTCGGCATCTTAATTTTGAAGTGATGACAGCAAATGAAAGCAAGTCTTTATTTGAGATGAATGTTGTCTGGGCCTAAAAGAACCCCCTTCCAGGCTTCTCCAGCTCCAACAAGTACTTCGCAAGATATGAAGTTTGCTGTGTATAGTCTCTTCCCACTATTTGGTGTTTCTGTAAGCCCATAGTTGCAGTCGCGAGAACAATTCTGCAAACCGATTTGCAGTCGCGTTTTATTTCAATAGTTTCGCCGGCAGCAACTTGGACTAATCTAGGTTCAGCACATAAGAGTCCTGCTAGTCTTTGAACATTGGGGGCGTCCCAGCGTCTCCCCAGGAATAGTCAAGATAGGAACGTCAGATGGCTGAAAGAGGGCTCAGTCGTCCTCTATAACAGTTTCCAATCTTCTTGGGCGATTTGCATAGGCTCGATAAATACACGTGATAAACGCATGAAGCCTATAGGTGGACGATGGTGCTGTCCGTTCTCCAATAAGTGCAGCAAGCTAAATCTGCCCCTTTCTAGCAGATTCTACCTAAATAAATCCAATAGTGTTTCTGCATTTCAGCTGCTATTCCTAGAGCATTTGGTGGAATCTGGACGAATCGAACAGTAGCAATTAAGGCACTTGGATGCAAAATAAATAGAGCGTGCCTATCAATTCCTGTTTTCCTTTTTCTTTTCTTTTGTTTGTAATCGTGTACGATGTACGATGTACATAATCTCTTAAAAATACGCCGCAGTCTTAATTTGATATCGATTTCAACCTATAGTAATAGCAAACATTGTCGCGAAAACAACGCCGTTAATTACGGGCAGTAATTAACGTCTAATATATCCTGTGACAGATATTAAGCTTATGTGTATGAAGGCATTCTACAGCGTACCAAATGAATACCTACTAATATCTGCTGTGGACTGCCAATGTGAGAGGAGAACTTCTGCCATGTCAACCCGATCCGGCTCTACCGTCGGCCCCTCCTCCGGTCCTCCGCCGGCAGTCCCCGGGCACCTGGATAAGATCAGACTCGGTCTTGCCGAAGCCATCGCGGCACAATGACTAGATCCTTAAATATTTTAGCTTTGCATAATACCGCTTCCGTAGGCAGTCAATTGCGAATTCGTCTCTTGCAACCGAAGCACTCGCAATTCCCGCTCCTTCGCCAGCTCTCATTACCACACATTCCTTCTCTACCAACCCGCGTCTTAACAATCCCAAACTCAAGATGAAATTCCCAACTCTCGCTACCACCAGTCCTCAGTTGCTTCTTACCCAGGGACAGCACTAGAAAAATCACAATCCCGCAATTAGGATAGAAGGCGCGTGGATATCTGGAGTGGTCTAGAAACACTCTACAGGTTAGCTGGGAGGGCAAATCGTTCGCTGGAAGACTTTCGGCTAGGTATTGATGAGATGGGCCGGATGAAGCGTCGGGGGAGCTTTCATCAGAAGCAACGGCGAACCTGAGATGAACGGATCCTATTCTTCACATGGAAATTATAAACGTCACACATCTTTTCTCGGCAAAAGTTCAATACGCATCTACCTTCAAGCCCCGGTTTCTTTTTTTTCTTTTTCAAACCGGGGTACGGGGCCTAGTGCAGTAACGTCTGGAGAGGTCCACAAGGAACTAATCCAAACCATGCTCTTTCCACCATTTGAACTTGTAGCATACAAGCCTGGCAGTTGTTTCCTTCTCAAATATTTCCCTCCACCCTTCTGGCAACTCCCCATGGAACCTGACAACTTCGAGATGGTGAAGCTGTGACAGAATGCCAAAGAACTCGCTGGACTTCTTCTCGTTGAACTTGGCCTCCCATCCTTTCAGATTCGAGAAAGTCGGTCTCGGCTCCCAGTCGATGACGAGCTCGGCCAGGTCCTTGGATCGTTGCGCTACCTCGCTGAACACCCCCATCCACCGGTTCCAGTTCGGATACTCGGTGGTGAGGAGGAGGTAGAACCTGCGCAGGCGCTCGAAGCGGAGCGTCCCGTGAACGGCGAAGCCGATGCCCCTGTCGCCCAGGGCCTGAGGGTGTACGTGCATGACGGCGTCTGCGTGGACCCGTTGCTGCAGTTCTCGATAGGCGCGCTTGCATGTCAACATGAGGAACGGCAAAGGTTTCGTGTAAACCCCTTGCTCAAAGTAAGTAAGCAGCGGCCTCGAGGTGGAGCCAAAGTCTTCGCGGCTGAAGGCGAGATAGTATTCATAGATGCGCTCTTTGACTTCCCAGGGAAGAGCAAATAGGCCAGAGCCATTTTGCTCGAGAATGGTGTTGGTCTCGACGGATGTCCTGCTCAATGTTAGCTGGGCTCAAGATGAAAAGGGGGCACGGTGGTTGAGTGTAACTCCACATTTTCCTCAACTTGGTCAATACTTGGTGCGGATATGACCTCGAGATTTCGTGCTGGGTTATGGAGTAGGAAAAACTGCTGTTCCGCAACAATCAGAGTGTCAAGCAAGACAGGGAAACGCTGAGTGGTGAATTCATTTTCTTAAAAGCAGATGACTGCCTGAATCTACGCCGCTGCTGCCTGCTGAGTTTATGCGGAAACATCTTGCCGCGTCGGCCGTTGGGGTTCACCCGCTTCCGATTGTAAACAACGCATGCCACCGGCATGCTTACTGCACGAAAGGAAAGGAACCTTCCCCGGGTTCGGTACCGGTGCCGCGTCTCTCGGTGATGCTCCGTCACGGACACGGCCTTAGCGGCCGCATCACGGCGGACGATCCGCGCCCGCTTGCGGAGCAAAATCCACCAAAGCTCCGCTTCATGAATCGCGTGGCTCTGCGACTAAACTCCCAGGCGCTCTGTCTACAGCGCAGCGCGATTACATGTCATTCTTGCAAATTCTGTTTATTAATAGTGAATCCGGAATGCCCTCGCCGAGGCCGGCGCGGACATGCTGAATCCGCCCCGTCCTGGAGGATCCAGCTCCAAGGACGAGCACAAGGGCCGCCGCTTGTTAGCAACAGCACTTGTTCGATTGCATTTACTGCCAACGGTGCTAGCTGGAGAAAATTCGACCACGACTAGCCGCTCCCTTCTTGACGTCAGTGTTGCAGAACAACCCCTTTATATGGACATAGGTAGTGATCACCCAAGTACATGGCAAACACATTGCCCTCTGGGGCCTGAGATGTGATTTGGCATAGGGGGTTAGGGATAAGGGATTTTAGGTATGCTAGGTGTGGGTGCTTTGACTTTAATGTACAGAGTACTCACAGCATCCGTCTCTCTAACGTTACAGTGAGACGGCGTTAGGGCTAAAACGTCTTGAAACATACAAGTCTTAGTGACCTATAGCGTTAAGTGCTGTGTGCTGCTCTACATGCGGAGTACTCGTATCTCATATCCCTGCACTGATCTCATGTCTATCACTTCAGGTGCTGTCCTCGAATGAGTTTTCTGAGGGCACATCATCATCGGGATTCAGACTCTGAATGATGTCAAGGGCTTCCCGGTGGCTCAGCGCAAATCCCTCCTTATCCAAGCCCCATAGACCAAACTAGTGCTCCAAGATGCTGTCTGATGGACAAGACTGAGGTACGATCTTGTCAACATTACAGCCCAAGTACTTCCGCCAACTGTACAGCCATTAAAGGCATGTTCCTACGCCCAAATGTCCCTCGAGTATAGGCAGAGTTAGAATCGGCTGGGATCTATTATAATGTCTTTGTGATGTAATCAGCATTGCCGAATGGAACAATCTTGACACTGTCCCTGGCCGCCTAGAACAGACGAGAGCCTAGGACAATTTCTCCTTGGGACGTAGCAATTAGTGAGATTGGCGATTTGAAGTGATAGTGTGCCCGGAACAGGGCGAGCTGCGTCGAAGGATGCACTTCTTAGTTGATTGGTCAGGCTCGCAGTCTGCCATTGGTCCGCAATTCTGGACGTCGTCGATCTCCCGACACAGCTGACAATCATCGTTCCTTAACTACAATCATTGGCTGTGTTCTGAATCCGGATCAGGCAACACTGGATCGACTAGATTCTGCCTTGAAGTTCGCCACATTCCTCCTGTTAGGCGGTGGGCTGACGGGCACCTCACCTCCAGTCTCCGAGGGTCCGAATTAAGCAGAGCGTGCATATTTATCTTTGCTCTTAAACCTCACTTTCCTTTACCTCACATCATATCAGACCTCTGACTACCTTTTAGTGGTGATACTAGGTTAATCTTGATTCAACATGTTTAACGGCACAAAAGGGTGTTCCTCCATTGAGTACACGGGCTCGCTCGTGACGGTCTGTAGTACCGACAGCTACCAGTCCATCTGCGTGGATGATAACAACGGAAACGTCAAATGCAACATGACTCTTGGCAGCGCATTCTCCATCGATGGAGACTTTTCTCATTTCTTCTTACCATACGGTAGCATTGCATGGATCAGCAACGTTATCGGATGCTACATTTGGTTCTGCATTATGTCCGGCAATGCGCCCATCAATCCAACCCGAAAGATTAAGCACAAAACACTCGTCTGCTTGGGAGGCTTCGCGTACGCTATAATTCTGGTGGTAGTCGCCGCCATCAAAGTCCCCAAGATGAAGGACCGAAACCTTAAGCTCATTGTCATCGGACACGTTGTTGCTACAGTTATCATCCAGGGGGCTATTCTTCATATGATGAAGAGCAATTACATGGACGTTAAGGAGAATACGAAGAACAATAACGAAGATCAACCCGTTAAAGAGAAACTCAACGCGACTGTATCGACCGACGCAATGGACAGTGTTCCCTCCCGTCCCTCGACAGAGTCCACGCGGTCGAACACCTCAATGAGTACAGCGGTATCAATTTCAGAAAAGCCTGGATTTCTGGAACGTTTTACCAGCAAGATCCCAGGAGTACAGACGGCTGAAGAAGTTCCCGTAACTGAGACCACTGGTACAGAAACTCCAAAGAAAGAGGAGACAGTAGGAGAGGGACTTGCGAGTATGATGTTAGGCCTGGCATTCCTGTCTCCCGGCCACTTGATGATGTTGTGCGGCGCAATGCACCTTGCGAAATGCATCTTCGTGAACCGAGAGAACAACGACACCAGACAACAGCGCGAAACCAGAGACAGCCTTATTCTTTTTGGTATTATCTACGGGTTGGTTCTCGTCATCAACATTGCTTGCATCCTAAACTATTTTCCCCAGGCTGCCGCGAAGTCTCAGAACGAAGAGAGCGTCGATAACGAGGAAAATGAGAAGAGGCGCGCCGCCGAAGCAAAGAAACTGAGGGAAACAGTGTTGTTCGCTGTAGGAGTACTGGCTGGGCTTGTTACCGATTGGTGTCGATATTTTGTGCTTGCTGCGGCGGCGAAGGACACACATGGGCTTATGCATCTTGGGGATGTTTCGAATCTCAGCCTGATAACTTTGATTCTGTCCAAGTTGTTCGTACTGGCCTGTTAGTCAAAGCTTCGTCAAAAGCCTCAAACTGCATTCACTACCGGAGCAAGAGGTCGCAAAGGCTAGTGGAATAGGTAGATTGCGTCGAAGGCTAGGTGGCCTGGTAATTGTTGACTCATGGCCTGATGCAGACTCCCAATAGCGTAATCATCGATACAACAGAAGGGAACTTTGAGCAAGATTGGACGATGTCTTGACTATGGCCATCGGATGTTACTTAAGATAATGTGTTTCCCCTGACCGAGACTGGCTAGCCCTTTCCAAAGTCGAGTTCATATGCTGAGATGCAGGGCGGTGCAGGGCAAGGTATTATTCCACCTTTTTTGCGGCGATGCTGTCTTGGCTACATAGCTGCCTGTTCGTTGGAATGATGATGGCGTGACAATCACTGGTTTCAGACATTGAACGACAGGCAGACAGCTAGCCTTGCCACTTGACTAGGGCGTAAGGCGAACCAACATATCATAATTCGAAAGAGCCTCCATGTATCAGGATAACTATTATATGCTCAATCCATACCTTAGATGGACTCCCGCCTTCCTACTAGTAGTTGCCAGCCGCGGACCGAGACGGGCTATCGACGGTGTGGCGTCTACGGAAACACCGGTCATAATGCGCGAACATACAATGCGCTAAAGAAATGTCTAAAGCAGAGGGTCTTGAGTAAGGTGGTTTGAATTGATTGTATATCCATGGCGTTGTTTCTCGGTCGTGATTGTGATGCGGTTGTGGTCGGACTGACAGCTCACTTATCAACCACGTGAAGCCTAAAGGCTTCAGTAGAGACTCAGAAGCAGGTTACACTAGCAATCTGCTGAGTACTTACTTCAAGCCAGCCAGTCTGACGTAACACTCAGCATCACTACATCAACGTGAGCAGGCGCCGGAGAAATTCTCTCATGCTCATACACGTTTGAGTACGTGAACCTGGAATCTCATGTTCTCCAGGCTGACCGGATACTCTAAATCCCGTTGCAACTTATACAAGACGTTATCCTCAGAAATGACCTTTTCCCATGCAGGAGTCGACTTGTCTTCCCCACTTTCAGGAACAACATCCGCAGCCTTCTTGTTCGGTTTTGGCACAAGGGCGTAGTCCATGAGATAACTCATCGGATACTTCTTCTTCTCTTCCCCTTCCTTGGCATTGCAGACAGCGGTCTCGGAGTAAGACCCAGGACTGTCTAACACAAGCAATAAGCTCCCCTTGGGAGCAGCCTCCGTTACCTTTAGTAGGAAAGAGGTGGTTTGTGATATCGAGGCTGTGTATAGCTCGTTCAGGGTGAAAAGAAGCGTAAGCAGCGCCGGATCAGGACCAATCGCCGCGTGAAGGTCTTCTGTGCTATAACTCAGCACGTTGGCGCGCGTGAATGTATGGCGAACAGCCCCGGGCAAGAGGAACGAGGCATTTGATGCACGAGCCGCAGCGCTGGCATACTTTGAGAGGGTCGGAGGGGTCTCGAGACACTCATGTAGCTTCGAGAGCACAGCAGACCAGTCGGCTGTGTCGATCAGGTCAAGATTGATGAGTGGTGGCGTAATTTCACGCTCTGGGACTGATAAGGCTTGCAGGTCTTTCGAGGCATCCTCACAATTTGGAGGTAACTCTGGCCTGCCGACTGCGGCTGATGGCTGTAAATGACGCAAAAGACCCGAGAAAGCCATGATTTCAGCCGCACCACCCCCGAAACATACAACCTTGGCTGTCTTCTGCTCATTGTCGCTGTCACAGCCAATGAGTCGTTGGACGCAAGCGTCATCAGCCATCTCCTCACAGATCCAAGCCATGAGCTGCGCGTACGCCAGCGCACGGCTGGGGCTCCAACGGATCGCATATGCCTCCAGATATTCGGCCTTTCCAAAGGCTATGTCAAATTCCCTCAAGGAAAGCGCGCGATTGATCTCCTGCAGCGTCGGCTTCAGAGCCTCGAAGTCGTTGCACGCGGGGAAGGCGGTGCGGAAGACGTTGATCATCAGCTGCTCTAGTCTCACCGAGAGAACGCTATCAAGCCTCCGCGGCTCTGCTGATCCCGATGCTGTAGATGGACGCCGAGGCTTCTTCTTTTGGAGGTAACCAGGCCCAGTCCAGCCCGGATGGCCGCGAGGTAACGGCGGTGGCGCCTTCGACGCACCGCTGTCTGAGGGTTTCCCATGTTTCGGCTGCGACTTGGCTCTGCGATCGAATTTGGCCATCGTAGGCTATTAGTCAAGGAGAACTTTGTTGAAGTCCAGTGGTGCGGGAGCCTTTGGCTGCGATTTCTTGTAGAGCTAGGCCCGCAACAGATGCTTTGCATTGAAAATTTCCCCAAAAGACTTGCTCCACATGACTAGTGTAGACCGGCTCTTAATAGGCTCACGAGTACCCATATGTGGAAAGCATCACGGGTGCCCGTGAAAACGACAAAGCAAACTATCTTTCATCGTCGTCGACGAACGCGTCTCACGTTTGATGCATGCCAGGCGTTGCTATTTATCAAAAACTGAGCGGCAACATAGGTATAAAAACCTTGAATCGATTTGCGCTTTCTATTATTTGCAAAGACAAGAGATTGAACATTCTCGACGACGGGAAGTTAGAGCAGGTTGTGGTGTATAACTGCACATTGCCACGGGAGGTATTGAGTAATAACTCGAACTGGAACATATCAACATACAGCAGAAAGTTTTGAAACAAAATACATAACACTAGATGTTACTAGCATTTACTCACCTGACTCCACTTGGCAAGCCTCCCGCCCACGGAAACCCTTCGCAATACAAGTGTCCTTACATTTATCTTGCTCTTCTCATCCCATTACAACTTCACGAACAGCTTGCTCGCCCATTAGGTCACTCATCAATCCGAACAACTCTCGGCGAACGATACAAGTATTCTTGAGTGGCGTGGGTCTCTTGCTTGTCTACGTATGATGATAGCATATTACAATGCTGCCGTGGGCATCTTGCAGAAGACCGCTGCGAGTTTACAATCGTCAAGTGAACGGGGTGGAAGTTGGATTTGGGAAGAGGTGTATCTGATGGAAGCCGCGTGGCTGCTACCGAGGTCGTCGGTCCAATAGCGACGCTGGTATCCGACGCATCCGCCATGGACGGGTACGCAGCCTACTCCAAGGCCACCACTCTCGCATCCCCGGAGAGACCTCTGCTCCTGAGAGTGTGCTGGGCGGTGGCCGCCGGCGATGAGCCCACGGAGCTGGACGAAAGGACTTTTCATGGCGCGGTCGAGCCGTGCCTGAAAATCACGACCGGCGGCATCTTCCCCAAAGTCGTGGGCACAACGAGGCGGTTGACGCAAGCGTGTGCGTCGAAGACACCGCCGCGGTATCCGTCGCTGCCACGACATGATTACAAAGCCGATGGCAACGGACGCGAACCGTAGGCCAGCAGGGTGCGATATCCTGCTGGAGAAGCGAATCGTCAACAGGGTAGACGTCCTCGGCTCTTCGCACATCGTGCCGTTAGCGTCTCCATCGGGAGGGTTGACTTTGTGGCTTCCTCGCTCTGCGATCTTGAGGCGAAGACTCACTTCCACGGCGTAGCCACGAAACCATGACGTCCAGTCCTCTTTTCCCAGGTCCATAGCCAGTCCCGCGACCTTCCGGTCTTTGGGCTGCCTAGGAACCCAGGTGCCACGGCAGCCTGCTTCTGGCTTCTTGTGCTTCCGTTCCTCAGGTCTTGGCAGCATCAGACTGCCGAGACGCCCATCATGGCGAAGTGCGTATAAAACACATCGACGAGCAGCATTCTGAGAAGGCATGTTGTGGGAGGATCTTTCTTTATTCTACAACGCCGGAAACGCTTCATGAGTGGTGGTGGATACAAGGTATCAATATTGTACATCACGTCGTCCCCTTCAACACATCGACAGAGTCCGGCTCCTGCGCCCCCAGTTTAATCTCCACCACAGCCTCCACCCATTCTTCCATCGTGTTGACGTTCGTCAACCACCACTCGCACCCCGGCGGCGGCTTCAGCATCACCGCGTCCAGCTCTTTGGCCGCCGCCGCCGGACTCGGGTGCCCGCGCGCCACTCGCTCCGACAACCGCGACAGCGCAGCCGGGGCCCAGATGGCCAGCAGCGGCTCGCAGAAGCCCTCGCTCGAGAGGTAGCAGGTCACTGGCACCGCGTCGCGCTTGAGGAACAGCAGGTACAGCGCGTCCGGCGGTAACAGCGGGTAGTCGCACGCCACGACGACCCAGTTCGCCCACGGGTCGTACCGGTACGCCGCGAGAAGCCCCGCGGCTGGGCCGGTCGAGTACTTGGAATAGTTGGGGTGCTCGTCGCGGAGGATCAGCACCTTGGGTTCCCCCTTAAGGTCCTCGTTTTCAGAGGCAGCCGAGGAAGGGTTGTCGGGCTGGGCGGCCAGCAACTCGTCCAGGTAGTCATCCGTCTCCGACTCTTGAGCTAGAGAGATGTAGATTGTTTGGGGTTCCGGGAAGATTGTGCGCAGAAGCTGTAGTTGCCGTTGGTACAAGGGTGTGCCGTCGGGCATGCGAAGGAGGTGCTTAGACGTGCCCATTCGAGTGGACTTGCCCCCTGCCAGGAGGAGTGGCCTCATGGCCGGTGCTACCATGGTTTAGAAAGCCGTTTTCTCTCCGGCCCTGCTTCCAGATATGGGAATTGACAACCGGTATCGTTCTGTTCTTGTCCGAAAGTGATTGAATGGCTGCAAGGACTTTAATGGAACGGAGGCACGGCAGATGATTTGGGGCCCCGAATCCACACACCCTATTCCGATAACCTCATATCCATTACCCCATGGTTGCTAGCGAGTTGGGTTTTCCAGACGTCATGATTACGCCATGATAGCAAGTATCTAGCGCCGGCCTGTTCGCTGGGCTAATCAGCCGAAGATGCCATCAGATCGAGGGGCGTTTCCTGTCCAATCTTTATGCCGCTTTCTTTTTTTTATATCACACTACCTAGCTGACACGCAGCTCCGTTGGGTCCCTTGTCTCACTCCGCTGCGCCGTCCTCCCACCCAGGAATAGTGTACACTGAGCAACCACTCAAGGAAGCCAATCATTGCTTGGCAGGACACCAACTTCATCTAATAGACGTCTGGACGGCCCTATCAAAGTTATCTTAGTAGCCTTCGCTTCAGGATGCCCTTGGGCCGTAAGTATGAAGATCTGCCGTCGCCGACGATGTCCAACAACGAGCGCTCTGCTGTCCGGAATGGGATTCGCGACTTCTCCATGCAGTGGTCCCTGATTCCACAGGTAATGCCCATTGTCGCAAATATCCTCCACGTCAGACTTCACATTCATCATTTATAATGACGTTTCTCACGCTGGTTTTAGGCTAGGGTGGACCATGGAGGGAAATTATCTATGTCCTCTTGTGGATAACCTTCGGGGTGGCTGACACCAACGTCATCGTTCTCCCCTTTGTCTTCATCAAAGTGTACCCGTCTGGCGGGCCTCATGTATACCCGGCCACGCAGCCTCTCCTCATCGCGGCGCTGACCGCAGCGGCGAGCGGAGGAACGACCCGCAACTCCGCCACACCGCGCATCGAGCAGCAGGCCCCCGTCATCATAGTCACTTACCACCTAATAGGTATGAGTCTGCTGCTGTCGTTCTCGCTGGACCTACCTTCTGGGCGGCTGGCAACTCCCGAAGCAGAAGGCCTTCCAGGACGTGATCCTCTGCGGCTCGTGGAGGCAATCTTCCTTCTTCTTGCAAATGCTCAACCAAGTGGTCGCCAAAGGCAGCTCCGCGCAGTATGCTATTGGCATCTTTCTCACTGTGGATGCTTCCGGGCCCGTGGACCTCACTACGTGGTGGCTCAGCACGTTTTAGTGGTTCTTTGCTACTATGGGCATAGTCTATGCGTTCGTCAATGGAAGAAACCAGAGAAGATACCCTACATATTGGCGGGCCGGGCTCTGTTGTTTCCGTAGAGGACTTCCTTGGGACTACAATGGTGGGAGGTTGAGATGTTAACAAGACTTCCGGGCGTATATATAATACAAATGCTGCGGTTCAGTGAGGAAAATTCACCGATTCTGCAGCGTTAAAAGTTTGGTCCACTTGTCTTTACACCATGCTTGTTGTGATATGGCTTGTAAGCATTTTATTCACTCTCAAACTGGAGCCCAAGAGGTGCTTGAGGAATAACAACCACTCTCCTCTTGTCAGTGTGTACCCTTTTGTAGGACTCCAGCGACATTCTCGTTCTGAACACTGCAATGTACTCGAAAAGATTGGGTTATTCAAGCAACTTGGGCAGGAGAAACCCGAAAATGACAAGTATGTTGGATGGATCACTCAATAGTAATCTTGACTTGAATAGATTCCACTTGAATGTGAAGGTAAAGACGACCATGGCCACCGTACCAGAATGCTCAAGTGGGGGATGTAATATGCGTCGTTCCATAGTTCTTGGTGGATTATCGCGGCATTCCGACGAAGAGGCTACCGGTAGTTTAGGTAATATAATAGGCTTAGTTCATTCCGGAAAGCAATATATTATAACTACATTTCTAACCTAGTGTATCTTTTTGTTGCAGCTTATCTATCTGCCCTTAAATGTCCCGTAACATCCACTGTATATGCACACTTGTTGAAATTACCTGCTACTGAGAGCCAGAGATCCTGGGGGCAACGCGAGAAAGGGCCTTGGAATACTTCGCATTCTCGGTATCTTGCGAGATCGCCCAGACCATGACGCCGCCGAGGCACTGACTGCGAGCGAAATCCGCCTTCAATCGGAACGTCTCCTCGTCGTCATAGGTGAGCCAGTTGTCGCCTCCCCACGTGAGAACTTTGACTGCGGCGTCTGTGTCGAGCGTGGACTTCGTGCCCTGCTTGGCTACGAGGTCGTCGATCTCCGAGTTCAGCGCGGCGCCGTCCTCGCCACTGCATGGCTGGGCATCGCTGCCGGACTCAAACGTACATCCCGGGCGGAGGCAGGAGGAGTCGGAGGCTTGGAATCCGCGGCCATAGAATGCGAGGCCCAGGACCACCTTATCGTGATTAACGTTATTGCGCCAGAGCAGGTCCAGTCCGTCTTTGATTTCTGTGAGGTTGGTGTGCGAGCTAAAGTACGGCCCACCCAACTCGGTGGGCTTATTCCAGACGCCATGGAAGTCGTATGCCATCACGTTGAAAAAGTCCACGTGTGGCTCAATGTTCTTGAGATCAAAGTGCTGAAGATTCACTGAAGAGCAAAAAAGTGTCAGGACACACACCTACTCGCTGACGCAAGGAGAACCAGAAATCCGATGGGGGTTTCAGGGGCTACCAGGGACTTACGGTAGATAGCCGGTATTGTAACGCTGATCTCGTAATCTTTGAGCCCTTGCCTCAACGTCTTCACGAACTTGGGCAAATTTGCGAAATCTTCAACCCGTCCACCGCGGTCCTCGACCCCAGGGTACTCCCAGTCCAAGTCGATCCCATCCAAGCCGTAGGTAGACATGAAGTTGAGAACCGAGTCGGTGAACTTCTTCTGCGCCTCTTGACTTCTCGCAATGTCAGAGAACGTGGCCGCCGTCGGCCCTGTGTTATGGAAATCGGTGCCTCCGACGGCGATGAGGACTTTGAGATGGGGGTCCTCGGCCTTGAGGTTCGCTACACGCTTGTACAGATCGACGTCACCTTTTTCGGCTGGCACCAACTCGAAGGTCGATGGGTTGATGCTGATAAAGGCTATGTTTATGTGTGAGTAGACGCCGGCGGGAATCTGTTCCGGGAAGAACCGGTTGCATGCTCGCCCCGTCGCCCAGGTTTCATAGTAGCCAACAACACGCTTGAAACTGCTGTTCTCTTCGACGGGGCAGCTCGGTCGGTTGGCTCTATTGTTGCCGCAGGAGGTTTCGGTTGTCCCGCAATAGCCATATTCGGAGCAGCAGACCTGCGCGGCTGTCAGCGAGGAGAGAATACTTGCACGGGAAGAGGTTCAGTGACATTGAGGGGGCATGTGGTTTTCACCACATAGTCTTCGCCGAAGCCGCCAGGATCGCATTGAGCCTTACGATCGCAATTGTTGACGCAGGTCGATTTGCTACAATCTGTTACACTGGTGAGCTTTGATTCTGGGTGGAGAAAGAATCCCCTTGATCAGCTTGGTTTGGGTGTGTCGTTACAATCAGGACCGAGGCCGCACAAGCCAGACTTGTTACAACATCCATCTTCGCATGGTACTGACGCGCTGCATATTGGAATATCCTGGGCGTGGATGGGGGCAATTAGAGAAAGAATAAAGACCAAAGAAAAGTAAGGGAATAGAGCTCTGTATTTCGCCATCTTGCTCGCACACCTTGGAGGAAAATCACTAGCCGAGTCTATGAGGGTTGGATCGATCGAGGAAAGATCAATGAGGGTGTCAGCAAAGCGTTATAAGGAGCCTGATGCAAGTTTAACACTTGGAACACTGCTTTCCTTCATCATGACCCGAGCCTCCTTACACGGTTAGCCCCGCTGTCTTCATGCTGCAACTTTCGGCATAGGTATGATTCATCTCCTTCTTCTGGATATCCGGAGGTGAAGGCCATCTACTTCGTCCGGCGCTATAGCGAAAATGGCTTTATTGAAGTCTTGGCCCTTGTATCCAGAGGCCGCGGGTCGTATCATGCAAGCCGGTCAGTGGTTAACCGTATTCAAGCACATTGTACGTCCGCATTGAATGGCTAATGCCAGTTACGTCAGCCAATGCTTGAGCGAGAACACGGAGCTTATTCTGAACCTGAATCAACAGCAAACGTTTCTTTGAATAAATGTTCAAGACCACGGCGCCAAGAGCGAAGGCGTCACGCACGACACAGACACTAATTATCAGCCGGGCCGCGTCTGAGGGGGAGGATGTGGTCTTGACTGCGGATCGAGCACCGTCCTGCCCGCTGTTGCGTACATTCCACCCGGGCAACCCTATCACTAAATGCTTACATATAGAACTTCTCGTTAAGATACATGTTCACTATGTGCTTGCTCGTTCCAGTCCAGTCCACTGCACTCGTTTCGCGCACCGCAAATCCTTGACCTAGCCATTGGGCGTGCTGACCTTTCTGGCTGCCAGGAAGAGACAAAGATCGATGTATACATGAGCGACAATGCTTAGTGGCAAGTCATGGAATGCCGAGAGTTTGTGGCATCAAGTTGCTTCATGTTTGGGGACTCAGGGCTGAGAGATCGGTATGGGCCTTACAGTCGCGTCTGTGTGCAGGTATCTGAATAGCAGACTTCCTCCCAAGCATCAAAAATTTCAGAAGGTGTCCCGGCCAGCATCTACGTGCAGCTACATATGCGGAATCTACTAGTTGCTCAAGCGATATCGCTCGAGAACATTGGCGCGGCAACAACCAGCAGGTAAGTTCTTACCATCACTCTTGCACCTAGATGTGAAGATGACCTGAAAGACGCTGACGAAGTAAACCAAAAAAAGATGGCATGTATGGAGAAAGTTTTGGAGGGTTACTGCTGAGCTCACATTTGTCGGAGGCCAATTTGAGTATGAAAGTCCATTTACGTCCTCTCCGGTCTCCCTCGATATGCGGGCAATTGTCAACGGCTGGTGACATTGAAAGGGCATACTTTGGTCGCCAGCAGTTCATTTACAGTCACCTCGTATTCTTCGTCCTCGTCATCGGCCTGCAACTTCACCGAGACCGGACGTGGACTAGTGCACGGGAGGACCGGCGACGATCAGTTGTGGCTGGGGCTGCGGCCGGGCGACTGACGGGACAACGGCCGAGGTCAGACCTCTTTGCCAATATCGAACACATACCCGTCATGCAGACGAGTGAAATATAGGACGAAAACACCCATGATGACCTCAATCCAAGCACATGCCCAAGGTCAAAGGCGCCAGGTGGCATTCCTTTTGACGGACCTGAAACCACAGTCAATAGACTGTCTCGAAAATGTCCGACTCTAGACAGTCGACCACAACCTTGGCAAGATCACCCGGCAGATACTCTACTGTGGTCTGGTTGTTGATCGACAAGACCCGGCTATGGGGACGCAAAAGACGTATTCATGGGAATGGTCCAGACGGAGTCGCCCTACCTCCAGCCAGTCTCTGGGCCAGCGACCCCCTTTACTGCTCGCCTCTTAGCCAACGATCCAACATTCACCAGCTGTGTAGAAGCCTTTCCAGCACGCTGTACGGTCTCATGGGCCGTCCACATCATCGGCATCTTCTCTTTTTTATATGATTGGCGCCGGGCTCTACAGCTAGTTCGATGATTGTGGCCAGGATTGCTTGGACACTGAGGACTATAAAGCCGGGGCTTTGAGGCTCGGCAAAGCAGCAACATCCGGGTCTACACTCTGTGCGCCAAAGCTACGCAGGAGATGACGGTATGGGCTGCGTGCCGACGTACGCAAGGGAGTGGTACCGCGACTACTACTTGACCGACAAGACCGACGGCCCAGCATGGTTAGACTCGGTCTTTGACGCCGGTGGCTGGGCCAAGTTTCCGCGCCCGGGAGGCTGGCGCGACCCGGATAGTCTGTTTTGGCGCCGCGGGGAACCCCAGCCATGACGATCAGGGGAGATGGAACACAGGTGAACATTGGAGCTTCCGTCACATATCCTAGACAATCTTTCTGCTCGGCTCACGTTACCGTATCCGATCGTCTTGAATCTCCCCCTTTGTTTTATTGCTGCATCTCCTCTTCCGTTTATACAAACAGACGGATAGTATAGGGTCATAAATTTTGAAATGATGCCGCAAATAAATGTTTACGGCGCTAGACGTAAACATCGACTTACTGCTTGTCATGTTGCTTTCGTTTCGGCATTTTCGTTGCGGAGAAGGCCACGTGCTCATTTTCTTCCAGCAGTATCTCTTTGCTTTGCTCTGGCCGCTTTCAATTCAATATCCAAGATTCCGTTGGCCAGAAAGTGCTCGCAAGAGGTGCTTACGCCTTCCAGCAACCGCTGTAGTCCCGGTCCGTGTCCGAGCAACTCCAACTTCACCCGGTACGACTTGACATGAGATTCGGGCGTCACGGGCTCTTCCCACCGCTCCCACACCTCTTCGCGCGGCTGCCAATAAATTCTCACGAAACTACCGAAAGGGCTGATACGCGCGTCGTCCTCTTCCACGATGCAAGGAACCTCCTCGGGACCGTCTTTCAGATAGCCAAGGGCCTCTTCCCAGCGCTCCTCCAGGTGGTCGAACACAACTATCCGCCAAGTGTACCAGGAATCGCAAATCCGCTCTGGGAGAAACTACGGCGCGGCATCGGCCGGACTAAGAGACGCAAGATGGCCTGCCCTCTCCTGTTCGTAGTGGCGAAGACGTAGACCCCTGTTGTGAGTGAACACTGGAGGCCCACGATACCGCTCTTTGCTTCCATTGTTGTTTGTTATATTAAACGCCTTGTCGTTAGAAGCCCAGAGTCTCGGATGAGCCGCCTTCCGCAAGTCCCATGGAGTATAATCCAGGGTCATACGTAGGAAAAACATACGTTAAACAACACATTGAGATAGCGAAGATAGACAACACCAGGTGTTCGCATAGACTTGAATCTCGAGGCACAGAACACCACTGTTTTGAACAGTCGGCGTCGCTGTTTTCTCGGCCCTCGAATCCCGTAAAGTTATGCTTCTTGATACCAATGATTAGCACACGAACTACAAGGATCGCTATCGGCGGGGCTACGTGATGCAACACGAGTAACTCTGCGCAACGCAAGTGGTTCAGGAATGCCAACAGGTCCCGCCTGCGGACTCACGCATGCCAAGGAACGGTGTTGCGCAAGCAGATATCCCCAAGTCTTAGACTCGACACTCCAGCCACGGTTTACGTTGTTTGTGTGTCAGCACTATCACTCAATAAGTCTTCAATAATGTCCTTGGCACATTACTACGGTTGATCCTGCTGGCTGGGCAAGTATGATGTCAGCGCTAGCGCAGTCTGGGGATGGGAAGAGCATCTTTCCAGTGAGTATATCAACGTTCACTTCGTCCACAAGGTTTGAGGAAGACTGTCGTTCGCCGTCATTGGGCTTGACATCAAGTTACACTTGCCCTCTGCTTCACTTCTCCGGCATGCGCTCTATCATACTGCTCTTGGCGGCTGTCGTCAGTGCCGCATCAGGTGGCACATTGAGGCAAGTAGATCAGAATTGGGAGGTTCTCTCGCCCATCCCAATTGCACCCCGCCAAGAGCATTCCGTTGTCGCACTCTCCGGTACCAGACTCGCCATAGCAGGAGGAATTCTACCAAACCTAGACAACGGAGTTGGCTTCAACACAACGGCATTTATACAATTCTACGATATTCACACCGACTCGTGGTCCGAGCCAATTGACGCCCCCATCGAGGTCAACCATCCCAACGTTGCCGCCGTGGATGGAGAAATCTTCCTTTTAGGGGGCCTGGCAGTTGCATCGGACGGGGCTTGGCGTGCCTTCGCCGACTCGTGGAAGTACCATCCCTCCACTGGCGAATGGACGGCACTGCCGCCTATACCAGCGGGGAAGGCAGCCGGCAGCGCGACCATTGGCGTGCTGGGAAATACCATCGTCCTAGCTGGCGGCATGCGGACACTGGAGCCTATAGGAGTCGAAGGAGAGCAGGACACGGTCGACTTCGTATCGATGTTCGATACCAAGTCTTGCACCTGGAGCCATGTCCCGGAAGCGGCAAGCGTTCTGCCCGAGGGACGAGATCACGCTGCTGGCTCCGTCATCGGCAGTAGGTTCTACGTTTTGGGCGGCCGTCTACGTGGCCAGTACAATGTCAAGGATACCGTTTTCGTGTTGGATGTCGACGACATGGAAGCCGGGTGGACGACTCAAGGGGCAAGAATGCCTACAGCGCGTGGCGGCGTGGTAGGAGGAAACGTCGGAGGGAAGGTCTATGTCTTCGGTGGCGAGGGTAACACAGCTGAGGGCTCCGACGGCGTGTTTGACAACGTTGAGGTCTACGACGTCGAGTTTGATACGTGGCAGGAACTAGGGCCTATGAGACTTCCCAGGCATGGTGGTGCTGCTGCGACTGTTGGTGGGAAGATTTACCTGCCCGGAGGAGGCATTAGGGAGGGCGGTAGTCCGGTTAATGTGACCGATGTATTTATTGTTACCTAACGGATGGTATTACAGATGTTGATTTATGTTAGCATCCCGATTTTGGTTTGAATATGAGGCTAGCTCTGGGTTCCGGAATCCCTCTGGGTCTTGTGTCGAGTTGTGATATCTCTAGAAGTTGTTGTGATGGGAATGCCTAGCAAAAGTTTAGAGGATGTCTCTTGACAGAGTTTCTATTTGAATAGCGGAGTCTGGTTGAGGCGTAGTCGGATGTAATCATACCGGTTACTTCAGGTTATGATTTAGGATCTCGTGCATTTTAGGTTATCTTTTCTAATTTCCAGTATTTATCTTTACCTGTTATGTCTATAACCTCTTATCCACTACTTCTTCCTGTCTACCGGTATTCGTAAAGACTTATCTGTCTGCGTAACCGACAAGCCGCCCTTATGACTCTCGGCAAGGAAGGTTTAGGTTACCTTAGCTAAGGCTCTAGCCAGAGATACGCTCTACATTTAAGCTAGACAGCCTTGGCTTTTATTAACGAGATGGAGGGAAACGTTATGCTTGAATCCATGCTTATTTACTATAACGACGACAACCGGCCGACTTCTAGGCGTCAGGCCCTACCCGCCTCGCCCGCCCAGCTGGTCAGTCAATGAGTAAACCGCATCAACAAGTGCGTCCTCGAGGGTAGAAGATCCCTGGCTGTGGTCAGGCGCCGGCGTCGGGTCAAGGTTGAAGCTGTGGGTGAAGGCATCGGCGATATTAGCTGGGATCGAGACGGGGGGCGTAGGTGGCTCGTTGGCGCGGGGGAAGGTTGTCGGCGGGTTAGGCATGAAGGCGGCGACAAAGAGAAAGATTCGTTTAAAAGTGACGGCGTATTCAGCGACAGTTTGTGGTTCGATTCGGTAGTTGAATGGTTCGATGGCTGATTCCTCCTACTTGCGCCTATTCAAACCTCGTGTAAAGTCATAGAAAAGTAATAGTGCCTACAGTATAGTAGCAGCAGTAAGGTATCAAGTTTAACCACTTTTAAACTAAGTAAGAGAATATAGTAAATAGTATTGTAGAGTCAGACTACGGTAATGCTAACGTTAGGGGAGTGGGGACAACATCGTGAGATGTGCTAATACGGTGGACCCAAAACACTACTAACTACACCACGTACCCAGAAACAGCAAAAAAACATACAACACCAGGTATTCGCTGGTCGTCACCGACCCAACTACTAATCCGGCCCTCACTGGCTTATCTATGGGAGAGCGGACGGGATCCCGAGTTTTCCAGTGGGTATGGTCGTATGTGATTGTCAAAGGACTCTGGTCGACTTATATCACGACGGAATAAACGACAACATGCTCATTCTTGCCGATGTAAGTTGACAGAATAGCGGCGCTCGCAGGCTTCTGTATATCCTGTCGTCGTTCTTAAGCGTGTGACTTTGTCCAGACATGATATCACAACAAAGGTGCCGTTCACTCTAGCCGTCTTCAACATCATGTAAAGTTTCGTGACGACTGAATAAGGTGGAGCGAAGAACAGCCTTGGAAGAGAACTGCTGGTCAGAGACCTTCAATTGCGAACGACTTGACGAAAAGAGCGAGGGTAATTATACTTGGTAGTACTCAAAGTAGAAGACATTATTGCGTGCAGTTACAACATTGCCCGCCGCCCTGGTCACGTCTCGACATCCATATCCCCAATGCCATTATACTTTCAAGGCTTCTTCCCACCCTCACCCCGAACCGCAGCGCAGCTCATACCAACCAAAGACAGTCTTCTACCCGACCATCAGCCGGGCACGCGGATCCCCGAGGTCTCGGACCCGGCGTAAACCCACAACAGCTCCCTCGCTCGTGGCATCCGCCATCGTCACCTTCCACCACCACGTCTCGAGTACCGGCGTGGCCGAGATACGGTGCCGCCCCAGAAACGCGGCCTGGAAAGCGTACTCATCAGCATCGATATCCTTGGGGCACACACATCACGATCCTTCGACGTCTTGCCACCATCGCCATTCGACGGAAGGGTCTGGTCGTTTACAGCGTGGCGTTCTCTGTAACATCAATACATTAAACTTGGCCGGGGAAACGGTCTTAGCAGGGGAGGCGGGGCAAGGAGTCCGCTGCAATCTCGACAGCTTACGCTAGCGGATGGTTAAGAATGCTGGATGCCGGATATCCCACTTTCGGACCTGCAAGAAGATGATGATAATGATAATAGCAATGTCTCGATATCTCAATATTGTTGTGGGGCGTATCCCCCAGTGCCATCTTCCATGTTCCTTTTTTTCTTTCTATAATCTTTTTCAAGTCGGGAACGCTAAACATTGGGGTTCTTCATCCACAAGGAGACCTAGGCTTGCAGAACCTCAGAATGCCCGGTCCTGCGTCGGCCCGGCGGGCGGCCTGGCCCGCTGCGCCTGCCCCTCCCACCTAGCTCTTGTCTGCTTGCTTGCTGGCTTGCTTGCAGACATATGTATATGCACATGACATGGCACGATGATTGGTATTACAGGCGGACCACAGGATCCTCCAACTGATGCCCTGGAATCTGATCGGCTGCCAGGTCGGGCCTATGAAGCCAACCAAGACTGGTGTACCTGGTGCGAGGAAAATGGGAATAGATGACAAATAGCCCGTTCATTCTTCTGTCTCTCCCCATCTGTTTAAACATCCCCCCTTGAGTGGTCCCTCTGATCTTTCTTTCTTCTCCCCTTCGGCGTAGTGGAACATAGCGTTCCGCCTGCCGAATGGCAGAAGGGGGGAGGCGGCCGGTCGCGGTCCTCGCAAGAAGAAAGATGAAGTCGGGGCACATCTGACGGAAGCGGTTCGTTACAAGATGGGCACCGAGGACCCAATCGGAAGCGCGGCCGGAGAGACGGCACCCTGGCCAGGATTCGAGCGCGAGTGACAGATGAGATCAGATCGTATTGCATGGCAAAGCATGTCAATCAGCGCGACTTGCGCGTCCTGCTGGAGACACACAACCGTTAAACAACAGTTATTGCCTGACATTGCGTCACCTCATGACTGATAACCCATGTAAACATGCACGAACGAATTCGGCCGCAGTAGTCTCAGTGAATCAACATTGGAGCAAGTTTCTTTTGTTAGCCATGTATGTGTCTGAAAGCGAGATGAAAACGCAGCCCTTGAAATGCAAAGAGCTAGGGGAACAACAATATGCCTCAAAAAAGAAGTACCAAAATCTTTCCTTCCCCCCAGACTCCGGATTACCCATCGTGCAAAGTACCAAGCCCGAACTCCGTCGTTGAGATAACAAGAGAATTGCAGACCCAAAACTGTCCCAAACGAGATTAGGGGTATGATGCTCTCCGTCTATGGCGCAGAAACCTCGAATTAACGCCCCTAATGTGACCCTTTGTTGCCGTGCTCGCATGCTCGTTGTCGTGGAAAATGGAAAAAGAAAACGACTATCGCGGGAAAAAAAAAGAAAAAAAAAAGCAAATATTGCCGATTGACTTGGCGTCTCGAGTCGCCCATTGTGGAGAGTCCCCGGCAAGGACTCAAGGGAGGGCGGCGACACTTCCTGCCAAAAGTGCGTAGTTGGCCAGCTTCAGAGATAGTACCCGGGAACGAGGGTAATCAGGACTAATGATCATGCGCCCGTCCTTGTTGTATCCGACTTCCCCAAATGACTCGCTCAACTGCTCAAACTTTGCGTTAGGCCGGACCCGATTTAGCTCTGCTAGGATGTTATCGCTCCAAACACCAGAGCACCAGCCGTCTCTCAAGACAAAATACGGATTCAGAGGAGGGACAGGAGAGTCTAAAGCGAGTTAGCAAAAGGGTCAAATAACGAGGCTGGGAGGGCAAGACTCACCCAGATCCACAAAGCGAATCCGCAGGTAGTCCAGAGCCTTGAGGGCCGACATGGAATGGATACCAGCCAAGACAAGCATTTCGAACGAGTGGATAAAGTTCATGTCCTGAATACCACTTCCCGAGTCGTGAAATTGTGATACCGGGCGGCAACAGTTCTTGACCGTGAGGTCGATCGTCTTGAGACGGGTCGTTCTTGGATCGGATCGGATGGCGGCCATGTTGAAGAAGTTTTTGCAGACGCGGCCGGTGTAGGCCAAGTGTTCGAGGGCAGGGGTCGCCTCGGCCAGCCTTGTGCAGAAGTGGACTCGGTTGGAAACCTTCATGTAGAACGGCGGGCAGGTGAGTTCGCGCCGGTAGTCGCTCTCGAGGCAGAGGTTAAGGTAGGTGAGGTTCGTGGGCAGTTTGGGAAGAATGCTAGCCATGCTCAAGTAGCTCTTAGACTTGGGCTTGCTGTAGGAACCGTGCCACTCGCTGAGGTTTGGCAGGGCTCCTAAGACGGCTGCGAAGTCCGAGTCGTCGCGCATCAAATTCCACTGTCCCTTGGTGACCAGGGTGCGTACCGACTCGAGAGTGGGGAGATGCCAGCCTGCGGGGCGCTTGTTCCAGCTATGCTGCACCTTGGGCGCCTTCTTCCTCTCGCCGCCTTCAATGGTGAGCACGCAGACGTCGGGCAGAGCAAGGGAGACAAAGGTGAAGGCCTCTTCCAGACTGCAGTTGTTGGCGGGTAGGGTGTAGGTCGCGTTGGTCAGGCCGTCCATGGTCACGGTGGGGAGAGCTAGGGTGGTGCTTAGGGCCAAAGGACCGTACTTGGGCTGAAAGACGGGGAACCATATCTCGATATGCTTGACGTAGCGGCGGAGGTGATTGTGCTCGCTAAAGTATGCCATGGCCAGCTCGAGCGATTCGATCGTCGCCTTGATCTTGATGTGACGATAGAGACGCTCCTGGATCAGGATGCGCCATACGGGACTCACGAGGGCAAGCTCGGACAGCTCCCTACGACGAGAATGGCGCAGGGCGGTCCCCCAGCTCTTGGTCACGCTCTGCATGCCAACAGAACTCTTGGATGAGGTGGAGACTCGGTAACCGAACAGATGATCGAGGATGCATTCGTGGATCTCAGCGGGAAGGTCGTTTAGGTTCAGGGTGGGTGAGGCGTCGGGGGCGTCGAGGGAGTAGAGAGGAGTGGTAATGCCCGAGCCTCCGTAGGCATCGGCGTCTTCGGCCATGGGAGTGCAGCAATCCGAGTTCCGTTGATCGGGATGTAAAAAGGGAGTGCTACTCGGGCGCGTCGGGGGCACGAAATCATTGCTCTTGGCCTGTTCAAGGGGAGGACTGGAGGGGCCGGGAGAGACTGGGTTGGATGCGGTATTGAGGATGGTGGTCAGGATAGAGGCGGAGGCGGTCATAATCGAGGTCAACTCTTGGGTAGCGTTGGCGCTGGCATTGTAGTCGTCTCGCGACTGTCTTGTTTCGATAGCGGAGGGGTGATCACGGTCTCGGGGGACTGTACTCGTGACGTTGGCGTCGTCGTCGGTTGGAGGGTAGGACTGTTCGACGCAAACGGACATGGTCGTCGGAGATGTCAAGAAAGCCTGTGTTTCGAACAACTGGGATTTGGGAGAGAACGAGGCGGTTCCTTGACCATGGACGGTCGGAGAAAGGGGGGGGGGGGGGATGTCGTCGTTGTCGTCTTCGTCGTCGTCGTCGTCGTCGTCGGCGGCGGAAGGGCAGGCAGACAAGGGCGGGTTTGATAATCAGGCGGGAGTGAGAAAGTGTGTGTGTGTGTGAGTAGGAAGGGGAAAAAGATGAAGGGAGATTGGTCCGGGCTGCTTTGACGATGGTGGGGAAATGAAGTCCCAATAATTCAGAGACCCTGGATACCCAGACCAGGGGAGGGGCACAACAATGCCGAGGAGGAGGAGGAGGAGGAGCAGGAGGAGAGTGGTGGTGGTGGTGGTGGTAGTGCTTTGGTGCTTTGGTTATTGGGTGTTGGCTGTATTCGTCAGGTTGATCCCAGTGGACAGTAGCGTTGCGCTGGGGTCGCTTTACTCCGCCCAGGCCACTTTACGCGGTCGGTCGCGTGCGCAGGCGGGAGAGAATGGTCCAATGAGGGGGGGTGGGTGGTTGGGTTCGTTTGATAAGAGCGAGAGGGAGAGAGAGTGGAGAGGAGAGGAGGAGAAAAACAAATAGAGAGAGAGCAATATTGGGGATACGCAGGGAGGGAGAGTGGTGTGAGAGGATGAGAGAAACGGAATACTTGGGAAGGACAAGCGTTAGGGGCGGCCGGAAAGATGGGAGAAGAGGAGTTTAGTCCAATAGTCAATTCGTCGCAGGTCCCTTGGGCCAACAACCCAGACCAAACCGAACCAGGCCAGGCCAGTCTCAAAGGCAAAAGAAGGAGGCCGTGGAAAAATATGGGGAGACAAAAGGAGGGAAATGGTGCTCAATGTTGTGTGTGTCTGGGAATGAAACGGGCACCGGACACTTGCAAAGTGGTCGAGCGGCAGGGGATTTGCAGGACAGGATTAAAACCCCCCCAAATAAAATAATAATAATAATAAAGGCTGTGTTTAGCGCGCGGTGCGTGTGTGGTGTGGTGGTACCTTATACAGCAGATACGGGACGGTCAGGTAATAATATTGCGAGAGCCGTCACGGCTGTGCAATGCGCGTTGGGCGATGGTGAGGCAAGCAAATGCGGGCGGCGCAGGTGCCCCCCTCAGCTCAGCTCAATCAATCTTGCTTCACCTGAACGGGGGTGGCGTGCTTTCGTGCTGACCGACCAACTGATTAATTGCCCGTACCAACCAACCTACCTATCCGGGGTATTACAACCGCATACCTGGGAATGGAATTCATCCAAATGTCGCTAACGAGACTCGACCCGAAAGGGGGATGGACTATATATCACGAGAGGGAAACCCGACAGGATCTTGCTCGAGTCACTGTGGCTTGTTGGTTTGTTCTGTAATACAAGTACGTCGCAAGATTTGTTTGTTTGGGAAAGGAAATGGCAGATTACTCAGTGGGCAAGCAATAAGGGGGAATAGGACGGTACCGAAATCAAGAAAATCAAAAGATGAGAAGAAGAACCAGAGCCAGATCAAGAACCACGGTAAGAATTATTGCTGCTGGATGCACACCGCAGACTCGGAAGATGACGAAACAATCAAATCGATATGTCCAATCCATTCTAGAGTCCCCCGAGGTACTCCGTACAGATAGATACACCAGTACGGATATCGCACCTAGGACTCCAGGTAACCAGCAGCAGGTAGGGAGATCAAGATGCAAATCATCCGGTCGGCACTAGTTGGCTAGTACGTTGTCGTGCATGGCACCGTCGGCCGGCGCAGAGTCAAGTTGAGTCTGGCCTATAATCCTTCCTCCCACTCCGCCTTGCCTTCGTGCATGACCAACCACATTCGGTCTTGCCATGCAACGGAGCGGTCCGACTTTGATTGATTCCTCCGGCTGTTTTCTCCAAGTGTACGGACACTCCGTATTAGGTATCTATTGCCTTCCCTTATTCCCTGATCAAGGGTCCATCGGCGGCAAGAGCGTCATTCTCGCCCTATCTGTTCTGTGTCTTGGTCCGTCCCTTTAAGGACCTACCTATCCTATCTTGGTAGGTACTCTTTCTTCTCCGTATCCCTCCTGCCTGCCTTGAAGATACATACATACCCGAGTGCTTACCTCATCCGTTGATTTGAATTTGCACCATGTGGAAAGTCCAAAGAGGCAATAACCTCACACTCCACACAATGCACCACCTGTTCTGCTTTTGCTCCGCACTGCGCAGCACTGCAGGAGATGGTAAGCCCGAGCCATTGCCCCGCGCCTGCTGCATGAACTCAATCCATCTTTTGCTTCGTCGCGACACATTCTCTCTCCCTCCCTCTCTTGTCCTGCAACACACCGCTTCGGTCTTGCCCGTGTGACAGGCAGCAGGGGCAGTGACTGGAATGCGACCATCAAATCCACAGCGACGTCCATGTCGGTTGCATCAAACATCGGAACGCGCTCATATCCCGCAACAGCTGTCTACGGGGGCTGGTCAACGACCGCTTCGCTCGCGGCCGAGTATCTGATCAGAGTTCAGCCTGGCGACATGACAAAGATATGATGATGCCAACACGTCCTACCTACCCGTGGTACGTTCGTAACGAAACAAGCTTGCCTGAGTTTCGCTGATAACTTTGGCCAGCCTTTTATTCGTCGTTTCAACTTGTTCTACGACAAGCATGCTGGCTGCTACACTCAACCTTGACCGGCGGCACAGGGGGTCACGCGGGACGTCTACTTAGCTCAAAGGGCCCGCAGACTTTAACCTTGATTCAATGTCATGACAACGATGTCAGGTCTCCGCCGAAGAATCTGCAAGTCAGTGGTTTCTTTGGACGAGCGGTTCCGTTTCCGGGTGAACGCATTCCATCGCGCCCGCCTCCCATCGGCCGAGATCGCTACACGGCGGCTCTTTCCAAGACGACCAGCCCCAACAATGTTGCTTTGGAATGTATCGATGCCGCAGAAACCAAACACACGGGAATTTAGGAGACAGAGGGCATGCCCTTCTTATTACTACCGTTGAGTTGCCACTTGACTCTCCTTGCATCGGCTTCGATATCCATGTCACTGGGACCTGACAGAATCCTGGCGTGTCGCCAAGACCAGCAACCAAGGTCACCGGAGTTGCCAACTCTCTGGCTGGGTACCTGTTTCTTGCTTTGTTTGCTTGATTGATCGCCAGCTTGTTGAAAACGCCCGGACAAAACCGAATGGTACTATTGAAACGAGGTGGGCAGTGGCATCGTAGGATTTGCTCGGTCAGGATCGAAGTGGCAGGTGAAGAATGGCCGTTGCAGCGACACCGACCAGAAGACGATGAATTGGTCCGGAAGCCAACGGGGGAAAGCATCTATCGTGACGCCGAAAGGGTCTTGAGCGGCGAATTTGCCGGCAGCTGCCCTCGATGGACGGCCGCGAGTCTTTACCGACAACAGGGCATGAATACGACCGGCAGACCATATGATCACGGCTTGTGTCGTTGCAATTGCGGCAATTCCACAGCATCGAATACAAATGCACCATGGCTGCGGCGTTAATCGTCGGACATGTAACGCGAGCCTTTACATTACCAGGATCGAGGGACAGAATATGTGTCGAAGACAGACGTACGCTGTGGTGGCTTGCCAGCACTTGAGATGCACACGCGCTTGGTGAATATCAGAGGCAACATGCCAAAGTCTTGGCAGTGTTCGAGCAGGGAGGAGCATGGTGTTATTAAATTCGAATAGGCGGAGAGGGACGCGCCAGCATCGCACAAAGATGACGACGAATGTGGTTTTGGGTATGACCATGTTGAAACCGTCCGACGGGGACTGCTCCCATCCCGTCCTGTCGGGAAATGCAGGCCCCGCGGGTTGATCCCGACAAGTACGCCGTGGAGGAGTCCTCAACTGTATTCGCAAGAGTCGGGTGAGATTTCAATATCCAAGTCGACCTGAGCAGTTTTTCATGTCTTGCGCGGTTTGTTGTGCCTTGTTGGCAGCTCCAGAGGTGGCAAGTCCGTAATCGGCAGGCCTGAGTACCGGCCAAACGCCCGGCCCTCTGTGGAGATGATCGACAGATTGCTGGAGGAAGGCGAAGGGGCTGACCAAGTGAGATGGAGATGGCGGCGGCAGAGGTTCCAAGATACTTGAGAAGCCGATCAATGCACACTGCCTAGCTGCTTTGCCAGGCAAGAGTACTGGTAATATCTTGTTCTGGGTGGGCCGCCGCTGCAGGATCCAGCAACAACAAATCCTGGATTTCGATTCCCCATTCTTTTTCAAGGTCGAGATGTCGTGGCGGGTACGATGACAAAGTCGTGATGGAAGGATGGATGGAGTCTACTGCGTAGACGCAGCGAGCGACGTCTTTCAGCAAAGTTGCATCGTGACGGGGATGCGCCCCTCCTCAAATCTCCAACCCCGCTGCAGTGGCGGATAGCCGAGATGGGTAGACGATGGCATGGCCATTTTAGACAGCCGAGGGCTTCATCAAATGTCGGTTACGCGATTGAGCCCTTCGCCTCAGCAGTCTGGCTAGCATGAGTGGTGGTTTGCCCCCCCCCCCCCCCCCCCCACTTGGGTATCGGATCCTCAAGCTCATCTCCAGCCCTTCCCCCCTTTCAAGACCGCCGCCCTTGCCTGCGCAGGCAACGGTTCATGGGACAAGTACGGATACGCGTTGGCGACTAGATTAACCAGCAGATGCATGCCTGCCTACGCCTGCCATCCAGTTCGATACGGAACAGAGCTACTATGGGATGGGATGGGATAGGAACGGATGGTATGGGCCCATGGGCGGCTGTTGGAGTAGCATTCGTCACCTCGTCTTCCGCGGCGTCTCCAGAACCCATGTGTTCCCCTGCGTGCAGGCCATGCCCTCCGACTACACTAGGCAGTATTACCGCAATCTATTGGAGAGAGCAGGCCGGAGGAAATCCCAGACAAGCGCTGTCCACCCCTGCTCCTCTCGCGACGCACGACTTGTCAAAGGTCATGGATGTTTCATCCATTGTTGACGTCGGACCTCTGATCCAATCGCACACGGCGGGACTCGCCGCGCCACGCCGTTTCAAAGTTCCCGATTGGATATCGCTCACTCTCTTGCCGAACACTGTCAACTGGGTAGAACCCCTTTCAGCGGTGCAAAGCCAGCTGCTGGCCGTTCACCTCCACTGCCACCTTGTCTACACTACTCCGTACTAGGCCTGTAATGGGCCATGGCATAAACCGTGCTTTCTATTAATCTATTTCGTTCACGGCAAGCTCACCGCTGTAAACCCTCGGTCGTTTTCCAGACCTCAGCCTCTGCATGGTATTTATTATATTATACCCGCGCGACAGATAGGGACAGGTTGGTAACATTGCAGGGCCGGTGTCATGTGCTGCTGCTGAGGATGGCCCATATCGGCCGCGGCTCGCAACAATGACCTCCCGGTGCATCCTAAGCACTCTGTACACGATCACGGGAGCGCGCAAGCATGCCCAGCAGGTGTCGATGCGTGCACGGCTACACATCGCGCGCGAAATGTACACCAGTCCAGGAATCCTAGACTGGAGTTGGATGGCGTCTCTTTGCGGCTGCTGTCGCAAGCCACGCCCGCGGGCGGCGCTGTTTTTTGTCCATCCCACATGCCGTTGTGAAGCAAACATTCCACATGGTCCCAGACGGACGGAAACCATCATGAAGCGCGCCGTCGTCAGCTCGCGAGAGCAGAATCGCACAAATAGGCGCAATGCTACGCTGCAGCCTCCGTTCCGCCTCCCGAATAGACCGTATCGTCTGCCTCCTTAAAGGGGCAGATTGTTTGAGGCTGTGACTGGTTTCCAACCGACGCTGAAGGTCTTGGCAGTCGCACAATCAGACAACCATTGGCGGGCATCATACGGAGTACGTGGGTGGCACATCGCCATTGTGTGCGACTGTGTTCCGTAACAACACACCATCTAATTACAGTAACCGTACCAAGGCGGGACGACGCCTACCATTCAGGCACACTGTCACCCACTGCACCCACGCCCACGCATCTGTGAGACATGGCCACGCAGCTTGATCTCACGGTCCAAGAGACATGGGAGATCGCTCCATTCCGAGATGGGGGGAGGATCCCGAGATTGAACCCTGGCTCGGTAGCGCATACCAGATTGCAATAGGTAACTTGCAGAAGGAGTTCACGAGAGGGGTGAACGTGCTTCTGCGCTAGGCCTCTAGACGGTCGATTACCTTTTCTCAACCTGGCCCAACCAACCGTCTTGGGGTTTGAAGCCAGGCTTCCCGAGTAACGAGTACAGACGTGGTGTCAGAGTTCACCATGCGTTCCGGATTGAATAAATGTCGCAGGAAGACAGCTTGATTAGAGTTGAAAGCCGTCATGCGGATCGTATCCCCTTGTTCCGAGGGTCGGCCCTAATCCGTCCAGTCAACGGCTCTGCACGGGCCGGCCGTCTGTCTGTCTGTCCGTCTGTCTGTCTGTCCGTCTGTCTGTCTGTCTGCCGACGGTCTGAAATGAAGGTAACGTTGGCGGTTTAAGCACAATAAGGTCCATCGACGCTGGACAGGTCAGTCCACAGTACAGTGTTGTCAGGAGGGGGGCGCGCCGGGGGCTAGGAAACGGTCAAGGGGCAGCTGGCCAGACTGCTTCTAGGTTCGGCGCATAAATGTCGAAAATAGAGTGAAGGGCGGAGTATGTCGATCGCGTTCTGGGCAGGCCCCCCAGGGAACAACCGTGCGGAGCTGGGAACTGGGAACTCTGCCAACCAGCGTCCAATTGACGAAGGGCGCTGTGAATGCGTGGGACTCAAACCATCAGTCATCGAGGGGCTGTCTTTGGCGAAATGGACGACGTACAGGTATGTGATACCGGGGCAGAGCATACAGTATTATTGTGACACCTTGCTTGATCAGACTAGAGCAGCCGCAGCCGCCGCCGCGTAGGTCCTCAAAGCTTGGCTTCTGGAGAAAGGGTACGGTATGGCGACGCTGCACAACGGGAGACGGGCTTGGCATGTTCCCAATGGCTTCTTTTTGGGGGTTTGTGACAACAGATCACCGACATTCCCACCAAACGCTGTGCTGCACGTCCCAGGGTCTAGCGGTTTGGAACGGGGGAGGGAGAGGGAAAGGATGCCTGACAGGAGAATGGTGACAGGGGAGGCGCGGGAGACGACGGCCTTTGAGGGTGTCTGCGGTCGGTCTAGGTATGAAGACGATTCTGGCCTGTTCTCCGCATCACGTTCGATCCCATCGAATCGTAAAGGGGCGCACAAGCACACACACACACAAACCCGTCAAACGAGGCCACAGACGCCCGACAATCTCCCGCGAAAATCCAAAATCTAGAGGTTAAGCAAGGGAGGCACGGGTTTCAACGGTTTCGAGGCACGCTCCTCAAATGTCGTATTCTACCGTGATTGCTGAAGACGCGGGTCGATGCGATGGTGGTATAGCAGGCAGTCAGTCACCGCCGGCATGTTGCTGTTTACGTTGTTTCCTGCATGATGCCAACGTTGGGAGTGGCGCGTACCCCTGGCGCCTTGCTTCGGGTGAGAATTAAACGGCAACATTTAGACGCCTGTGTCAACGGTAGCTAAGCTAGTCAGCCTAGATATGGTGTACATATCCGTACAGACTGGGTGGAAAGCCATGGCGGCGTATGCCTTCGCCGCACGGCGATGACCAAGCCACGACCCACGAACCGACAATGGCTTCGAGAGCGGCCTCGCGCCTTGTGCGTCGGGGCTCGTGGACTTGAGGCATACGGTTTCAACGGTTGCTGGTACTCCAGTCAGACTTTCCAGCGGGGAGTGGCATGGAAGTCGTGCGTCCCAGGAAGGGACCTTGTCGGGAAGACACGCACGGCGGTCGGGGATAGTGGGACAGAGGAAGACGGCAGCAGCGGCGGCGTTACAGTTATGGTGTTGGTGGAATAAAAAGCTTCATCCCGGGGGTGGGGAGTCGGCAGTCTGAAAGGATGGGCCCGAGACAGCTGTAAGTGCAAAGCCTATCTGACCAATTCAGTACACCTTGGCTGTAGTTTGCGTCTAGGCGCATCTCAGGGTTGCCCCGAGGGTTTGCACAGTTCCATGCCGCCGTGGAGAGAGGCTTTGCATAGCTGAAGAGACTAGGCAGAGGGAGGGCCTATATGTTGATGGTTGATGGCGTCGGCGGCCCTATCAAAAGGGGGATTTCATACAGGACTGGGGGGGGGGGGGGGGGGGGGGGACCGAAGTGTGACAGAGCAGAGTGATGATGGTAATGAGCAATAACCAAAGGCACCAATAGTACGGAGTATACATGGTATTTACTATACGTACGCATACCGAGGTATACAAGTACGGTAAACCTCCGAGGAGGGTTATGGTCTGACGACGCGGATTTGCAGTGGTCTAGTCCACCCATGCCCGTGGTGGGGTGTTTTCTTTTCGTGGTTGTGGGGACTTGTGAACAGCCGAAAGTGTGTGTGTGTGAGAGAGAGAGAGAGAGTGTGTGTGTGTGTGTGTGAGTGTATGTGTGTGTGCGTGTGTGTGTGAGCTGAGAGCAAAAGGCGAGGCTCGTTTTGACTGAATGAATTTGATGGAGATCCATTTCTCCATGAGGCGCTGGACTTTTGGACGTTACAGATTTAGTCGAAATGACAGGGTCGAAGCCCGCGCCTGTGGTGGGGCCGGGGGGGGGGGGGGGGGGATGAGAGGGAAGGAAGCAACGATGGAGATAAGGAGGCGCCGAGATCTACGACGTAGCGTCGCCAGACGCTGTGCTCGTTTGACTTGGCACGGCCAGTCATCGGTGCGCTTGGCTGCCGCATCGCCCAAACGGGGAACCGCGACGGCTTGGCGCTTGACCATCGTGGGTTCGACTGTCGTTGGCAGTGGGGGCGGAAGGACATTGGAATTTGGGGCTAGGTCGTCGAGATACGTACCGAGATACGTACTCTGTGATCTTCGTGCCCAAGACCAGGACGTCCTGAGAAAAAAAGAGTACGTACCTGTCCAGGGGGTGGGCGAAGGATCGTGGAAATGGGCACGAGGTGGGCGGAGGAAGGTTTACCCCACTACGTCCCTTCCTACTTTCAACAAGTCGTGCGATGACCCAATGAAGCAGACAGCAGGTCCAGCCGGAACTGGTGGAGGAGGGGCAGGAGGAGCAGGAGTAGGAGAAATGGAAGGAGGCGAAGAGCGAGGAATAAGAAAAAGAAGGGAAAACAATTAAATCATGGGGGTCAAGGAACGATCCGAAAAGGCATGCGCACCGGCATCGAGCGTGTTTGTAGTTTATTACTCCGTACAGACCGAGACCTTTTTCTGCGTTCCAATCCGAGGTAGGGGGGAGGGGAGTGAGAGAGGGACCAACCAGATCGATCCCCCCCATCCGATGTTTTACCCTTTTGTGTTTTTTGTGTATGTGGGTGTGTCTCGAACGGAATCACGCACAAACGCATCTCAGCTATCTGACGCATCGGAGACACAGAACGAAGGGGCCGGGGGGGGAGAGAGAGAAGGGAGGGCCAGATGGGCAGATGTTACCTGCAGGACGGCGGCGGGCGGTCGACTATGGTTCTTCTGAGCGTGCTCGCATGGCTTCAGCGGACAATGTTCCTCGAGGCGGAGAGTGACTGTTGTACGACGGCGGCGGCGGTAACGGGAGGCAGACAGGCGCCTCTGCCGCTCTTTGGCATTACACCAACCAAAAAATGTTGATTTGAGAGACACCGTCAGGTCGGGTTGGACGACGTCTACGGCCCATCCATCTCACCGATTGCCGGCGTTGTCACCGCCGCCGCTTGGTGAGGTGATAGCATCTGGTACCTTGCCTTAGCTCGCATCGCATCCCACTTTCCCAGCCCGGACTACGGTGGACTGACGTGCGTCTGTCCTGCTGCCCACGCCTAACCATCCCGTTCCATTTAGCGTACAACATTCAAGCCTCCCTGACCGCCCGCGATGGAGAAAAGCAGCTCCCTGTTTCCGCAGTCCACTACAACCAGGGCATATATAGAGAGGGAGCGTGTGGCAGAAAGAACAGAAGAGACGGAAAGTGGGCAATGAACAGAGGAGGACCGAAGTCTCGCCCTTTTTCCTCCTCCCGAGTCCTTTTCCCCGAGTCCCTCTCCCATCACACCCTCCCCCCCTACACGTCATGTCACCAGCAGCTGATCTGGGCCACCCCTTACCGTGCCCGTCCCTCAACAGACGACGGAGTGGGCAAAGGCGAAGCAAGCTCGATATGGTCTAGTGGCAGCCCGGCCTGGCAACACGACCCCCCCTGGTCGGAGCCTCTGCTGCTTAAATTGCCTGTGGGCAAGAGGAGACCTCACCCTTTCCTTCCCTGGCACAATATCTGTATATCTGAATTTGCCCTTCATCAGGGGGGCGGGAAGGCGGGCTGCACTTTTGCGGTGGTGATGATCCGGAGCAGGAGTCGCTCGTCCGGAATACCTACACCCTCCTCCAAGTGCGGGAAAGAGACGAGAACACTTAGCAGCAGAGGAAGAAGAGTAAGGAGAAGTACAAACAAGGCCAAGCTGGCTCTCTCTCTTTTGCCTGCTATCCTGTGGTGGCCTTGCGGAGTTGATGCGCAACGCGCCAAGCCAAAGGAGAAGTAAGCAAGCCATGGCGGCACGGGGACGGCGGGTACGTACCCCTTGGCGGAGGGTGGAATTAAAGGTAGGTGCGAACAACGCATGTATACGTACCTATCCACACTGCCGCTGAGAGGAGGAGGGTACGTACTGTTTCTGGTCGACTTCCCCATCTGCATCTCACTCTCCGTCTCTCTCTCTCTATCTGTGGCGTCTTTCGCATGCCTCCTGGTTTCCCCTTTGCGTCTGCGTCTGCATCTGCATCTGCCTCGTGGGCATCATCGACACTTTGTCTTGTTCTTCTTCTTCTGCTTCTTCTTCTCCTCCTCTCACTTCGTCCTGCCGTCTCTCCTGACTTGACCTCCCTCGTCCCTTTCCCGGCCTCTCCGCGCCGAGCCGCCACCCCGCGGTGGACTTAGTGGTCAAGACATCTGCGTTAATCTTGGCAATAAGCACCCTCGCAGTAATCTTGGCATCATACTCGTGGCCTACGTTATTCAGCAATGCTCAACTCGTCCCTTATCCTTGTTGTCGTTCGTCCTGCTACAAGACCTTGTTCTGTTCTGGATCCAGTATATCCATCGGCTGCATCCATCCACGGCGACATGTTGTTACTCATGCTCACACTCACACTCACACCCGCATTCTCACACCCCACCGCTACCTTACGCAATCTACACGCCCCCCAGAACAAGACCCAAGACCCAAGGGCCCCCAGGTCATGATGGTGAAGAAGGTCAAGGCCAGGCAAGGTCAAGGTCAAGAAGCATGCACCAAAGCACCACCAAAGCACACAAACCAGGGCCCAGGTCTAGTCAACGAGTGCCAGCCCCAGGACACGCAGGGCACCCAGGAAGATGGACGACGGACGAAGGACGTAACAGCCGCCTGCAGAGAAGGGCACCTGCACCACCACCAGCATCAGCAACCAAACCAAACCAAACCAAACCGCAGAGATACTTGATGTACCCCTGACCCCGGTCATCAACCCCCCCTCCACCCCCCTACCCCCCTGGTCGTTCCCCTTCCTGTCCCCGTCTTTATTTTTCATCGTCCGTCGTTATACTTAAGTTACTGTCCACAACCTCTTCCGTTCGACCTAGCTGTGCTTGGCCTTTCGTCTCTTACTTCTTCTCTTGCTACGTCCCTCTCTCGTCTTTTTTTATTTGCTCATTATACCTCTCTGTTTTCTCTCTCCCTCCACCCTCCCACGAATTCTTTTGCTACATATCCTACCTCGCACCCACCGCGTGGCCGGTTAGCTAAAAGAATCACCAACCCGCTCCCGCCTCTTTCTTATTCCGATTCTTCAACTTTTCATTTATTACATCTTTCACCTGGTTCGGGTATTTTTTCAATATTTTCGAACGCTTTGGGATATACGACGAGTAAAATATCCAGTAGCGTTGCATCGTGATAGGATCTGGATCCTTTCTACTCGCTCTCAGCATTCGCATTGCACTCCTTGCTACCCAACCAAACCGAGTCACTCTCTCCTACACGACAACAGGAATAGACCTGCGGTCTTGACCAGTTTTCAGCATTTTTCTGACGACTTCGACGACGACGACGAGCTAGTTCTCTCCGTGTCCTCTCCTTGCCAAACGTCAATCACCGTATCTACATACATCACCAGACAACTCGCCCAACATGGTTCGTCCCATCGCCATTCTCGCAGCCGTGCTGCCCGCTGTTCTCGCTGCCCCCTTCGGCCTGAATGAGAACAAGGCTGCCAACAATACCGATACCTTCATGGGCGTCCCCATCTCCAACCTGAACGCCCTTGACCTCATCCCCAACAAGTACATCGTCGTCTACAACAACTCATTTGACGACGATGCCATCACTTCCAAGATGTCCTCTTTCGCCGCCGCCATCAAGAAGCGTAACATTGGCAAGCGTTCCCTCGACGGCCGCTCTCTGAGCACCTCGACCCGCAACTTCAAGATGAACAACTGGCGCGCCACCGTCATGGAGGCCGACGACAACATGATCATGAACGTCATGAGCGCCGAGGAGGTCGCCTACGTCGAGCAGGACGCCAAGGTCAAGATCTCCGCCACCGTCTCCCAGACCAATGCACCCCCGGGTCTCGTCCGCCTGTCTCACGCCGCTGCTGGCGAGACCGGCTACGTCTTTGACCAGGTTAGCGGCGACGGCATCACTGCCTACGTCGTCGACACTGGTATCCTCACCACCCACTCCGAGTTCCAGGGCCGTGCCACCTTCGGTGCCAACTTCATCAACAACGTGGTATGTTTTGATCGATTTTCTTCGCTTGTTGTCCACCGCCCCCCTGCTTCCCAAACTGGGCCGGAGTGAGCGAAGTCATGCGAGATGGGAGAGGAAGGCTAATAGGAGACCAGGACACTGACGAGAACGGCCACGGCTCTCACGTCGCCGGCACTATCGGTGGTCAGACTTTCGGTGTCGCCAAGAACGTCAAGCTCGTTGCTGTCAAGGTCCTCGATGGCGACGGTGCCGGTTCCAACTCTGGTGTTCTCGATGGCATGCAGTTCGGTAAGTCATGAAAGGCCCCGCCCGCTACGTTCCCCAACGGATCTTGTACTAATCTCGACTAGTCATCGACGATGTTAAGGCCAAGAACATCACTGGAAAGGCAGTTATGAACATGTCGCTTGGTGGCTCGGCCTCGGCCGCTGTCAACCGCGCCATCGAGGCTCTGAACACCGCCGGTATTGTTCCCGTCGTCGCCGCCGGCAACGAGAACCAGGACGCTGCCAACACTTCGCCCGCCTCTGCCCCCAACGCCATCACCGTCGGTGCCATCGACGCCCGCAACGACCGCAAGGCCTCTTTCTCCAACTTTGGCAAGGTCGTCGATATCTTCGCCCCCGGTGTCAACATTCTGTCCGTCGGCATCGCATCCAACACCGCCACTAACACCCTCTCCGGCACCTCCATGGCCTCTCCTCACGTCGCCGGTCTTGCCGCCTACCTGATGGGTCTGGAGGGCCTCAACACTGTCAAGTCCCTGACCGACCGTATGCTTCAACTCGCTACGGCCTCAGGCGCGTCGGTGCAGCGCAACACGGCCGGCACGACCAACCTGATCGCCAACAACGGCCAGCTCTAAAAGGTCTGCCATTCGCTGGCGGAACGAAATGTTCCCTTCCCGGTACGGGGCGCAAACGGGCATGATGTCGTCCCCTCCCTGACGTTTCCCCCGTTTCCTTTTGACCTAATACTCGTCGCTTTCGTTGTGTTTGGTTACTCGAGGGGAGACGACAAAAAGTTCACAGCATTTTAGAGGATACCCAAATCAGTCGAATTCGGCACCAACCACCACATGTGCGATGCATATGCGAGCGGGCTTTTTTCACACCAATCAGACAAGCAACAGCACGCGAAGCAGAGCGGACGCCGACTCTAAGGGAACCGCCTACTTCGGGTCACTTGTATGTAAAAAACCAGAACAAAGTAGGAAAGCCAAGCCAACACTGCATTTCAAGAAGAACACCAAAGAGAAGAAGCCAACAAAAGACAAAACCCTCGATGGGGCTGGTTCCCTCGTACGACTCGAACTCCATATTCTCTGTCCTGGGTTTTGGCGATAGCAATCCTGTTCCCTTTGGTCATCTTTCTTGAACATTTTTATTTCTTTCAAAGCGGAAGCCCGATGTATTTAAGAAACTCATATAAGGGGAGAGGAATTTGGTAATGAAGCAGACAGCTATACACCATTCACTACACGTTCGCATGATGACTTGAACTCCTGTGACCTATTAGGACTTGTGACTGTACCGTGGCCATCTGTATGAGGGCCTGATTGTGGAGATCGGGTGTCATCTATGACCCTGCCATAGCAACATGACATGTCAAAGCGATGTTCCCTGAAGGGGAGGAGGAAGCGTTATACAACAGCATCGCACCACGCCCCGAAACTTGCCCAAACTGGGAAGGCATCTCGGCCTCTGCTCACTGCCTCCGAAGGCACGCCGAGGCTCATCTCCCCAAAGTCTATTTCTATAGGCAATCTGCCGTTGAGCCAATCAAGCAGCCATCTGCTTCTCTGACAGACAGGAAGGCTAATTATTTTGGTTTCTCTTAAGCAGGGGCGATAGATGAGAGAGAGGAAGAAACCATAGAAGAGGAAGAAGAGAAAGAATATAGGGAAACGCCAAGGACAGACGGGAAACGGAGAGATGGGGAGTGGGCATAGATGACGCCATGACATACACTTGGTCGGCATCTCGGATCTGGAACAAGGATATGCGGGAGCAAATAAGGTGCAGAAAGATGGACTTTATTTGTTTCTATGCCGTGTTATTTTGAGAATGGGGGGTGGGGGGTGACGGTGGTGCAGAGAGATGAGATGAACTCAGCGGGGGAGGAGTCAAAGGCACATCGTAGATGGCTCACGGGGTGCTAACAAACCAGAGTCATTGGAGATATATGTACGGTGATGACTCGCGGGTGGGTGAGGCGAGAGCTGGCGCCTGCGCTTATACGTACCTTCGCGAGACGCTCGTGTGCGTGTGTGTCCGGCCAGTGACCGGAGGACGAGTGGTCACGCACGCACAGATGTTTGTTACCAAGACGGCACTTCTAGTGGACTTGAGTCTGACGGCAGACGGGCCGGGCGTAAGAACCTTCCTCCACCACACACACAGGCGACTCTTGCGGCTTGGTCTAGTTGTGTCCGAGTGAGTGCTGGTTGAAGGAGGAGCGCAGAAGACGGGCCCGGGTGGATGGATACCCAGCTCCTACGACCCGGGCTCCTCTACAGAGCGAAGGCGGCGGAGGCGGCGGAGGTGAGGGGACAGGAAGAGAAAGAAGGGGAAAAAGCGAGCGAACGGGACACGCGGCGAGTTAGAGGCCACGGACGTGGCAGATGCATCCCACGGAGAGGACGCCGGAGAAGCGCGTCCCGTGAGTCAACGCTTCGTCTGATATTATATACGCCCTTACAGCACAGACCTAGACAGTGTGAACCTTTTTTATACGAAATCGCCCCTGCTCCCGGGACCGTCCTCGTCGCCAAGGATAGCGTTAAAACGAGGAAAACAAGGTTGAATAAAAACATAAAACTCTGCCCATCTCCTAACGGATGCGGTTTCGGGGCAGAGAGAGAGAGAGAGAGAGAGAGAGAGAGAGAGAAGGGGAGGGGGGTGGTCGCTGTAGGGAGGGCGACAATTGACACGAAGACGAGAACGAAACACCCAACCCATCCGTCCATTCATCAATAGGGGACTCATCTTTTCCCGATGGGGTTATCCGTCATCATCTCCTCCCACGAGTTCGATCGACCCCTGCCCTCCTGACGGGCGTCAGTCACACGACAGAAGTGTGTAGACGTCGAATGTGCCCGAGAACCAGTCCCCTTGATGCCATACATGATGTCAACGACGTCCGACGAGGACGATGCTGAAAGGGGGGGTTAGACGGGAAGGGACCGAGGACCGAGACCGTTTCGCCGGCCGGAGGAGAGAGGTGAAAGGACAAGGGAGGGATGCCCAAAAACGCCGCCGAGGCACTTCCTCTCCCGCCTCTGTCCAACGTTGCTCGCTCGTCATATAACTGCGCTCACAGGTTGCCCCCACCTCCCCCTCCCCCCCCGAACACCGGCTCTAAACATAGCAGACCTGGCCTTTGGAGATATCGCAATCGCAGTTCTTGGCGTCAAAGGGCGACCTTGATACTGGGATCCTCGTCTGGCGTGCGCGGGGCGCGAGGCAAGAGGGGGGGTGGAGGGTGTACATCCAACATTGGCGAACGAGGCCAGGAGGAGGACAGAAAAAGGGCACGCTCTCTGACCCTCCCATAACTGCGACAAGGGCACGCGCCCAAGCATGAATGCCGATGAGCCTTGCAAGAGCCGCATGGTTTGGGGGGGATGTGCACACACACATACACACATATACACACACGCACACCAACCACTTGGCTCTGGGATGAAGTCGGTTGCCGGTGGCGAGGGAAGAGGAGGGGAATCTCGGGCGGTACATGGGCTTCTTGGATTTCCCTGCAGCGTAGGCAAAGACATATGGATATATATCTATATTCATACACACACATACATGTGTATATCTGTGTACTGGATATATGTGCGTGTACCTTGCACGGACACATACACACACGATGTAAAAGAGGACACATAACGTCCACCAGTCATCCGAAATGCGCGTCCGGCCCGACTCGCCACCCCTCCCTTCTAAGCCGGAACTACATAGCCGGCCAAGAGACCTCGCCCTCGAGGTTCGATAGGTGCGGGACGGGTTCGGAAGCCGTCGTTAATAATGCCTTGGTCATCCGCCGTTGTTGGCCTTCCTCCAAACAGCCCAGCGGGCTTCCGCAGCGCCGCCATACTTCGGCCATTTCCCCTTTCCTCTTAGCAGAAGTATCCCTCGAGGGCCCCCATCCCCCAAATCCCTTGGCTTACAAAGTATCGAGGGTCGTAGGGGAGGGGGGGATGGAGAAAAGGGCCGCCGACGGGTGCGGGAAGGGAAGGGAATGGTTCTTGGCATTTGTGCCTCCGACATGAGCCCGTGGCGCCGTGAGCCAGACCAAGTGCAAAGGAAATGGCGGGTTCCTTGGTCAAACAGTACAACTCGACATGGCGCCAGGTCCCTCGACGGAGATCAACACAAGATAAGTCACAGGTCAACGCGTGGAGGAGATGTTTGCAAGCCGGGGCAGAAGAGCGCGTCTCTGGGGAGCAGTGGAAGGCGCGCCCGCCCCGTACCCGCCGCTGATGGACGGGGTCGTTGCCGGTGGGGTTTGATATCAGCACTTCTACGGCACAACCACAGTCATAACCACCTTGCGGTGGGACTGGATTGCAATTTGACATCCGTGCTTGAGTTGGGGGGGTGTTTGTTGGACGATGGGTGTCACGTGGAGCGCATGCCGTATCAGAGAGAAGGGGGGTGGAAGAAGACATGGTGGGCATCGCGAAAAAAACCCATCTCAATGATGGTGTGTATTAGCAAGATTAGTATGGAGCTCATCAATACGTCGTAGCCAGGTCGGCAGCGGGTAAACGAAAGGGAAAAAGAAAACTCCTCGTCAATATGTACCGTCAACGTGTCAGATGAAGCGTAGCCAAAAGAACATCATTTGTTCTCGTCTTGTCTAGAGTTAGAGCTCCTTGTGGGCAATCGGCTGCGCCGAGCCGGGCTCCGTGCTGGGCCAGTAAACGCCGTCCGTTTTCCAGAGCGAGTCGAAGCGCGCACCAAAGAACCAGGCAGTTCCGATCTGAGGGACATGTGGTCAGTCGGTGAGCCGAGTGTGGGAGTAACGCGGTCGAGGTAGAGGAGTTGGCGGCTTCAAGTTTGAAGGTGAAAAGAAGGAGAAGGTGAGGAAAGAAAAATTTGGCGACTCACCATAAGACCAGAAAGCAAAAAGAGGGTCAACAGGACCAAGCCACCCAATACGAAGGCTTCGCCTGGGTCCATGCCGGGCTGGCCCCGCTCTTTCTGTTTCGCCGATCCTCCGAGCATTTTGGGGTCCTGTTTCGGGAACAGTGTGTCGATGAATTGTTCAATCTGCGCGTGGATGGTTAGTAAGTGGCTTGCTTGTACGACAAAAACCAGGAGTACGCGTTGTTGTACAACGGCGACGTACCTTGGCGCATTGCACGCTGATCTGCACAAAGTTGGGGTCGCGCGGGTCGTTCTTCTTGTGGATCTTGCGGATGTATCTCCTGAAAACCTCGCACACAACGTAGAGGTTCTGTGTTGACTCTGACATGAGCTGGCAGGCGTCGCCCTTTGTGATCTTGATGTGGCTGTTGAAGATGGCGGGGTTGCGGAAGACGAGCTCTAGCGTGGCAATGGCCATGCTCTGGGGGATGGCGACGAAGTTGAAGACGCTCTGGTCTTTGATGGCGGCCATGTAGAAGAGGCACTCCTCGGTGTGCTTGAGGGCGTTGAGGACCATCTCGGAGCTGCACTCGAGGGCCTTGCGCTGGTTCTCGGGCTTGAATAGGTCGTCCCAGGTGTCGACGTGCTTGCTCCAGATGTCCTTGGGCCAGAAGCGGCGCTTGTCGAGGTAGTCCTCGTGGACGTCGCGGATGATGTTTGTCTTTTGCAGGAACTGGCCCATGGACTCGGTGAGCTCGGGGCGCTCGAGGAGCTTGGGGTTGGCCATGTTGCCCTCGACGAAGAGACGGGTGAGGCCGTCACCGACGAGGCCGGCGACGTAGTGGCAGTACAGCTCGTACTCCTTGATGGTGGCGACGCCTTGCTCGTTGAAGGCGGCGTTCTTTGCGTAGTCGGCCATGCCGTTGCCCATCTTGATGGTGATGTCCTTGATGACGTCGAAGTAGGGCTTCTTGATCTTCTTCAGCTCGGTGATGACATCGTCAAAGTGCACGAGCAGATCACGGTCCTTCTCATTAGGGCCGTTCTTGGTGAATGTCCAGCCATCCTTCACCATGTACTGGTCGAACTCGCGCAGCAGCGGCTCCTTCTCCTCGATGCTGAGCGTCATGTCATCTTCGATGGTGTCGAGGCCGCGCAGGACGAGGTAGAACAGGCAGACGGGGACCAGCAGCTCGGGGTTGAGCTCCTGTATGACAGCGGAGAAACTGCGGCTCGTCTTGTTGAGGTGTTCGAAGCATGCCCTCAGGGTAGGGTCCTCCTTGGAGGGGTCGCGGCGGTGAACAGGCTCGTGCCAGACCTTCCTGAAGACAAGGTTAGCAGGCGCGGTAGGAGGAGGGGGCAACGCATTGCGCATTGCGCATCGCGCAAGCGGACGAGCACGTATGCGCGCATGCGCGCCGGACGAAGGGAGTTGAAGATGGTACCATTGAATGATGGAACGGAGCTGGTTCGGGTGAAGGAGGTAGAAGATGACACCCATGATGGCAGCTGGTCGTCACAACGGACGGTGGGTTGCAGTACTGGCAAGAGTTAACGGCGGAGGAACCCGGGGAAGAGTCGACAAGGTCAAGTCGAGTTCCGTGGCAGGCGGTGAAACTAGGCCGAGGCGTCTGCGTCGTCGTCGTTGTCGTCGTCGTCGAGATTGGTCAGCTGTGAGGTCACGTCCAATGAAGAGGTTCTGCGCGCGCGATGTCGGCAGCAAGCTGTCGCAGCTCCTTTTTTCTTTTTTGGTGTGTGCGCGTTTGTTGAGAAGAGGGGGACACGAATTTCAGACCAGATGAAGAATTAACTTGGTTGATATGGGGAAGAGTTGAACGGGAAAAGGGGATTGATCAATCAATCAACAACAACACAGAAACGACGGCAACGGCAGCAGTAATAAAAGATGGGCAGGAATAGGAGGGAAAGAATTCTCCGCTGCCACGAGCTCGGATGTCCAACGGTCTCTATCCGTAGAGCCTAGCCAATTCAACCAGCAGGGGGGAAGCAAGCAATCTTGAGTGCAGTCAAACCCCAGCTCCTTCTCTTTTTTTTTTTCTTTTTTTTTTTTTTCCTTCTTCTTCCAATTGGCACAATGCAACGGGCCCGTTTGCCAAGGCGGGCAAGGAGCTCTTGGGGCCGCTGGAGTGTGTGTGTGTGGTGGTGTCACGTCGCCCAATTCAGTCCAGTCACTGTCCAGCGCTGGTGTTCTGTTCGGACTGGGACAAGCGGCCGACTGTGAGTGGTGGGCGGCGATACATACGTATAGTAAGCACCTATAGTGACACTCTCGACCTGGCCATGTCCGCTGAACACCGCCCGCCTATCCGCTAAACCTCAGCAGGAACAGAGCCGGCCGAGGGCTCGGAGGCACAAGAATCCCATTGGGAACCCGGAGGCACCGACCACCTGGCACCGGCAGGGGATGCTCGGCTAGCAGTAAGCGAGCCAATGGGATGGGACTCCGGGGGGGGGATGGCAGATGGCAGATGGGTGCAGGTGCTGCTGCTGCTGCTGCTGCTGCTGCTACTGCTGCGGGGCACGGATGCGATGCTTGTCCATACACGATGGATTTTAGTTGGTGTGTGTTGCTTTCCTTCATTTCAGGGTCTACTTTCCGTACCTAGGTAGGCTGGTAGGTAATACTGATAATCAATAGTGCATTCGTACCTTCCTCGTTCCTACCTCTTTATGAAGCTCTGGATTTCCCCTTTATTCTTTAACCCCGCTCTTTCCCTCCACTGTTTCCTTCTCAGATGCGAACTCGGAGTTGGTCTGGTAGATACAAGGCCTCTCGCGAGGTCTTGTCCCCGTGTTTTTGTTACCCATGGCGTTTCTCTAGCAGCACCCGACTGCAAATAGGCGGCCTCTGCCACCGACTCTCTGTGTACGTAAATGAGGTGTGTGTGGAGAGCAGCAGCAGTAGTCCCTACCTAGGTATTCGTACCGGTACTCCAAGGGCCGACCAAATCTCTCCCAGCTAAGCTCACTCGCCCTGGCCCATCTACACTAGAACCCGAGCCTCCGAACCATATGTCATGACCGGCATGCATACGCAACCGCTTCGGTTCTCGGGAACGGATGGGATGGATGGATGGATGGATAGATGGATGGATGCTTATCTACCTACATAGCACAGCATCTCATCTAGATCTGACCCCCCATTGCCAAGACCCTGCTTTGGACCCCTCCACACCATGGACATTCCCTCGCCGCTCCGTCTTTTTGTCTCCACCGCCGCCGCTGCGGCGGCATCCGAGTCGACACGCTTTAGTTCTGTCTCTCCCGCCGACACCGCCTTCGCTCCCTCAAGGGAGAGACCATATTGCGGTGAGCTCACCAGATGACAGTGTCTCACCTCTCCAAGGGAGCCTCTTTGCCCGCCTAAGCCACACACACCATCCAGCAATATGTACTTGCCGAGAGGTCCACGGCGACACCGCGTACCAAGTAGCTACTTTCTCCCCTGGTCTCTTGCTAACACGACCTTCTTTCTCTTATTCTTTTCCCCGCCGACTGCTGCACTTTGGTACTCCGTAGTAAACCCAGCTTACAGACGCACACACACACGCAAGCAACCACATGCACTATGCGGGCAAGGTGGACTCGGCAGAAATATCTGGCCAACCCCCGCCCCTCCCCGAATCAACATGCTACACTACATAGCTCCTGACAAGCTTTGCCCTCAAGGTAGTTATGCACCTATCGATACCGGCCTATGTCCTGCCCATGTAAGTTGCACTACGGGGTCGCACGTTGAACATCGTGGGGTGGGCACGGCATGAACCCCCGGTGTCCAATGCGAATCACTCCCTCCCTCCCATGGCCGGTACCGTATTGCCGGTGATGCTACACTACCTTGCAAATCCCATATCCATGACCGGGAAGGGAGGTCGAAGGCCGCACCCGCAATGCAGATAGTACGACTCGTACCTGAACTATAAGTCAATGTCTCCCTTCATCCTGGAACTCTCCCTTTGCTCCTACCTGTCACAGTGCAGTCTCCATCAGAGAGACCCCAGATAAATAGGTAGGTACGCCGTCTCACACTTCCCCCCCTTTCCCTCTCCGGCAAATGCAGTCTGGCCTACCTATCTGCATTACAAATTCCTCCATCTACCCTTTTCTTCTTCCCGTTCCCGGCCCTTAGGTACTCACCCTTTCTCAGCTGCTCCTTCTCCCTTGCCGGCTCCTAAACTATAAGACCTCCCTCTGCCACCCGACGACATCCTACCTGACTCACGACTCGATAACTACATCACCCCAGCTCCGCCGAAACTTTACACATATACTGCCCGACCCCCATCTCATCGACCCTTCCCGACAGCGAAACACATAAACGGTAAAGGATAGCAAGTAACACCGTCGTCACAATGGCCACCAATGGACACTCTGGGAACCGCTTCCTAATCTGGGGCGGCAAGGGCTGGGTTGCGAACCACCTCAAGGAAATACTCGAGGGCCAGGGCAAGGAGGTCTACACTACCACTGTCCGCATGGAGGACCGCGAGGCCGTCATCGCCGAGCTTGACAAGGTCAAACCCACCCATGTCCTCAACTGCGCCGGCTGCACTGGCCGCCCCAATGTCGACTGGTGCGAGGACAACAAGGAGGCCACCATGCGCTCCAACGTTATCGGCACCCTGAATCTTACCGACGCCTGCTATCTCAAAGACATTCACTGCACCGTTTTTGCCACCGGCTGCATTTACCAGTACGACGATGCCCACCCCATTGGCGGCCCCGGCTACCTCGAGACCGACCCTGCCAACTTCATGGGCAGCTTCTACTCAGAGACCAAGGGTCACGTTGAGGAGGTATGTTGGACGCACGCAGACTGTCGATGTGGACGCACCTTGTTAACCACCGCTTGCCGCAGGTCATGAAGTACTACACCAACTGCCTTATCCTCCGCCTGCGTATGCCCGTCAGCGACGACCTGCACCCGCGCAACTTTGTCACCAAGATCGCCAAGTACGACCGGGTTGTCGACATCCCCAACAGCAACACGATCCTCCACGACCTCCTCCCGGCGTCGATCCTTATGGCCGAGCACAAGGACACGGGCATCTACAACTTCACCAACCCGGGTGCCATCTCGCACAACGAGGTGCTCTCCCTTTTCAAAGAGATTGTGCGCCCCGACTTCACATGGAAGAACTTCTCCCTCGAGGAGCAGTCCAAGGTCATCAAGGCCGGTCGCAGCAACTGCAAGCTCGACACGACGAAGCTGGAGAAGAAGCTCAAGGAATACAACTACACGGTGCCCGAGATCCACGAGGCGTACCGCGCCTGCTTCGAGCGCATGAAGGCCAACGGTGCTCAGTGATGGAAATAGGAACAAAAGGGGTGGGTTCGGTGTATATGGGAAATGGTGGCCACGGCAGGAACCGGATGTGGTGAGGATTTGTATTGAAAAAAAAAAAAAAAAATAGAAGATAGCTCCTGCTTGGGATTGCGACGGAAAACTTAAAAGACGGTCGCAAATCATGACATCCAAACGCCATTTGGCGAATGTCAGGCGCTGGACGGTACCGCATAAATCATCGGTCTTTTGGATGCGATGCAAAGTGGTAGTGAACCAGTCAGACTCGATTCGCGCATGTTTTTCGATTCGTTGGAGGGGTACTAGGTATTACGTGTACAGGTATCTAACCTACCTAGGGGATCTGTTTATCCGTACCTGGATGCTGTCGGCCATAAAAAAAAACATAACAAACACCAGGATCTGGTGCTCATAAAAATAACATTGTGAGCTGTACGGAGTATCCGTACTCCGTACAAGTGCAATGGGGGTGAAGGCGAATGCAACGTCATCCCTGCCAGCAGGTCCCTGTCCGCGTAATCTCCAAGGCGGTAGTGGAAATCGTCGCCACGCTGGTGCATCTACCATCTACCTAGTGTGTATTAGGTAAGCTAATATGGTAAGGGGGCGTGGACGGGTAGGTACCGGTAGGCAGTCAGCCCAGCGACAGCGGCACCTTGATCACCGCCAGTAAGGCTCGGACAGCTCCTGTAGGGCGCCCTGCTCACTGAAAACCCACCCACGGGTCTCGCCCAACGACGTAATTTGGCGGGGCACGCCGCGAAAACGTAAATCCACCTAAGATTAATGCCGAGATGGGGGCTGCCACCACCGCCGCCGCCGCCGCCGTTCAGCCAGCAGGTCGACACCACCACCGCTACTACGTACCGGTCGATTCCTTGTGATTCTTGCTCTGAATCACTTTCCCGTACCTTGTTACTACCTACCTACCCTCGTCACCCCGCGACATTTTTTTTTATCCTGCAGAGGACTGGACTTTCCTCCCTTGCACCTACAACACCGACCTATTTTTGCGCTTTCCCGCTAGTACATTTCATTCACCTGATACCCCTCAAAGACCTTCGCGACCATGGTTGTCGATACGGCATACTACGACATCCTGGGCGTCCAGCCCACCGCCACAGATATCGAGATCAAAAAGGCCTACCGAAAGCTGGCCATCGTCCACCACCCGGGTAAGCAGAGGCTCTCTCCGCGGGGAGAGGGGAACGCTTCCCGCCCCGTCTGCCTGTGTGCCGCAGGCCCTCTGACATCATGACCAGACAAGAACCCCAACGACCCCTCGGCCCACGAAAAGTTCCAGGAGATTGGTGAAGCCTACCAGGTCCTGTCCGACAGCGACCTCCGCGTTGCCTACGACAAGTATGGAAAGGATAGCGCCAAGCCCTCCGAGGGCTTCGCTGACCCCGCCGAATTCTTCACATCCATCTTCGGCGGCGACGCCTTTGTCGACTGGATCGGCGAGATCAGCTTGATGAAGGACCTGACGGCCACCATGGACATCACCATGCAGGAGGGCGAGGAAGGCGCCGACGGTGAGGAAGCTGCCGACGGTGAGTCCCCCGCTACCGAGGACGCCAAGAAGGAGGGCGCCAAGGCTGCAGCCGGCGCAGAGAAGACGGACGCAACCGCCAGCACCCCCCCACCGGCCGTTGTCGTCGAGGACGAGAAGGAAGCCCCCAAGGCGCAGGATACCACCCCGACTGTCGCCGATGCCACCCCCGCTGCCGCTGGCACGACCCACGTGCCCACCCCCTCCGCGGCCGGAGCGAGGACACCGTCCCCGAGCCCCTCGGGCACTTCGAAGCGCCATCAGATCCCCCTCCGTCCTGCCCTCATGGACAAGCCCTCGGACGAACTCGGGGCGAACGCCGAGTCGGAAGAATCGCTCCGCAAGAAGGAGAAGAAGAAGGGCAACCTCACAAAGGAGCAGCGCGAACAGCTCGCCGCCTACGACAAGGAGCGTGCCCGTGTGCGACAGGAGCGCGTCGACACCCTCGCCCGCAAACTCCTCGACAGGATAAGCGTGTGGACCGAGACGGACAAGGGCGCCGACGTCACCAAGGCCTTCCAGGAAAAGACCCGTCTCGAGGTGGAGAATATGAAGATGGAGTCTTTCGGCCTCGACATTCTGCACGCCATCGGCCAGACCTACCTCGCCAAGGCCACGGCCCTTCTGCGGAGCCAAAAGTTCCTCGGCATCGGCGGCTTCTTCAGCCGCGTCAAGGACAAGGGCACCATCGTCAAGGAGACGTGGAACACCATCAGCTCCGCCATTGATGCCCAGCAGACCATTGAGGAGATGGCGCGCATGGAGGAGAAGGGCGGCGAGGAGTGGTCCGAGGAGCGCAAGGCCGAGTATGAGCGCCGCGTCACGGGCAAGATCCTTACGGCCGCGTGGCGCGGCTCCAAGTTCGAGATCCAGAGCGTGCTGCGCGAGGTGTGCGACTCGGTTCTCAACGACAAGAAGGTGCCCCTGGCCAAGAGGCTCGAGCGCGCCGAGGCCCTGGTCATCATTGGCGAAATCTTCTCGAAGGTATGTTTTCTGCCGGACCCGGAGTCTTGGTATGACAGCGCTAACCCCGTCAACCCTAGGCCCAACGGTCCCCCGAGGAGGAGGGAGACTACCTCGTCTTCGAGCAGCTTGTCGCCGAGGCGGCCATCAAGAAGGACAAAGAGTCCAAGAAGAAGGGCAAGAAGACCACGTCAGCCGAGGTGGCCGAGGACGCCCCCAACGTCCCCAAGCCCGAGAAGTCTTAGAGCGGTGCACCGTGACGGCGACGGACGGATGGGGCATGAAAAATAGGAAGGGGGGGTGGGGGGTTGTTGCGCATGAACGAGATACCACACTCCGTTTTTGGACTTGTTGTCTCCCCTGGGTTGAGGGGGCGAGCCAGGCCGTTTACGACAATACTTTCTAGTCTAAACTTCAAGAGCGATAGACGGACTTTTTTCTCTTTCTTTTTAATTTTCCTCCATTTTTGGCGACGAGGCGGGCTCAACGGTTGTTTGTTGGAGATGGGCTCATCCACAGTCTCACCTCAGCACTTGGTGGTTCTCCTTTATCTTTGGTGGCTGTTTATCACCATCAAATGCAAAGTATCTATTTCACGTTGAACCCTGTCGGATTCCATGACGATCAGGGGAGGGGAGGGGTTGATTGGACCACACTTCCTGCTATTCGATTTCAGTGCTTTCATGTTACACCCTGCTGGTCCTCTCCAAGACTCTGGGCAACGGACCGCGGGAGTTCGGCCGAGACCACGTTTGTCTGTGAAGGGTGCCGTGCTAAATGGAACAAGCCCGAGAGGTGTTCATACCCTGTTCCAAATTGAGAGTTTCTCGAGCGACGTCGCCCAGACTCGTCATGGAAGTTCCTGGTCGGCAGACAGCCGCGGCGCTCCCGAGGCGCTCCCGCTTTGACTATCAAGGGGAAAACGCCGTTAGATGCCATGCACCTGATCAGCGACTTTTGACGTTTGGGAGAGGGGCGGAGGGGAGACGAGGTCTAGCAGAGGGATCTAGGGCGGTGCAGACGGTGCCTGTGGGAAGTATTTCCGTTGGGGGAACTCATGCGCCTTTTTCCATTTTCTTTTTCTTCTTATTCTTTTTTCTTTCTTTCCCGCACAATCTGATTCGGGTACCTATTGCTCCTTGAGCGAGGTCGAAAGAAGACTAAATCTATGGAAAGCGACTCGCACCGTCGCCCGTGGACATACATTCAACGTCCAGGGCCGCCTCCCCCACCATGCTCCCCCCACCAGGGATCGTCTGTCATCTGCGAGGTCCCGCCCCCACCCTGCAAGCGCGTGGTCCTTGAGCCCCCAGATGCAGACAGGCAGACATCGCCTTGTTGGCTAAGTGGTATAGCGTCTCACTAGTACCCTAGTGACATGAGAAGATCGGCGGTTCGATTCCGCCACGAGGCATATCATACGCTGTTCGTACCGACACAAGCAATGACTACGCAATCTTTTTTCCCCTTATTCTTTTTAGCCTTCATTCTTTTAGTTTATTTATACTTTTATATATCTTTGGGAGGAGTGACTGGAAGTCTCTTCGACGCTTTCTTCGAGAACATGCGAGTCACGGGATAATCGTCCATGGGCGTGCATCTCATACTCGGTCTTAATAAACGCTGCTGCCGGCAGCGTAGTCAAATGCGCGCACACAGGATGAGGCGGAGAGCGCTCGCGAGACATCTACTCAAGCCCTGACCTACCCTCTTCGTCGTCTCGCCGACCCCTTTTTCCCCCGCTGCTCACGAGCTGGCTGTAAATGCCCAACAGGCCGGGGGACAGCATATGTGAAGAGACGAAAGGGGCAACTAGAGTACGAGGAGGAAAGCCGCAATTTTACGTATAAGGCGATCCGGCAAGGGGGGTACTAATGGCATTGCCGTATTAGTGTACGGACAGTTGCGCCCATCTCAGTTATCCTTGCTTGCACCCCCACGCTTGCGGAATACACGAGAAGATCGTCGCGGACGATGCAAGAGGGGGGTTTCGGAGAGCTGTCTTCCCAAGCCCCAGCTTCGGATACGCCTTTCTCTCGTTTTGATACAGTCAAGGAGCTTCCCGACGGAGGGAGAAAGCACGGTGGACGGGACGCCGCTTGCCCAGGTAGGAAGGAAACCACATGGCGGAACAAAGGAGCGCAGGCGGGCCGCCGTAGCCCTTTCTCATGGCTGTGTCCTTTCCCGCCCCGCTCCCCCTCCTCCGTGGGGGTCTCTATCCTGCCCCCGGCGGTGCGTTGTTCTTTCCCGACAAATGCGGCATGGGCCGAGAGACGCGCTCGGTTTCCGCAAGCCGCGTCCCTGTACTTGCTACGGAGACGGCGCGCTTCCACCATCCCCCCACACCCCCCTCCGGAGACGGCCGGCGGCGTCCCGTAGAACGATGCAAGAGGACCCGGCCCCGGACGATAGAACCAAGCCGCGTCTCCGGGAAAAGAAAAAAACATGACATGACGTTCCTCCGCCTCCGCCGGCGGCGTCCAACCTCCTCCCCGGCTTACTACATACCCACGCCGATCCGTCCACGCTATACGCGGTCGTATTTCTCAGTATCTCACTCGGGGACTCTGGAGCCCGGGAATTCAGGGATGAAGCGGGGAGGGGGTAAAAACAAAGGGGGGGTGGTTCGGCTCGTCCCATATTCTGGAAAAGAAAAAACCAGCTAATGCTAAGCAGAGGGTACAAATAAAGGGGAAGGGGGTGTGTTTCTCGCCTCGGAGGGGTGGGGATGCCGACTTATACCCGCTCTGTTTGTGAGACCCCGGAGGAAGGCGGCTGGGAGATAGGGGGGGGGGCACCACGTAAAAGACCAAGAAAGGGGGGGGAAAGTCATGTTCATCCCCTTGGAAGGTTGAGTGACAATCAATGCACACACACACACTGCCGAACAGCTTTCCAGCCTCCCAAACTTATAATCTGATAGAACGGCCATGTTCAGGGGTCACAGACGTCACCAGTTACAAGTTGCAGAACATGCACAGAGCGTGTGTAGATCATCACCGGCTCTTCGCCGGCCTTCTCGAATTTGATTTGGTATAATACAAATCGGCTCGCCATCAACAACTGGCCTCCCTCTCCCTCACTCTCCCTATGTCTTGTTTTTCGTGCTCCGCTCATTTGCAGAGTTCGACACATCCCGAGCCAAACCAAGCGCGACCCGAGGCGCCATGAGATCCCCATTCGGCCGCTCAATATGTTCCGTTGTTGTATGTAAAGTGCTTTGGGGTATCTGTTGGTACACAAAAATCGTGCGACAAAGGAAAATCGGAAAACGAATACAGCAGTGTCAGAGGCCTTCCCCCTCTCCTCTTTTACTCTTCGGAAAGGGAAGGGAGGATTGATGATGCCTCGCCGATGGTGTGGGTATGTCCTTGCCTTCATCCTCGAAGGCCCTATTGTTCACAAAAGAGAAACGCCGTGGTTCCGACTTATCCTAAACCGAGTTTGTCCCCGTTGCCATGCAAAAAGAAAAAAGAAAAAGAAAAAAAAGAAGGATGGGAAAATAGTTGTTTTATGAAGAAGATGGGTGTGTTCCCTGAGTGGTGATGTTGTGCGATGCCGTCGCAACTTCCGGGCTGCGACGGGAGAGATCCGGTCTGCTGAAATGATTATGTCGTAATGGTATGCTTCTGCGAGCCGTTATCAGACGTCCGCAGGCAACTCGATTCCGCTATCGCGGTCCTGCGGCTCCTTGCTCCAATGCGGCGAAAGGCTCCTCGTGGACTCCGATGGGCTGCTTGGTAATGAGACTGAGAATTCGTTCCTTTGCCCCCGCTCGCCTTCCTCGTTCTCCTCCAGATACGCCGGGCGGAGCACCCGCGGGGGCAGCTGCACGTCACTAGGGCGCACGCTGTACTCGAGAGCCTTCCTTCCCTCCTTGATGAGCTCCTCGGTCCAGTTCAAGCACCTCTTGATGCTCTGATTGATCTTTTGGCTGTCGACAAGCAATTCCCTGTGCTTGGACAGATCCAGCTGCAGGCGTTTCTCGTCCCGGGTCCGGCGGCGTACGTCCCGGTCAGTATCCTGCCTGGGACTGGCGGCAGATACCGAGTCCGTCTCGGATAGTTCAGACGACTCAAACATGGAATCGTCCATGTCTTCCGGGACATCCCCAGCCTCCTCCTCCTCGCTGAGGTCCGACAGGTCCAATCCGTCGATGGCAATACCCCCGGGCTGGGTCTCCGAAGTTACGCGGCTAGATGGTGCGGAAGTGGGGGCTGACAGGCGTCCAGATCGCGATAGTCTCTTGTATCTCCTCAATTCTGCGGTCTGCTTTCGTAGCTGCCTCTCCAACGACCTGTTGATAGCCTCTAGAGAGCCATTTCTAATCTCCAAATCCTGCACCTTGCGTTCTCTTCTCGCGTTGAGGACCATGTCGTTGAGAGGATCGCCGTGCGATGACCTGCTCGGGCTGTTTGGGCCGTCCAGGTCCTTGGACTCGTCGGCCGAGTCGTCGTCATCGTCGTCGTCGTCCTCCTCTTCCTCCTCCCCCAGGTCGTCTGCCGCCTGGAGTATCGATGCAATGGTGATGGGCTGCTGAGGGAAAAAGCCCGATGCCGTCGGGGAAAGCATCTCGGAGGGAGTTGACGTTTGTGAGGCCATGAATTTGGACATGATCATGGCGTCGGTAGCTGGAGCCTCGGATCCGACGTAGCTTGCCACTTGCGAAACCGTGTCGGTGCTCGTCCTGCGCTTATGCGATGGTGCGAGTGGCGGCGGGCTGGTCATCTGAGCTCGGCCGATGGCATGAGGAGGCATGCTACTGCTCTTGAGGAGCGGCGCAGACGTCGGAGGCTGCGCCGGTTTGTTGGGCGAGAGAGGCCGTGGTGCCATCTGGAAGCCACCAGCCGAGCCCGCCGAGGTCCTATGCAGCCTGCTCGACCCCGATGCGACTGATCCGGTGCCGGAAGCAGCAGATGAAGGACGGAACCCGGGCTGCAGGTTGGGGGCTCCATTTGCGTAAAAAAACTTGCTCGATGGTGGTTCTGGAGCCGGTGCAAGAGACGGGGAGAGGGATGGTGCGAGCGACGGTGCCAGCACCGGTGTGAATCCGACACCGGGGGAGGTCGGCCTATTCCCCTCGACTGCGCTGCCATTGGCATACATAAAGGTCGAACCTCGCTGGGCCGGTGCTACGGACCGTGCTTGAGGAGCGAGCTTGGGAGCAGGCTGGGGCGCAGGCTGGGATGGCTTTGCCTCGCTGGCATAGAAGAACTTGGATTCCGGTGCATCGTTCCGGCTGCCGACATTAGAGGGCGGGCTGAAGGTGACGACCTGGCGCCTCGGGGGCTCGAGTGTAGGCTGGCGGTCCCACTCGTTTCTGTCTGGGTTCGGAGTGCCGTTCGGGGTTGTGTTTGCACTGTTGCCACGGCTCTGGCGACCGCCCGATCGAGGCGTGACGCTTGATGCGGCCAGGAAGGGCGCCGGGCTCGTCAGGTCGTCCCTGGCGCCTCCGGCGGTTGTATGGGGGAGTGGGTGGTTGTTATTACTATTGGTGTTATCGTTGCGGCGACGACCCACAGGGGTGACGACGGGAGGAGAGGGTTTGGCAGCGACTTTGGGAGTCAGGGGAGGTCGGCCCATTGTCTTTGCGCTGAGGGAAGGCATGGCGGGCTGGCGGGTGGTTGTGCTGCCCCCTTTCTCGTAGGGAGGCATGGTGGGGGCGGAGGAAGCGGAAGCGAAGGTTGAGGATGTGGGAGACGGAGTGGGCGACGGCTTCGCTCGCGCGGCGTTGGTAGGGCGAGAGGGGTTCAGGACATTTTGGTCTCGGCTGTGAAGGGGATTGCGCAAGCTGGAAGACAGGGCGGGCTGCTGTCGTCTCGAGGCGACAGATGGAGGTCGTGGTGCTGTCGGGGTCGGAGTTGGTGTTGGCGTTGGGTTGGCGGGAGGTGAAGGTGACGATGTTGTTATGTTTGGGTTAGAGTTGGAGGATGAGGAGGTTGTGGTGGTGGTGGAGGTGGTTGTTGTTTTGACGGCAGTGGATGCAGTGGCAGCAGCTGTGATGCGTCTGGGCGCCGTTGTGGTTGGTGGGCCAGTGGTGGTGGTGGTTACAGTGGGCGCAGGGTGAGGATGAGGGAGATCAGCGGTGCTGTTATTAGTCGAGGTGGGGTTATTTGTGGTTCGAGGCTGGGCTGCCGCGGGTCTGCGGTGGACGGCGACGGCGACGGCGGGAGGAACCGGTGAAGAGGAAGAGGAAGACGAAGGCGCCGGAGCTGACGATATTGATTGCCTCTGATGAGCAGACGCGGCGGGGTTCTTGCGGATGGTGGGTGAGATGGATGGCCTGATGTTTCTCGTCGGTCGGGACGAGTCGGGCTGGTGTTTCTGGAGCAGCGGTTTTTGGTGGTGCAGCTTGTTCTGCTGGGGGCGGGTAGTGGTGGTGGAAGAAGAAGAAGAAGAGGTGACGATGGTATGTGATGATGGCGGTGGTGGCTTCGACTTTAGATCATGTCTTGATGAAGAGGCGGAAGAGGAACAATTCGAGACACGCGATACAGTCGAACGAGTGTTGCTGCATCTGGACGGTGTGTTTCTGTCGTCGCTATTGTTGATACCACCGCCGCCGCCTCCAACGGAGACGAGCGAGCGCATTTTTGGGTGGCCACCTGCAGGTGCTAAGAGGCCGAGTGGGAAAAAAGGGAACGAGAAGGTACCTTCCCTGGGGAGTACTCCAATTCCAAACCGGTGGTGCGAGGACGGGTACTTGTGCGCTTAAACATGGCCCGTCGGGAGAAAGCACATTGGATGAACCCCGGGCACGCAGGTACGTAGGTACCTACCTACCTACCTACCTTCCTAGGCAAGCAAGGTAAGTAGCCACCCCCTTTGAGCGGTATGCGCAACGTCCCCTTGGAACTTCTGGAAATAAAACCCGCCCTTCGCGTGCAATGTGTGGGGATTGGGGGGTCTCTTTCTGGGATCCTTCAGGGCTGCCGGAGAGCCTGCAATCCCGGTTCGAGGCACGATACGGGTTGTCGAATGTCGCTAGATATAGTTGATCCGCACAGAGAGTATATGCGGCGGTGAGAGTTGGCTCGGTGAAGTACGAGACTGAGTATGGTCGGGCACGGGCGGGTTTGTGTGCGTGTGTGTGTGTGTGTGCGTGTGCGTAGTGTCTATACTCCAGTACAGCAGGGTACAGATACTGCACGCGGCAATGGCTTCGTTTCCTCGGCGGCGTCGTTTGTCGTCGTCTCTGTTGCGAATTGTCTCGTGGCCGATGTCTTTCAAACGACTTCGACCCCCTCGACATCAGACGTCGGCTTCCGATTGAAACATACAGAGGGCCGATCAACAGGACGCTGACTGGTGAGTGAGACACGCGCCGTCGGGTATTCTGCACGAGACAAAATGACAACGAAACGCGTTCAAGAGCTTGCAAAAGAGATGCAGTCTTGGTGAAGGAGGAAGGGATGGTGGGAAAAAAGCGGAAGTCGAGGAATGACATTCAACCACTACGGAGAAGGCAAGAGACAGACAAGACGGCGATGCCCACCGGAACCACAAGTACTCCGTACAGGCATGCCAAATGACATGCAGAATGGTGTTTGTCCCTACACTATGCTCGCCGTCATAATCGTACAGCGTCTCCTCATCGCTCATCTCCAGCGGCATTGTTTATTCATGCGTTGCGAGTCTGCTTAATTGTAGAATAACCCGCGCACAAGAACCCACCCCGCCTCAGCACCCAATCCTGGCGCGCCTTGTTCGTACATACTATGTTAGCATAAGGTGCAGTGAGCAATCGGCTGTGAGTGGCTCGAGATGTCCCCAGCGGGCCGTTAGTGACATTTCATACTTTTTTTAATTTTTAATTTTGTATACTTTTTTTTCCTCATCAGCCTTTATATTTGTTTTTGGTTACTGGGATTTCACTGGTCGACTTTTCCATTTGTACCTTCCCGTGTCCCGAGGCACTGGCTGGTTGCCCCGGCGCAGTTGACTAGCGCGCATCGGTACGTACCTACTCCTTCCCTCCTTTTGCCCCCTCTCCTTCCTCGAGGCCTCTCTCTTTCCTTTAGCGCGTCATTCCGCGCGCCCTCGAACCCCCGCCAGTGAACCCCGTGCACCCCTGTCGCTCAGCAGCCCGCCCGCTGACAAAGAATTCCATCTTGCCCTGCCAGGCGGAACTGCAACCGCAATCCCAAAATACCGACGCCAACGGGGCACAAACAACCTCGACATCGTCGCCATCTTCCAGCTGCCACCTTGCCCAGCTTCGGCTTCAACGGAAAATAGTCCCTCCACTTCAACGGATCTCCCGACACCCGCCTGCCATGGGCTACGTCGGCGTCTCCCTCATCCTCGCCTCCGTCGTCTGGGTCATCGTTGCGCCCCCGCCATGGATACACCCCTTCATGCCGCCTTTCCTCCTGACTTGGCGCCACCTCAAGCCCCCGCCCGCCCTGCCGCCCTCGCAGAAATCAGGGTCCCCAGGTGAAGAGGCAACGAAGCAGGACGGGCGCACAATCAATCCCGCGACGAAGGAGGAGCATCAGCCGCGCGACGCTCCGCCGACGCTCAACCCCCCCCAAGACCCCGTCGCCGCCCAAGCCCGCGCCGCGATGCCCCCTCCCGCCGTCTCCCTCTCCAGGCCCGAGCCCGAGCCCGAGGAACAAACGACGCCCAAAGCGAAACCCTCCGCCCCCGCGGCGCCGGTTCCCTCCTTCACCCTCGAAGCCCCGTCATCCCACACCCCTTCGACGGCACTGTCCCCTTCCGCGACCGCCGCAGCCCCCGGCAGAGGGAGCATGCCCCCTCCGCCCGCGCCCTCGTCCAACATCAACATGATGCCGCCGCCGCCTCCTCCGCAGCTCCCTCCACAATCGCATCACAAGCACTACATCCTTGTCACGCGATTTCATTGTACAAGATGTCGAGGCGGTCCGACGACCTGATTTTATAGTTGAGTTCAAAATTATAAGATGCTTTTCTATTAGAATGATACATGTATATTATCTCAGGTAAGTTGTTCTGAGAGGGAAAACACACGACCCAATTTAAAAACCAG